CCGAAAGGATTTACATGAACAGTGCATTTGAGGGAACTAGTTCCGAGATAAATGACACTCTATAAGGGCTCCGCGGTTATACTATTAGGAAAAGAAAATTTGAGTCCAAATGTATCATCGAAAGTGAAGAAATCCGATATATTTGGGTAGATTATTTTTATTAATTGAGTTCTGGTTATTTCAGTGTTTCACCTTAAGTGTTTTTTCTTCCGAATTTAGATAATCTTAACTCGTAAACAAATTCGAAGTCCGGCGACTTACGGCTTGCCCACTTACTTAAAATATATAGATTTCTCTCGGAATTTCTTTTTAATGAAACTGTTAATCGGCCGTGCCATTCACAAGAAGACTCAGGCCTTGCACGTGTCGAAATTTGGGCCAGCACTTCTTAAAAACCGCTACGCCATTATATTCGCCCGATTTTGACAATAAATCGAAAATATCTTGGGAAAAAAACGTAAATTGCAGTTTGTCGCTTTATTTTTAAATGTACTCGTCAACTGACGAAGTGGATCTATAAATAAACAATTGGAAAAGGCGGGCCGTATTCCAAAACAAATAAACGTATGAATTGCATAATTTTAGTTGGTCCCGCTGGGCGGGGGCAATCGCTTAATTATGACCGTTACATTGAAATGTTAAAAATAGCGAAGAACACTGTATCATGCGGAATGTTCGATAGAACGCCCTTTTTTTTTTTTTTTTTTCGTACGCTAATGAGTCGATAATTTGGGAACCGCGTTGCGGAAGTAATGGAGAGTTATGCAGATAAAACGAAACGTATATATATAAGTACGTGCCAAATATACAACGGTATAAATTTTGCGTTTCCACGTAAATTTCGAAAATACCTAGAGAGCGTCTGTCATTTGCGAGCGACGTCACTGACATTACCGGTCCTGCGCGTTTACGCATTATCGAAAGGGTACAAGCAGGAAACAAAATGGAAATAATGCGCGTCGTTACTAGAAAATAAAATAATGCCAAACATTATTAACCCAGATTTCATGTGGTCTCTTGACGTCGGGATTTATTGAGGAAGGAAGAAAAATTAACGAACGCATAAAACATCTTTCAGGATTAATTTGTAAGCGATCGAGGTATAGGTCGTGGCATAAGCGTGGAACAACCGCGTTTGCTAGCTTGTTTTTGAAGAAAAGGGCTTAATATATTTTCAACAAAAACATAAACATAAAAAACGTACATTCATAAAAAACTATGCGCTAAAGTTGCCCCGGGCCTAAGGTCGAACCGTTAATAGTTGATGTAATTATCTAAATATATCTGTGCAAACGAGCCATTACATCTACCACAATTTTGGAAAGCTGTTGTTTGAGATTACTGCAACGAAAAGCTTCTCCTGATACCAAAGCGCCGGGCTGATGAACACGTCCGTGATGGTTATCAACTTATTTCAAATGCTGTGGATGACGAATTTCTGGATAATTGAAGTTCGGTGTGGAAAAACAGATAAAAACTAAACTAAAAATGGCTATGGCTACGGTTTATATTTAAAGCAATTTATGAACGAGATATATCAAAGTCTTCAAGTTCTCTCGGATATAGGGCTGAAATGTTGGTAGCGTCACTTAATGATAATTAGTTCTCATGTGTTCGGCAACCCAAGAGCGTAGCTACCAGTAGCGATAGGTCATATAGGGTTTTGGTAGCAAAAGAAGCACTGGAAAAAAATCTCTTTTCGTTACAGCAATTTCAAAGTACGTACTACGTTTTTGCATATGTAAATAATTATTTTAACTACCAACGTTTCGACTCTAAGGCCGAACGAACTTTCAGGGGTATACTACTTTTAATACTACTAAAATAATCTCGAAATACTATTTACGCAATCCAAAATTTTAGAAAAATTAAAACCTTAACAAAGCCGTTTTTGAGCCGTTATAATAAACATAACTTCAGCTAGAACGTAGGGACGATAACCGATATGTTTCGATATAGTTCTTACTGTGCTTTCTCACATTGGTATACAGAGAACAGCAAAGGCCAATTATTTACTTGGATGAAACCTGGTTCGACACTTATGATACCCCGGAAAAGGGTTAGGTTGACTCAACTGATAAGTGTAAAACAAACGCGCCATCAAAAAGAGGTAAAAGAATAACTATTTTGCATGCTGGCTCTAAAGATGGTTGGATTCCAAATGGACTTTCTCTGTCTGCGAAAAATATTAAAGATTCGTCTCTGGATTACCATGAAGACATCACCGCTGATTTATTTGAAAGTTGGATTAAAAACAATCTAGTTCCAAACATTCCTCCTAATAGCGTAATTGTAATGGACAATGCAAGTTATCACAGTAGACAGTTGACTAAAACCCCTTCCTCGTGTGACACAAAAGCAACAATCCAAAACTACAGGTATAATAACGACAATTATTTTCACGAAGATTATACCAAAAAGCAATTAATCGAGGTTCTACGAAGCTTGAACCTACAAAAGGAATACGTCTGTGATAATTATGCAAAAAATCTAGGGCATACAGTTTTTAGGCTTCCGCTTTACCACTGTATATTTAATCCCATTGGCACCAACTGAAATCTGCCATTCGTCGTAACAATGTGTTTCCCCGTGTTAACTTCAATGTCCTCAAACTTATAGAAACCGAAGTTTTTAACATCTCTCCACAAAGTTGGGCAAATTCTGTTAAACATATAAAGAAAGCAGAATAATATAGAACAAATAACAATTAGAAGAGGCGATGATAGCGATAGTCATACTGATATATTATGTGAATAATTTTAAGTAACTTAAGTAGGTATTAAAAATAATTTGTAATTTTATTTTAGATTTAAACATAAATACATACATAAATAAATAAATATTGTTTAGTATCTTTCCTAACAAAACCCCAAATAATTAAATTCTAAGCAAAGTAAGGACCTGTTCGGCCATATTTCATTCTTTCTTTCCTTAATTCGTATCAGTTAGTCACTTTCTTATATCAATGAACAGACTTTATTCAATGAGTCAATGAGTCCGGATCTCTGATGTCCCGATACGAAATCTTCAGCAGAGACAAACCATATCCTTCACGGGCGGACAACAACAACAAACATAAAAAACGTCACACCAGAACGAAAGCTTGGACAAAAATATATCTTATATCTATAAACAGACTTTAACAGGAGAAACTTTTCATTGCAGTAATTTGGAACTACGTTACTGTTAATTTTCCTAAATTGTAATTAATTTAAACTCAATAAGAAAAGATTAGGAGTTTTTGAATAACTGAAGGATTAAAAAAGATAATTAAAAAAAAAGAAATTAGTAATTGGAGCCGCGGTGTATACGAATCTCCCGACTGGGTTTGTATGTACGACGTGATACGTTATGACGGAATAGTATACGCTTAATCTACTACTGCATTAACGTGGACTAGGTCAGTAATAATTTTGCTACAACTGCACGTACGTACGTATGCCACCATTTTAACCGTTCCAGGCATAATAACAGGCGTATATAAACAATAGAATATGATAAGCAAGGTGAATTTAGTTCAGATGCGATTCACACGCTTCGAACGTTTTATTTTTCGGTAGCGTTAAAACGATATCTATGGAAGTCGTCTCGTCTCATTATTCGTGTTACGTTTTCCAGCAGAATTATCGATATAGATGTGGAAAATGAAGTGCAATGTGAAGTGGGATTAACAAATGTCTTTAGGTGAGTCTTTAAATAGTAAAATAATTTGTTGTCATACGCTTGTGGAAGCTTGGCAACAATCGGCTTCGAAAGTATTTTTCCTCGATCATTTTTTTTTAAGTCCCCCACTTTTAATAGGGAAACTATATCTGGCGAGATTGTGAACTTTTTGGCCTGCGATAACGACCTAATTGGACGCAACATAAAATGGAAATGATGATAAAATAGACAATTATCTCGCGATTTCGCACGTAATGTGTGTATTATTTTTATTAAAACTATACTCGGTGTTAACGACCGAGGTTGATTTTTTTCAGCGCCGATCGTACTACAGTTAATTGTTTAATTTCAACGCGTCAAAGTAATATGCGTTAATTATCAAGGTAAACGTATAAAAAATATATTTTTATTCGGTTTATATGCCCTGAGACGTGTTGTATTTCATTGGTGAATAGTATATAGATAAATGATAAACGCCGAAAGTAGGTTAATTTCGAGCAGTCGGTGACTACGTCTTTTAACAAATAGTAAGTACGTACTTTAATTTGTCTTGCCGCCCGTTCTTTAATGAGAAATTAAATTACCAATGAATTATAATTGTTCGTTGGTACAAAACTGCTCGCGATATATTTTCTTATATCTACATATTTTAGGCACGTATATTTTCACTTTTTTTCGCGGCGACTTATTGTTGTAGTTACGTATATATAAATTAATTTGTTTCCTTCTACTTGAGATTAATCAAACATAAAAAATAATGTTTTACTTTGGTTTAGGGCCACTTCTTTTTGTTCATTTAGAAATTAATTTATTTTGTTTTAGTTATTAAATTAAAAATTAATTCTGTCAGTTTAATTGATGATATAAATTAATTAATATTGATAAATAAAAAATATACTAGTAAAAAGCAAAATAAAATAATTTTTATCTTAATTAAATATTTTATTTTATTCAACTTAGATTTTTGTGTTAAGTTCGATTTATTCAAAAATACTTTGAAAATATAAAAAATTAAATAATTTTTTCCACTTTAATCTAGTAAAAATATACGAGGGTTAAACTTAAAGACTTAGGACTCCGCAATATTTTTGCACTAAAATCTTTAAATAGTAAAACGGAGGTTTCATATTTACCTCCCTTTGGGAAAAGGGAAGTTTTTTTATGGAACGGATCCCACGAATCCTTAGATAAATTTTTATATGTATATATATATTCCTCTATATATTTCGCGGTAGACGAATTTTTGAAAACCAAATACTGATAAATAGGTGAATAGGACGAGCGTTTAAAATATAAGGCGAAGAAGAAGAAGAAGAAGAAGAGAAGGTGGTACGTACTGTAAGGGCTCGTGTCGTCGGTAGTGCCGTTAACAGTACCGCCCGGAAGTATTTGAAGATGTCGATTCTTGATGAACATTTGGATCTTCCGCGCGGTGCCGGTAACGTGGGACAAATTGGTACTTCTTTCGCTACGTGCGGCAGGATCTTCGACACTGGGGGCTACAGGGGGCTCGGGCAGCGCTAGGCCCTTGGGGGCGGCGTTCACGAAACCACAAGTCGTAGCAACTAACAATAGTCCCAGGAACAGCGCCTTCACCATGACTGGGACATAGTGTCGTCGCACTGTCACTGTCGCTCACTGTCACCGTCCATCATCGATCAGCAGAGCGCTCGTAGCGGCTCACGCGGTGTCTGGAATACTCAAGCGTACTCGTGACTCGTGAGCGCTGTGCTTGCTGCTTTGGCGACGACCGCGAATACACTAAAACTACATGCTGATACTACGATCGGCATACAGTGCGGTGGGACTACTCAGCGCGAGACCGATCCCTATGTCGTGGCGGTGCCACTCGACGGCGACGCTGTCGATACCACGATACCGATGCCCACCGACGATGCTAAGCGACGGCTACGGTCCCCGTTCGAGGGACTGCACGACGTAGACGTCCGAGTCTTTTCGCGGCTCCTAAAAGGCGCTAGGTGCAGCCGACAGCAGCCCCACGCCGAAGACGAGCTACGCGCGAATGATTTTCGATTCTTTCTCCCGATATCTCTGTAACCAGTATTGTTACCGATAATATGAAACACCAGTGCTGTTGCAGCGACCGTAGTGCATTTACTACCGGAACTCGTTAAAGTAAAATACTTTTATTTGACCCACGTGTTGTTAAAACCCGCCTACACATATCATAAATCGGCATGTGCTGCAGAAAAAATTAAGCAATAAGTAGTAGTATCCCTTATATTTTTCAAAACAGACTGTATAATAAACAAAGAGTTCACTATAAACGGTAAAAATTTTAAAAAGACCGGGGCCATAACGAATTTAAATATCTAGTCTAGCTTAAGATCTTGATCTCAGCTACTCAACATAAACCCACTATTACAATAATAATGAAACAACAATCTATAATAATAATAAGAGTCTAATTTCATTTCATACGGAAATACTAGAAAATCTTTCAGATACGTTGGTATAGAATATTTCGTGACCCTAAATACAACAATTGCGAGTAAAAATTGAATATTATAGGCAAAAAATTATAGCTTCCAGGGGGAGCAAATAGCATAATTTTCGTTTTTTTAGAATTTAGCTTAAGATTGTTTTTTGCTATACTGAAAAAGGTTCAAATTAAGATTAGCTTCGACGTTCTCATATATATGTAACAGAGTCTGAGAAAATTTTGCTTCCTTGGACAAGAGATACAACAGAGGTCGAAGAATTGAACCCTGTGGCACTCCCAAAGTAACGTTACCCAAATCTGATATATCGATATTAGTTCTAATGAACTGCTGCCTATTATTTAAATACGAAGGGAAAAAATATACAAATCGATCCATAAAGTCAAAAACTTAATGAATAATTACCAAAATAATTTCATTACCTATATGGAGCATGAAATGACAGAAAATCCTAAGTGACTTTGAAATTTCGTCTTCTTGCAAAATACCGAATGTTTTAATGGCGAAATATTTAAATTAGAATCTCACTGCTGTGTTTCTTACACACACAAGGGCTAAGTTCTGTATTGATAATATATCTCAGATTATTTTAATAAATATTCACAAATCTTTAGTTTTTCAACAATGTCGGGGTACCCCAGGGATCTCACTTGAGCCCCTTATTTTTTGTAATTCATCTAAACAATATAAAGACCTGTTTGCGGCATAGTAAAATACTATTGTAAGCTCCTGACTTAAAAATCCGTAATACGTTCAGTTCATTAGAAGGCAGCCAGAATATTGCCGAAATAATTCACTATTTTTAAACCATTCAAAATGTAGTACTAGAAACTATGTTAATGTTATATACTTACAGCCTAGAACAATACGATCTTAAAAGAGTACATAATATCCGCGATCTAGGAGTTACGTTCGATGAAAAATTGTTGTTTCCTGATCATATTAATAATATATGCATGTTAATAATATATATGCAATAAAAATGTTGGGCAAAATATTTTGAACATGTAAAGGTTTTATGAAACAAAGCCTATTAAGCAACTTAAGGTTTAATATAGGTTTTATACATCAAACTCAAAGTCAAGAGAGACCTTGACTTTAGGTTTGACCGAATCTTTATAATAATTGTATAGAAAAAAAAGCGAAATATTAAAAAAAAAATACCGTTTCACCACTCAAATTTTACAATTCAAAATGCTTATGAACAGACCAGACGGAAATTTTTGTTTGCGACAACAAAGAACAAATTACACAAAAAACTCACTCATATCTAGGATGACGAATTAGGCCAATGAATTCTGCGTAAATAGGGATTATTTAACTTCAAATTTGCAAAGTAATAATACTTCTCACTTGATTTGAATAATCAAATAACATTTCGAATAGCGTTCCTATTTGTAAAGTTAAATAAAATTGGGTCAATTTTTATCTCTTCAAGAAAATATTAAAACATGGTAAAGTAAACCCCAAGGTTGCCGTTATCATTTTTTAAAACCATTTTCTATTAAACATCAACCGAATTAATCCCGTGGAATGTCGGGAATTAGCGGTGATGAATTGTCTAGTCGAGGGATCGACCTTACCTTGGTAAACGAATCACTTCCCCGTACCGGAAAGCACAATACGCGTTCGTTGGGCAAACGACGGTAAATCACCCTTTTTCACCTTCTGCGTGGCTTTTATAGGACGTGCGCCAAAACTAAGACGTGACACAAACGAAGTGTGAAGTTTTGCTCGCGGTATAGTTTTCTCCACACGTTTCGTTGCGGTTTTTAAATATTCACTTTGATATTCGCGATTTCCATCGATCGCGAGGGATTTCCAATTGTTACGTCTATATTATATCGATTGCGTCTATTGTTCTTACAATGTCGCAAACAATCGCCAAAGAACCAAGTAAAGCTTCAAACGATCCAATTCGACTCGTTATTTTGCAGTAAACCTCAAAATATCATAATAAACACCGACATTTAAAAGTTTCGGCGTTAAATAATCAACTAAACATTCCTAATAGGAGTGTTTACGACGTTTCCATAACCGTTTGTCGGCTGATGCTCCGCAAAACTTTCCGAAAGTTATAAACTAGAATTTGACGTAAGCCAGTACATACCTCGATTAATATAATCTATACAATTTCGTTGTTAATGAAATGGAGGAACGTGACACACATCGCATCCGCAATTTTACGTTTAGTTTCGCAATTTTTCGCTATAGTTTTTTTTTATCGTCACACGCGGCCGTATAGAATTAATTTAATCGTCCTATTTCTCTATCAAACCATTTCAGTTTAATAGACGCGATAACATAATACGTAAATATATCATTCCATTCGAGGCTTTAATCATAACCGGTCGCTAATTTTACCGAGTCTTGCGGAAAAAATGAAAACACCATCTTGATTCGGAATCATGTGGTTCGATCAGAAATAGACGAAAACTGGATGGGATTAGAACTTCCATGTGACCGCCGAGTCATAAGACACGGGCGTATTGGCAAATGCGGTCAACATTTTTTTTCATAAATTGTTCATGTGATTCTCGCAAATACAAACAGCTGAATAGGAATTACGTTGAACCAAAAATACGAGGTGATATCGTACTACGTGACTTCTCTCATTAACGTTTATACTAACGATTCGGAATGGACGTCCCGTTCATTCATGGTCGTACGTAATAACTAATCAAACCAAGGTTTGCGTCAGTTGTAGAGGGCTCGACTAATCCATGATTGTTCAAGGTCGCCGGAGCTTATCTCTTTTTTTTGAGTACGTAATCGTAATTTTATCTATTTTATTTATCTGACGACAACAAATTCGTAATTGATTAATTTACATTTTAAAATGTATATTTTTATATGTTATATTATACAGTTTTAATCTTCTCCTGAACATGCAACACCGAAGATAGTCGTTACAGCTTCTTGGTTAAAAAACGGTTTAAAAAGCACCGTGAAGATTTTAAACAATTTTTGATGACTTCAAACGGAAGAGTAGCAGGTCGAAATGGATAAAATAAACACAAATTTCCAGATGCGATAGGTGCAGAAGATAAACCTTTATCGCACCTTCTAAGTTTTCTAACGACAGTTGAAACTTATCGAACTTTAATGAGAGCTTTTGACTATCAGAGTCCACTATTTCTTTGTTCAGACTAAAACAAAATTTGTTTTTTTATTGTTTTTTGACGCCAATTATAATGATGTTTTATGATGATATATATGATTTATTTTAACAGCTATTATGACTGAATTGAGGAAAAAATTTAAAGAAAACTAGATATTAGTTCTAAATTTCTTATATTTCGTTGAGAAAAAGTAAATATTTTTCGATTCTCCTCGTCGGATGGAAAATTTGCAAATAATATTTTAAAAGGCTACCGCTACGTATTTTATTTGTGTTGTATAATCACCTCGAGAGTATCATCACGTGCATCAACCGGGCTAATCTTTCAAATTACGCCAGTATTGTACAAAGTCCAATAAGTTTTGTGTTGTTCCGATATAAATGGTTAAAAAAAATTCACACACTACTTTCTCTGTCTGTATTGAGTTGATTACACTCTCTGTCGATCGTATGCGTTGATGCGATGATTTTTATTTAATGCGTGACATACATTTTTTTATTCAAAAATCTAACGAAAAAATTAACGGCCTGACGATTTCCCAATCGCGATGACGATAGGTCGACGATCTGGTCGCATTAAAGTCGTTTCAACCGATGAAGATAGTAAAGGAAAAAAGAATGGAACATTCGGAAACGATGAAACGCAATCTATGCGATGTATAAATAAATGACGCATTTTTTAGGAAAAATTAGAATTATTTAAAACTCGAAATTAGTAAGAGCACACTGTGGGCCGAATTAAAAAAAATATTTTCCTTTTTAAATATTTTTTTCTTTATTTCGCGTTTTTTATATTTCCCCTTAATTTTCTGTTCTTAATATTTTGCGTTTTTAATCATTTGTAATTGCGCTTTTTTGGACCTGTTTATTTTGCGTCAAAATGAAGACATTGCAAGAAAGGTTTGTTCATAAATCAATAACAACCTTAATCGCATCTCTGCACCTTACACCAATATGGAAATCAGCCATCCGAGACAATTTTCATGCCCCTCCTCTAGCTCCACCGCCCTCAAACAATATATAAGCAGGTACAGAGTACAGTTTTAGTTAAGCTCTGAAGTAGACTACATAATGGTTGACAAAACATCAACCACCGACGCAGCATATCAAAAATTGACCGAATGGATTATTCAGTTTTTAATTTTAATTGTTTTTGAGATACGGCGTGTCAGATTTTAGAGAAAAAAACGTTTTTTTAATAATTATCTAATTGATTTTTGAACTTGGATCTCCTAAGCTTAGTTAAAAAAAAAGTTAAAATCGTGGTACGCTGCTAATGTTTTGCTATATTAAAAAAACCAACGAACTTTATTTAATTTAATAAAAACCGTTTTTCTTTGTAAACTTTGAGGTATGGCGAAAACCAAGGAAGTTAGAGCTCATGTTTACATGATAAACAGATGATATGATATGATTTTAGCAAATTTTCAGTTTCCGATACAAACGAGGTTAATCGCGGAATAGAGCAACAAACATGTGAATACAATGTTTAGAAAACAGTTTCTGTTATTGCGATTCGGAGGTTTGAGAGATTATTATTACGCGTTTCCTTACAATTGGACACTTTCACGAAACATAATTGAATCAAACGCGCGTATTTTCTTTTGTTGTTGGAAAATCAAAGCGATTAGTTCTGGAATTTATATATGCCCTGAGTTTCAGGAACTAAAATGTTAGCGATAAGGAAATTCCGTCCTCGTTGTAGTTATATCGCGAAAAGCCATTTAGGTATCCAATTGCGTGGGTTTTCACTTAACACCGTACGATTTGAATCGTCGTATAGATTTTTGACGTTATTAAAGTCGAACAAGCTAGTGGAAATCGTATCTTGTATTTTAAAACTACTTCGGTTCATTTTTCTTTTTGAAAAATAACCAACCCGCACAATGAGGCGTGTAGCTCATTTTTCGTATGACCGGTGCATCTAAAGATGGCCGTCGGGACCATATATTAATCCGAGAAACTTACTGTCGCCTATTAATTGAATGGAGCAACTAACACACCCCAATCTGGGTCTCCTAATCTTCTCCGTTATCTACGGCTATTTGTAACGTTAATAGGTTTTTACCATCTCGGGCTTGGAAAAAATATTATCTTACCACGGTGTTTCCCCGTATAAATTCGCACCCCGTAGGTAGGGTTCAAAAACGGATAAACCTCGTACATCTTTTTTTGTTGCGAAACCTGCGATATTCTTATTTGTCCCTTTCGTAAAATTCGTGCCTGCCGAATTTAAAAATCGAAGCAAAAAATCTAAGAACTAGAGTATTTGAATACAATGAGATTTCTATCTTGTCTGAAGGATATATAGATACGCGTATATAACAAATTCGATGAACTTTATTTCGGGCCAGGCGCATTCATACATACAATTTTTTTCACGTGGCAACGTGACATCGAAACTGCAAAGTTTACATTAAATAATTTGTGGTGAATTTGGCTGAGCCTATATAATATAATGGCGGTAATTGTGGGAGACGCATAAGCTAGAGGCGTCGAAAGATATTTACAGTCGTCCAGTACAACGCGTTTGCGGTTAATGATAATCATAATAACAATTTAAACGCTTATAGTATGGTGGAATCTTCGATTTATAGATAACGCCTTGAGAGGGCTATTTATCGGTTTTCTTGTGGTTCGTCTGCTGCTTGCATTTTTTTTGTTATTGGAAAATTAATTCCAGTCGATCCGGTAACGTCTTGCGGAAAGATGAAAAAATAATACAGCAAAAAACAACTTATATATAATAGGGGAACTATAATTAAAACTGGTCGTTTTCGAAATAAATCTCGAATTGACCCAAAAAAAAATCACTCCGCAATTTAGACATCAGGAAGTAAATTATCAAGTCGACATTTATAATGGTATGAGGTAATTTTTTACCTCGCCGATGTATAATTTTGAATACTTTTTAGAAATTAATTTATTCTCATCGTTTGTCGGCTAGACCGCCCTAGTTGTATCTCCGAAAACCGTCACCGCTCCTCGCAAAAAAAAGAAACGTTGCCTCAGTGCCAAATTCAATAGACAGAAAACGTCCACCATAGATTTACGGGTCTGTCTATTTCGAATGTTACATCACACTTTTTCACATTCGGCAAATAAACAAAGCCAGGAATTCGCGGCCATTTATTTTCTTTACGTACTTCACCTTCAAACGTTGTAAAAATGCGAATTGGTCCGGGTCTTTGAACTTTGAAAAATTAAACATATAAAATTTACCGCAAAACTGGCAACAGGCAATTCTCGATTGGAAAAATTTAAACTTGGAGCGTTTTTATCATCTCGCGTTTAATAATTTGTATTTCCAGTCTTGAGTCGAGAAATAACACTTCTGTATTTATTTATTCAAAAGCGGCTCGAATAATTAATCGTCTTCAATTTTTAACCACGCGCCTCCGGCAGGGGATGTAGCTTTTGTCACCCCCGTCAATATCAATCAGTCGTTTTAACGCAATTTTCAATAGACCGCAAATTACTTCTCAGCATCTGAATACACAAACACGCCGACGTTTATAAAAATAAATAAATATTTTTGAAATAACCTTTCCTTTCCGTTAAATATCCGACATTTAATATAAATCTCCTGTCGCATGGCGAAGAATTCACCCGTCGGACTCATAAATTTGTTTTTCATTAAATTTGTCAGAAAGGCGGTATATTATGCAACCTGCGCGGTTCGTTAGATATATAGGGGTAGTTTTTTCGAGATAAAATCTAACCCTCTTTGGGGTGACATTTTACGTTTTGTCCACTTTCTTAATGAACTATTATATCTCCTTTTTTTATTGCGGAACAAATCATTTTCTAACGGCTACTTAGAGGATGATCCGCGATTTATCTTTCGGGAATTTGCCATTTTAACGTGTTCGTAACTATCGCTGCGTGACTTATAATTAATTAAGCCCCTCTTTCGTTTTCCTTTCTGACAATTTGACTAGTTAGAAGGGAAACGGGAGCAAAAAACTCCTCTTTAAAGGTCATAAACCCTTAATTTTAAATTTATTCTTGTTGAAAAATTCCTTCCGCCCCAGGCGCGTCCAGAAATTCATTAAATTACAAACAGGGTTGCTCGTTTCGTTTTAATTATGTGCCATAAATTCTTCTCTTCTCTTCTCAACGACAGGTAATTCAAAGTGTTATCATTCTACTTAACATTTTAGGTTTAATTGTGTGCTTTTGGTTTTGTTCATTTAATGCACGCGTGGCTCGTAGCAGCCGGCAAGCATTCTTAAAAAAGTTAATTACACCCTAGCGCCATCTGTATTTGGATAGCCGAATTTCATTGTTTCCTCTGACTCGTTAAGGGGGAATAGAAACCTTAACAATTGGGTATTATAATCAATTCCGTTGCATTGGCTTAGCCAATTTATTAGTGGTTAATTGTTCAAACTGGAAACATTTGTCCGATTACGTTGTCCTATATTTTCTTGTTTTCTTCTTTTCTCTTTCACGTTTCTTTTACTATTAGTTACCTGATCTCTTCATATTTGTATGTAGTTTTTTTTTCACTTCCAAGTAGTAAAATTTGCTACTGGGTAAGACAGGGACGGCAAATAAAAGAAAAAAAATAAATAAATAAATATATTTCGCTGTAACGACTTTTATAAAATTAAGGAGCTTCTTTTGCTATTTTGTTGAAGAATTTTGAGCAAATAGAAATCTAAATGTGGCTTAATTAATTCGACGGAACTTACAATAAACGATTGAAAATTCGTTATTCGCGTTAATCAAAACGATTCATTTGCGGCATCGTAATTATTCAAATAATGGAAGCAACGAAAGAGTGTAAAAAATAAATAAAACGGACAACCTAACACCTACTGCATGCGATTGACATAGAATCCAATGAACATCTGCAATGATTTACATAGGAACGACAAATTTGGGCACAAATTAAAAAGTTAACAAAAAAAAAGGGAACACTACTAACACTTTAATCCATTTAAAACAGCTATAACTGTTGCCTATAAGTACTATCACACATTTTAAGAAATGCATTTATCACTCAAAACAACCGAGTTTATCACCGCTGCGGTAATTACGTGGATGAAACTGTCTTTTTTATTTAATTTTAATTATTTAAAACAACGCCTCACAAATGTATATATAAGTATAGTGTAAGTAAAAGATGATATATCACAACGCCCAGGTAGCCGAGTGCGGATATTCAAAGGTAAAAAAACTTTTTAAAATATTACCACAGCGGATTTTCATTTGAACGCAGTTCAAATTCGCCCTCCCTGCTTTCCTTAGGCCAAGTTTTTATACATAACAAATACTGATTAAGCTGCATTGACCACATACAACGTTGATATACATAGAGTGTCAGCTTAACAATAACCCTTATCGATTTTGGGTTTCATTTAAATCAAAATCACACGTCGGTTTCAATTTCTGCCATTTGATATAAGACTCGTTTCAAAAAATGTAGGGGAACAATTTTTTCGTATAAATATGTACAAATCTTCACTTTGTTCTCTGACTGCGTGATATGTAAATAGTAGAGAAATATATTTTTTAAAAAAATCGCTAATTGACCATAAAGTGTGTTTCTGCGATGGTAACATTTATATATATTGTTGTACTCGCCATTCAAAACATTAAACATCTGATATATATTATATGTGTATATATATAAATATACTAATCTGGTTTCAACATTCAACATTTTACAAAAAGACTTGCAATATTATATTTTCAACACCGTGGAATTCAAAGATGGCGTTTGAGAAATGTACTTTATACCCTGCTGGACCACAATTAGACTAAATACTCTTGAACGAAAGGCGGCGGAAAAGAACCTATACTGGGTTTACTTGCGAATCAAATGTTCCACAACAGAAGATGGTTGGTGGAATCCTCACGGCCGGCCACTTCGGATATATTCGAAGTTCTGAAGTCTTCGTAGCCGTCGCCGCCAGATATGACCAAGAACTTGGTAGTTTTCGCGATATGATGGTCGTGGCATTTGAGTTTCATCGATTTTTTTAACGGCGTGCCTTTCCTTATGATGGGATATGGCATCTCGACCGATGTTAAAATTCTCACGTGTCCGGTATGGCCGTGAGGTACCCCATTGGCAGCCGGAACTGAATGTAACTTTGTGGTCGATGGAGTTACGTGCGGCAACGGCATTGTCAGCAGTACGCCGGCCGAAGTTCCGATCCACAACAGATCTTTGCAGTGCACCAAAGCGGTTACTCGAAGACAAGCGGCCTTATGTTGACGAATGATATCGTCGCAACCTAAAACGTCATCTTGGATTAACCGATTCCTCGATGCGAGGCTCGAGAACCCACTCGTAAGCATTTTAGTAACGGCCGGTGCCACGTTGGTCTCGCATAGAAATTCGAAAGAAATCGCATGATAACATTTTATAATGGCTGCGTTCTGCAAAGACACCCACAGAGCGTTCCCGCTCACCAGCAAACACGAGATCGACTTGCTAGGTTCGTTGCTGACCGCGAAACTGTTTTCCTTTTCCAGCGTCTGAGGATTGAACACTAGAACAGTGTTGCCGAAAGCGCAGTAAATTTTCGAGTTGAACACCACCATTTTGGAAATTGGCGTGCTAATGGTGCCGAGGCTCATCGTTTGGGGCGAGTTTGTATTCCAACCGCCTTCTAAAAAAATCGATTTGTTTTAATCGTCTCGTTCGGAAAATATCAAAGAATGTTGGCAACAATATTTTGGCAACATGCTATGGGAGCGTACACGATTGTGTTTTTGTGTTTATTTAACGGGTGATTCAATAAGAGTTTCCACATTACAATCTGAAACATTTTTGAAACGCCACTGTATTTGTTTATTATCGTATGAGATTTCTAACCTCAAAACATAAACAAAATTAGTCATACGACTGAACAACGTGTAAAAAATGTGCAAGCCTATTATGAAAATGATCGATCAAGAAAAAATGCATTTCGACGTTCTGAGAGGACAATTTGGAATGTGGTTCAAAAATTTGAGCAAAATGGATCTGTAACCAACCTCAAAGTTCCTCAACGTGCTCGTGCAGGTCGATCAGATCAAAATATTGCCATTGTTCGCGAAAGTGTAGCCGAAGATCCGAACACATCGATTCGTCATCGACCGCAGCAAGTGGGCCTTACGTATTCAACAACACAGCGAATTTTAACAAAAGACTTGCATCTACACCCATATAAAGTCCGAATAACTCAGAAGTTGAAACCTCGAGATCATCAACAGCGCCGCCTGTTTGCAGAATGGATAGGAGGACCAGGGGTTCATTTTTTGGCTTTGTAAACAAACACAATGCTCGTATTTCGGGATTAGAAAATCCAAGAGAGATTGTTCAAAAAGAGATTGTGCGCATTTTGGTGCTGAGGAATAATTGTTACTGTTAATGGTGTTCGCTATCGAAACATGATATCTGATTTTTGCCGGGAGCAGTTGGAAAGATTTGTGGTTCCAACAGGATGGAGAAACTTGTCACACCTAATTGTAATTACTAATCTAAAATTCCTCCAAGTTTTTTTTTTATTATTTTAATGTGTAAACCCTTATTGAATCACCCTTTAGTTTCATCTGGACCAGAGGAAGTGCGCTTGATTGATCAACGTTTTAGTAAAATTCGTCTCTCTGTCGTAGTTTTCGCATTTAATGCGTATCTAGAAATACCATTTTTACTTTTTTCACTGCTCTCGTTGGCCTCAAGTTACCAGAAAGACGATCATATTGCCGTACGTACGCAACTGACTACGAAAATATGTCAAGTTTAAATTATTTCGCATCTGGAAGCCCACCAGAAGAAGTTCTTATCAACAAACATTAAAGTTGTGGTTATATTTTTTTTTTTACTTACTGCTATCTCTGTCGAAAATTGATATGTATCCATTCCCAAGAGAGGCAAATACCCGATTGTCCAAATATCTGCAAAATTAATTTACGTAAAAATATAATAAGCCCATTTGAGTTTACATTTTTAAAATTAATCACCATTAATTAATTTTTTTTTTGGAAGTGTGCCAAAGTGGCGTCACTAATCCTACTTACATCAAGCTCAGTACGGACCCGCCTAGTTGAAGTTTGATTTTGTTTTTTTTGATGCGAATATTGTCATTCGAATTAAAAATGTGGATGCATCCATCTTCTGTGCCCAACCACATCGTCGACAGCTTGTCATATTCTTCCATATGGATGCTGCTCGATTCCGATCGATCGGCATGTTTATGAGTTTCTTCTTCGTAATTATCATCGTCGTCGCTAGATGAGCTACTATCGAACTGCATTGCTTTTTGTTGCTGGAGTTTGTCGCGATTTTTGATGGACGAAAACGGATTTAACCTGAAATTTGATGTTTTTCCAATTGAAATTATTATTCCGAATTTTATATTTTATATTATATTATATATTTATATATTTTTTTATTTGGTTTGGTTCATTAAAAATATATTTTTTGCAATTCTTAGGTTTTTAGGTTAACTTTACTTTATTAATTTCTGCGAATGCTTTAGCAATTCCATACCGCTATGGTATGGTAATTAAAAACGCAGCTTTTTCAGAAACGTTAGTGTAAAATATTAGATATTCTATGGTCCGCAAAAGTCAATTAACTCAGTGCCGAAGTTCTGAAGTTTTGGACTTTTTAAGAAGCAGATAATGGATGAAAGTATTATCAAGATATGGAGTATTAAAGTTCGAATAGTTTTTTTCTACGATGTGTTCCTAGTTACCGCAGGCCTAGTGTTGCGTACCTGTTGCCCAAACCCGGTCCTGGAACGGACGCTATGCAAAGTATCCTGGTATTGCAGACTCCGTTGCAGGAAGTGACTGTCGGTTCCGGCTTTTCGTTTAATGTCAAAACGCAGACTTGTCCTACGTAACCGTCGCTATTACACACCCATACGTCTCGGCCATTTTCACTCAAAGTCGGAGCAGCACAAGTGAATTGCAATCCGGCCCTGGTTTTGCGAATCGGTACCGTAGCCATCATTTCCGGAGTCGGTCGTCTATCGCCGGTCAATACTGAATGAAAAAAGCGTCAAAGTGAGCAGTTTTAATTACCACCTCTGTTCGAGCTCTCCATTGTACTGGTTCGAAAATTCATACGAGGCGTGCAGTGCCGATATCAAAGGACAAGTTTGAATCACATTAGGAGTTGCCATATGCAGTACATTATTAATAGCGAGCCTGCGTTTTAACAGGGTTTCGTTTAGCTACCCTTTGTGGATGGAACTTTCAAAAGCAAAATGTGCAGAGCGTGGACAAAATGTAATTGATTTTTTGTTGCAATGAAAATTGAATTTTGCGACTTACACAATTTAGTTTTCGCGTCCAGGAGTGTTTCTTCCCACGATGTTCTAATTTCCGCTTTTGGGAACACTATCGATATATTTTCGATGCCGTTTCTAAAAACAAAGGAACACGAATTAAAGCCAGGTTACAATTCGTCCGTAATTACCTACTGAGTTAATACTGTGAGATCCAGAACGGATAATTGTACATCGCTATTCTGTTGTTCGTGAAGTCGTTTATTCAAATTCCCCAGCATCTCTTTGACCAGCTCGTCCAGCTGCGCGTGGGAACAATGCAACGTCCAACTAAGTTCCGTAATTTGATTTAGAACCGATATGTCCTCGTTGAGATCATCCATTATAATCTGAATTTGTTTCAAATTGTCGTCTTTCGAGCGAATAATTTCCACGTCTTCGAGCAGCACTTTCATCATTAGTTTATATTTGTTGCCCTCCAAACTGTTGGAGTTGTTGGGGACGGTGTTGTTTTTTTTGTTTATCGGGCCGCTGCGTCTTTTGATGCCCGCGATTAATAGCAAGTCGGTAAATAGGAACACGGCCCTTTCTTTCCTAGGTCCGCCACCGTGAGACATGATCACCATATCGTGTCTGATGTATTGTCTGTCCGGTGCCACCAGATCCAAAACTCCTTCGATAAGACTCTCGAGTTCCCGAAGTCTTTCCATATCTAAAGCTTCTTTCTCAGTGCAATTGATTTTTAACAACTGCTCGTGCACCTGCTTCTGGGCCTCTAAAAGTAACTTGTAGTCCGGATGAGTTTCGTTCGTATGTTTGATCAGTCTTTGAAGTAAAAGTTCGTATTTGGGAAATTTTTGAATCGGTTTAATTAGCAAAGAATCTAGCGCCAACTTCCTAATGTGTTGCCTCGCCGTAGCCTGCAGTTGCAAAAAAAAATGCTTTCGGAGTTAAACTAGGCACGGTATTACCTACCTCAAGAAATCTGCCGAATGCTGGCTTGGACTGTTGAGCGCTTTTGATGATGTCTCTGGAACGTTTCCAATTGTTCACGTAGGTGGTGTAGTTGTCGATTACTTCGGATTGTGAAAACTAATCGAAACATGTTTTTACTAACAAAGCCGGAAAAAGCGTCACCCCGACGTAATTACAAACTTCTGATATGGGTGTCGTTTGAGTTTGAAACTAAGCTAATAACCGAGATTTCATCCGGTTCCGGTAATTCGAATACTTTTTCGAGGTAAAACAAATTCCAACGAGTATTCCCATTAGGCACCTATTGTCCTGCTGTAGGATTTGTGTGATTTTTTTTTATATTTTTCGAGTTACTTTTTTGACTATGCGTATTTCGTTTGATACTAATAGCAACAATCGCGATCCCATACGGTTTCGGTAATTCGGATACTTTTTCGAGTTAAAACAAATTCCAACGAGTATTCCCACTAGGCACCTACTGTCCTGCTGTCGGATTGGTTTTGTTTTTTTTTCAAGTTACTTTTTTCCAATTCACCAATTCGATGAGAAACAAACATAGCGTGCGTTCAATTTATCTCAATAACATTTTGATTGCATGTAACTTTTTTGATTATACATATATCGAGGCTTAAGTTTGATACAAATACCAACAATCGAGATCTCATCCGGTTCCAGTAATTAGAATACTTTTTTCTAGGTAAAACAAATTCCAACGAGTATTCCCATTAGGCACCTATTGTCCTGCAATACGCATACATACTGTGCGTTCATTTTATCTCAATAACATGTTGATTGGATGTAACTTTTTTGATTATACATAAATCGGGGCCTTAAGTTTGTAATTAGAATACTTTTTTCAAGGTAAAACAAATTCAGATGAGTATTCCCATTAGGCACCTATTGTCCTGCTGTAGGATTTGTTTTGTTTTTTTTTTAATATATTTGAAGTTACTTTTTTCCAATATGCAAATATACAGTGCTTTCAATTTATCTCATCCGGCTCGGGTAATTCCAATACTTTTTCGAGGTAAAACAAATTCCAACGAGTATTCCCAGTAGGCATCTATTGTCCTGCTGTAGGATTTGTTTCGTTTTTTTTATTTTTGAAGTTACTTTTTTCCAATACACCAATTCGATGAGAAACAAACATACCGTGCGTTCAATTTATCTTAATAACATGTTGATTCGATGTAACTTTTTTGATTATACTATATCGAGGCTTAAGTTTGATTATAATACCCACAATCGAGATCTCATCCGGTTCCAGTAATTAGAATACTTTTTTCTAGGTAAAACAAATTCCAACGAGTATTCCCAGTAGGCATCTACTGTCCTGCTGTAGGATTTGTTTTTTTTTTTATATTTTTGAAGTTATTATTTTGCAATGGACAAATTCGGTGATTTTGATTGGATCAAACTTTTTTAATTTTACAGATATCGAGGTAAATAAAATACAAGATGTTGGCTGAGCAGCCCGGTTTTTCCCAAAATAGAGAAATTCTATGAGAATGTCGTATAGACTACCTTTCGCGATAAACAAATTTTGAAAAGTATCCCCATGAGGCATCTACTCTCCGGTTAGAGGATTTGTTTCTTTTTTTATATATTTTTGAATTTACTTTTTTCCAATACACTAATTCGATGCTAGGTAAACATACTCTGCGTTTAATTCATCTCAATAACAAGTTAATTGGATCTAATACGAACAATCGAGATTCTATAGGATGCCAGTAATGCGAATACTTTTTCGAGGTAAAACAAATTCCGCCCAGTATTCCCATTAGGCACCTACTGTCCTGGTGTGGGATTTGTTTTATTTTTTTATATTTTTGTAGTTATTATTTTAAAATAGGCAAATTCGGTGTGAAGCAACATACCGTGGCTTCAATTTAACTGGATAACTTTTGATTGGATGTAACTTTTTTTGATCTTAGAGATATCAATTATTATTTCGTTTGCTGTTGATAGTGATAATTACTACTTTACTACTTATATTTTTTTTAAACGTCAATTGTATGATTCTTGGCATTTTTAATTTATTTTTAAGAACAAAAAAGTTACAGGAGTTCAAATTGTTATCAAGATAAATTGAACGCGCGGTATTTACAGGGTGTTTCAAAAATGTACCAACGCTCGCCTGGAGATTTTGACATCCATTAAAAGTTTTTAAATGTAGGTTCGGAAATGCTTCATTTCTAAGATACAGAGAATTAAATATTTTTAAAAAAGGGTGTTTTTACAATATGTTAAACATTTTTGTTCCGATTTTGTTGAGATTTGGCAACATCATTTAGAATGATAAAGGACTAAATGTGCTTTGAAATAGATTAAAATTGTTAAGAGATGCTTTTTTGGACTTTTTATTATGCGCTTAAAATAAGTCAGTAAAAGTACAGCTTCTTTGATTCGTATCTTGCCTCGTTTTCGAGCCAAAAAATCAAAGTCATAAAAATGTTGCTTAATTATTCAGCTTAATTGCAGGTATGTAAGTAGCCTGTTTCTTAAAAATATTGAACATCCTGTGGATCTTGAAAAATGAGCATTATAAACTAATATGAACTTTTTTTTTATTTTTTTGAGGATGAATCTACCGTCGGGCGTTGACGCATTTTTGAAACACTCTGTATAGGCGAATGTTGAGCTTAATAATCGAGTACCTATAGTTTCTATATATAATTAATTATCCGCCTAGTGCATGTGAATACTCAACAGATGGAATCTTTAATTTATTTTCAATTCGTTTTCATTTTAAACGGACCACGTATAGGAACTAATAGGTCTATTACCATTTCCAAAAATACATCTCCGATGATTTGCCTGCTGTCCCAGTGCTCGAGCCTACTTTTCAGTTGCATCAGAAAGTTTTTGTGATGATTTAATAGAAAAGGTATCTGCAAAATAATCGGTATTAATTCACCGTCGAGCCTATTTCAAATAATAATCATTTTTTATATAACGCGACTTACTTGCGAAAAAATTTCTTCCACCAAGTTAGATTCTAGCAGGAAAGAATTTTCGGGCTTTTTGAGCGGTTCCCAATAATTCTGAAAATAAAACCACGGCCGAGTGAGTTTGAAAATTAAAAAAAATAATATCTTTCTCTCACCGTCGCGATTATCTCTAATGACTCGACGTAGCTTCTTTCATTGTCGTACAGCTCGATTAGCACATGAGTTCTTGTATCCTGAAAGCATGGAGTTACATTTTTAATTAGCTAAATTAATATCTCGATATTTATCACTCAATCGATAGATACGGGATAAGCGTAAGGGATTTTAACCACGATTAAACCTGAACAAACGATAAGGCGTTAATTCGCCACGAAACATTGACATTTTCTTTTTACCGCTGATGATCCGGTGGCCGTGGGTTCAGGAGACGAGGCGGTTGGCCTATCTACAGGGTCTAAATGTAGTGTCAATTCTTTCCGTGAACCCATTTCTTCGATTTGGATCGGGGACTTACATTATCAGAGATATAGCTACCTACGTGTGTTGTCGTGACCACGAATTGAAACAACACCTTTCTGCGACCGGTCGGGTGGTTCAACTGATAGCACTCAGGAAGAAAATTCGACGACGCCATACGTCGCGTCGCGGCGCAACCGGACGCCGTTGCCAAACCGAAGAGAATTCCACGTGCCACCATTTTTCCATATACCGCGAATTTCAGCAATTTACGGTTCGAATAAAATCACTTGCCCGGTAGAGGAAATTGTTTCCCTTCTATTTTTCATTGCGTTTTTGTTTACATTCATTGAACTTTTTCATTCGAAGGGGTCGAGCCTTACTCCAAGATTGGTTTGTCTGAATATTTAAATAAAAGTCGCCGTCTCTTTGCTAATAGAATAAAAACTCTTTATTATTAAACCAGCGACTGTTGTAAAAAGCGAATAGGAATGAAAATGTAATTCTTCTTTTCAGTTGATTTTTGAAAAAAATCGAAGAACGATAAAAGCGCACGGATTTTAGGTGATTTGGCGCGATAGTATCGGCAACGCTGTCCTAATCAGAAAGCTTCGTTGTCGCTAGGATACCCGACACTGCCGACGAGCGAGGGAAATTGGGTTTAAAGCTGTATTATTCCAAACAGAGCATGAAGCACAATGATATTGACACTCGTCGTTGGATTCTGTCAAAAGATTGAAATCGTCTATTTCGCACACGTGCAATTTCTCGGAGATAATTTCTATAGGCGACATCGCATTCGAATTTCGAATATTTGCGAAATTGCTGAAACTGTCCTATGAGAGATCTAAAACACGTTTTATAATTAAAAAAAAGTCGCACCGTTGGAAATTTACATTTCAACTAGGTTTTAACAAGGTGCCTGCGAGAGTGAATCTCAAGTGTCCACTATAGCAGCGGTTCCCAACTTTTTTCTTTCTGCGAACCGCCTTTTAAAATCGGAATATATAAATAAGATAGTACCATTTGGTCAATATTAATTGTTAAACATAACTGTAATATAAAACATTTAGCAAGGCGTTACTAAAACTAAGAAAGCCATACAAAAAAAAGGATTAATATAATACGAAGAAGCACTAATAAAGAAGTTCTAAATTTATTTATTTTTATACTATTTCTGTACTTATGGTTGAGGTAAGTGTATTCTGAAAATCATTTCCCACAGAGATACGTTGTGCATGACGGCAATAAAATTTTGATGACCTTTTCCACTAAGATGACGTATCCATTTTTTACATCAAGCCAGAAATCTATTAAATAATGATCTGTATCAGAAGCTTTTGGAGAATGCGTCAATGAGCTATTATTCTTTTTCCAATAAAAATAAAAAGTGTTTGAAATTAGATCTCCTTGCGGATCGATCCAGGTGTATTAGGAAAATACTCATTGAATGTTAATTGAGGCTATTTACAAATCTTCTGCTTTCCTCCTGCGTCGATTTTTTATAAATCAAGCACAACAGTAGCCGACGGAAGTTTCTTGAGTTGCATTTTATTTTCGAATACACAGCTCATTCATATGGACGACAAATTCGTCCATTACCCCTAGGGTTTTACGAACCACCGTTTGGGAGACGCTGCATTAAAGGAAGCTCACACAATCAATTCGGGGGATGATTAAAAACCTTGTTAAGTACATATAAAGGAAACTGGTAGGTGTTCTTATTTCCCGACCGCCAAGACCAACAAAAGATATTTTGTTGATTTTTATTTCCACGTTAATTAATTAACTTTATTTACTCAAGTCCGGCTCTTTTCGCAGCAGTCGCTTCCAGGAAATTCTAATTTGCTTAAAATATTTGAACTCGGTTTACACATCTTTGCATTGAGTGAAAACGGGAAATCATTAAAAGATCCCTGAAATTGAATTTACCATTTCGTTCTGGAAGGTATTGGGATAACGTTCCGTGAAATTCAATACGAAATAATTCGATCGAATATTGTTAATGCGAAGAATATTTCTTATTGGCGAAAATTGTGCAAAGATTTGTTCGGTTTTCAGAAACGGGTCTTAAATTATTGCGAGTTTGTTTTTGAATCGTTCGATTTTCTCCAAGGAATTCCGTTCGAAACGTTTGATCCGACAATACGGAGAAAATAATGAATCGTTTTTGTTTGTAAACACTGTTTTATATTTTAAAGGGGAAGATATATTTAAATAAATAAAAAAAATATATGGCAACGTATTGGCGAAACAATTTGCCAAATCATCGGCCGCGTAAATGAATGAATGGATCTATTTTCGAATTTTTCAAATATTTTCGGCGGTTTTAAATCACCGACCCGAAAATAAACGCTCGCAAAAATGGAAACGCGCGCGTTATCGCGTGTGAATCACCCTGTACAATGTTTGCACAGTTAATTAGGAACCGGAAACCCTATAAATACGGCGATTTCGCGGGTATCGTTATTGAAATGTCCGTGAAACTATAATTTTAGCCAGCGCCAGTCTTAAACTAGTATTTTATAGCTTTCAACATTTACATGCAGCTATATATTTTGTGTATAATAAGTATTTAACGCCGATATATTAATAGTCTCCGATCAATAATGTTAACCGTTAAATAACTGCGGCAAATTGTCATAAACAATTTAAACTAAATGGTACCGATACTTACGTCCTGCTGTTGTTGCCCCGTCTTCTTAGAGATCAGTTCCTCGGAACTTCCTCGCAAAAGTTGTTCCAATAACTCACTCGTCACTTCCGTCTTCGTCAGTCCCTCTAGTTTTGAAGGACTCGAAGTTGTCCTCTGATGATTCGGCACTAATTTTTGATCGGCAGGTTCTACGATTAAACTATCCGCACTAACTTTGCGTTTATTGGCCGCCTGTTGCTGTTTAGGAGTATTCTGTTGGCTTTTAACCGGCGAAGTGTCGTCGATAGAGCTGTTGCAAGAACTACGATATCGCGTCTGTTTGGATTTACCCGCGTTAACCGAACCCGACGACAAATCGTCTAAAAACTTCAAATCGTTGCTAACGTTCTTTTTGCAATCGGGTTTTTTCATCTCGGCTTCCAACATTTGGCCGTACGGTCCCCTCAAGGGTCTCTTGGAATACCTTCGAGGGATCGGCGGACTGGTAGTTTCGATGTTGGTGCTTGATCTACCTTCGCAATCGGATAAGTCGGACGGTACGAAAGAAATCTGATCAGATCTTCGTTCGCTCAGTTCCGGTTCACCTTCCGATAAAGAATCGGAACGCAATATGCTGTCGCTTCTGGAAACCGAGATTTTAAACGAATCCTTCTCCTCCGGGCACTGCGAGAGGAACTTTTTGGTGTAAACTGACGGCCATTCGAGGCAAATGCTGCCCTCGTCAGGGCTTAACGGTTCTTCCGGCGGACTACTGCAGCCTTTGGTTCCGCTTTCTAACAGAGTCTCCTGAATTACCTTGTCCGTTTCATCGCAACCGCAAACGGCGTCCTCTTCTTCGTATTTATTGAGGATGACATCGTCGTCGCCCGAATGGTACTCGGCAGGCCACTGGGATAAGTATATCCCTTTCCTTCTTCTCGATTTGTCGCGTCGCCTGTCTTGGCTACAATTCGTATTGTTCTGCGTCCGTACCGTCGTTTTTTCCGGACTTTCCGGTGTGATCTGAACCTCCGGTATGTCCGCGTTCGTTTCTCTGACGTCGTCTACATTTGACTCCGGCCGCGTTGACGTAAACGCGTCTTGTTTACTCGGAACTGCCGCCGATCGGCCTACGTTTTTCGGTCGAGGCAATGTGTTCGTCGTCGGGCTGGCTTGTTCATTCTCGTCCGATTTCCTCCTGATGTATTTATTATCGTCCGGACAATAATCGACTTGGGAAAACGACGCACTCCTCAACGGTACCACCCTAACGTCGCATTTGACGGGCGTCGATTCATCTTGCGAAGCGGACGGCGATATAGGGGGCGTCGTTTTCGAATGTCTGGTCCTCGGAGGCGGTACCGGTACCGTTCCCCGTTTCAAACGTTCGCTCAGCTCCCGAAATTTGTCGTTGCCTCGTTTTTCCGCGCGGTTTCCGCCGAAGCGGAACCTGGGGAGCCGGTCCAGGATGATATGGTCCTCCTTGATACCGTTGCCTTCACCGTATTCGGCTAAACGGGCACACACCGGAGGCCTGGCTAGAACGCAACGTTTCTTCAACAGGCACGTTCCAGGGTAAAGAACATGATCGCGTACTGAAACGTTCGACGTCTGGTCTGACGTAGCGACAACATCCTCCGTCCTATTTGCGCAACTAATTATATCCACGCTATTAATAGGTGCCGCTTTCGGGAGACGGGATAACGTTGCTGTGAAATCGCGGCCCATGACGAAGTCGTGGACGGTTCCGTCGACGCCGCCGCCGCACGCCGATGTAGGCAACCAACAACACTGCGAACGGTACCGCGGACCCGCTCCGGGCGGCGGCGGACTTACCGCCCCCTTTCGCATGCCGTAACGTAGCGGACTGCTTACCGCCATCGATCTGCAAATCGAAATCACGTGAGGAACCCCGTTACACCCCGTATTATCTTATAACGCTGTTGCCATTTGTAATAGTATACCCGATTCAGTAAAATCGCATTCAATTAAATTCTTTAAAAAATATTTCAGGTTATATTCCTTTTATTTTTACTTTTAATAACTTCTACATCTATTATATTATATTTAATTTATCAATGTATTTATAGCTTCCTATTCAGTTTTCAATTTAAACATTTAAGAGGTCAAATGGAGTAGCTTTTGCTATACTTCGCCTATTCTCTGCTGTATATTTGTATATAACAATATACGACAATGAAGGAAATTTATTATTATTATTATTATTATTATTATTATTATTATATAACTAACCACTACCCGGCGAGGCATTTTACCGCTTGATACAGTTTAAATAATAATAATATTAACAATAACAATATTTATTTCGCGACAAAATAATACAGCAGTTAAAAACAATTACAAAAAGTTCGTGTTCAACCATTAGACACTGATCCTTAACAAACAATAAATAAAAAAGTTCCCCAGAGTTGAAAATAGTATACAAGGAAAAACAAAAAAATAAAATAGAAAGCATACTGCATACAATCATAATTCAAGGATTATTCGTTGCTGGTTATAGGAAGAGGAATTAACAGTCATGGCTTGCGATGTCTCCTGATATTACAGCACCGGATTTTTATATTTGGGAAATGATAAAAAATAAATTTTATAAAACAACGACCAGAAATGAAGATTTGCCAGAATAAGACGGGCAAGAAATTGAAGAAAGAACTTAGACGAGTATCCAGGCAGGAGAATCTTAAAAGAAGTGGAGAATATATAAAAATGAATAAATGGAGTCGAACGATATGACATTTGACAAATTTTTTGTTAGAGAATTGAAATTAAAGTGACCACATTGTTGAGGTTTTTCTTTTCATAGCACAGATAAAAACAATTTTGTGTATTGGCCAAAATAATGAAAAAACTAAATTTTGTATGTGGATTAAGAATTATATCCAGAACAACTTGTTCATATATCTCTAAAGCGAAGCAAAGTACCAAAAGGAGGATCGAAAGAAGAAACGAAGTTAAAAACAGCTACAAAACGTTCAAGTTCAACTCATAAACAATAAATGTAAAAGTAAAACAAAAAAAAAGAGGACAAACAACAAATCCTGCTTACTGAGACGTTTAAATAAGATGAAGCTTAAGCAGTTTTATTCTTCCGGAACGGCATTGTACAGCTTAAAGACGTCTTAAAAGAAGTATATTTGGAAGAGGGTTACTTGATGCGGTGGAGGCTACATATAGCCACGAAATCTCTAGTTCAGCGAATAAAAGTACTAGGGACACTAATTCAATACTATATTAACTGAATACTATAGTAACTGAATGTAATTTACGCCTAGTTTCCATTGTTAGAGACTTTGTTTCTTTAAGTTTATATGAAACTGGATAACTGGCACGTATACTACAAATGAAACGCAAACACGTCTATTCGTATTCCGTTTGAATTCTGTTGATGTCACGTAAATCCAAACATGAACCATACACCGTATCACAAAAATTAAAGCGATTAAAACCAACGAATCAGTCAACCTTACTTTTAAGAACTTAACAACAAATGTCCGTTTCATATAAAATAACAGATAACGATATGCAGTGCGTATCATCTTATTAACATGAGGTTTAAAACGAAGATTAAATTAGTTTAAATAGATTTTCTAAAAGGTGCCTAACAGGTAGAAGTTTCGTCGAAATATATGAATTTTATGTAAAGTACTTTTACTTTTTCAAATATCGGCAATTATTAAGAAAAGTCAACCATAATATATACAAATTTTGTAAATTACATCAAAACGTTATATTAAATTCTCTGACATTTGAATAGTAAATGCATACCTATCTTATTTTGCAAGTGAAAAGATGAACAAGTTAATTTTAGTGCCTAATAAGTAACATTCATAACAATTCGCTAAGACCTTTACATTTCTGTCTAGGTTTTTAGTTAACACATTCTTAATCATGTTTGTAGTAATTACCTGGCACGATTATTATCACTGTCAAATGCTCAATATTTCAGAAAGGCCAACAGCCATTTTGGTAGTGAGTTTTCGTGGTAATTTTTGGGCAAGAAAGCCTCAGATTCTGTCTATAAAATTATCATTTTATATTTTTTACTTGTGTATATTTTACTTTATGACTTTGAACTGAGGTGGCTTTTACTTGACCAAAATCCATTTTTCAAAATAAATAAGAACTAAGAACAGATGTTTACGAAATTATGTATTTTTACACGACAATTGTTTCGACAATACAGTGTCTTGATCAAATGTAATATTTACAAACTTCCTGCTACTATATATACCGAAAAACAACAATTAAACATTAATTAATGTTGTTGTGAGAATTTAAGCTCAATAAAGGAGAGGTATTTCATTGTAATTGATCGTTAAGCAATACATTTGTTAATCTCCATGCCTTCCAATAAATTTAATTTTCTACTTTTTGTGGCTGTATGTAAAATATCAAAATTGTCGTCAAAATTAACTATTGTTATTAAACGCACTTTTATGTTCGTTAATGCGTTTCTTGAAGGATCGAACTGTTTGTCCGATATCAATTTTAGGACAAGATCCGCATTTCAACCTGTAGACACCTGATTTTTTGGACATAGTTAAGTCTAAAAAAATAATAGAGTTATCCTGTTCAGTTAGGAAAACGCAAAACAAATTAGATTTTTCCATTTATCATAAATGTTCACACACGGACACAGTCATACCTAACAGCTCAAACCACCCTTATACACACAAAATGGCTGCATTTCACTCTTCTCAGACTTCTTAATACGCGACTCTCAACAGAAAATTACGACAAAGAACTCAATATCATTAAACAAATTGCACTGAACAACGGCTACAATCTGTTCATTATAGATAAAATTATAAATAAAAAACAAATGCAGACAACAGTAAACTCTATTTATCTGAAATCTAATACAGAACACGAACAATTTTAAACAATTACATACATAGGAGAACCCAGTGAAAAAGTTTCCAAACATTTGTCAAAATGTGGTTTAAAAATTGCTTTCAGAACTAACAATACAATAGGAAAATTTTTAAAAAACAATAAAACGAAATGTCCAATATCTCAAAAATCAGGTGTCTACAGGTTGAAATGCGGGTCTTGTCTTAAAATTGATATTGGACAAACATGTAGATCCTTCAAGAAACGCATTAACGAACATAAAAGACCGTTTAACAACAGTCTATATTCTAATTATGCTACACACTTAAACACAGACAAATACATTTTTGACGAGAATTTTGATATTTTACATACAGCCACAAAAAGTTGAAAATTAAATTTATTGGAAACCATGGAGATTAACAGAATGAGACTTAACGATCAATTAGATTTAAATACCTCTCCTTTATTGAACTTAAATTCTCACAACAACATTAATTAAGCGTTAGATTGAGTATCATTTATTATTCAAGGACCATCAAAAATTCAAGTGACAAGTACCCAAAACAATGTTCATCCCTTTTTGAAGATTCCATTATTTTGAAATGCCCGCAAATTGGCCAGTGATGTACCTCTTATTATTTTTTTTTCAATTAGTAGTATTGGAACATTGGGTCAGGGATAACTCCAATGCATCTTAAGTAAGAAATTTCTATTTTGATCATTAAGTGTATATTTATTTGTTTATTTTGTCCCTTATCTCAAAAACTAGAGCTGATAAACGAAATCCAGCAGCATTTTTTAAATCAATACATTAAAAACATGAAACATGAGACATAAAAATGTCAGAATTAATAAAAGTACTTTAACTCTTGCATAAAAATTTATATCTTTTGACAACCCTTGTATACGGTTCAGAAAATTTTATATCTCTTGGTTGGTTAGTTGTATTTCGAATTTCGTACACTTTTTTTCATAAAACTAAGAATAAATGAAATAGAAAATAAATAATATATACAAATATGCTCACAGAAATTTCAATTTCATATATATTAAAATTAGAAGTAATACTGTGATACGTTCTCTTTGGAACTTTTTATGACACCACCTAATGTTCGCAAATATACATAGTTGAATAACCCGAGTGTTGCTAATTCTAATAAATAATATGCCCGTCAAATTGCGCTTAAAATGTTTAATAATTAAAACGGATATTTTGATTATTGATCAGAGCAACATCTGGTATAACCGATTATACCTTAGCGGCGGCTTGTTGTTTTTGCTGGTAAACACGCGTTATGACTTTGCTTACGAATCAAAACGATCGTTAGGTTCTTGCAAGTTAAAATGTAAAAGCTCCGAGGCAGTGGGGACATGTTAAATGACCTCCTATTGTTCTTGTTCTATAATAATTAACTTATTTCATCTACATAATCCATGGGTTAAAATTGCTACCAATTCACAAGCCAAACAATATTTCATCAAGTGATATCGCGCTATAAAACAAAAACGCAATTTAAATATAAACAAATGTGCGTTAAATGAGTTTTCTTTGGTCGAAATTATAAATAAAAACTGCATATTTCATCGGAGCCATTTAGAAGTGCCTTTTATAATATTTATAGATAAATTTTGCATAAATAACAGGTAACAGGTGAGCCGATACTTTGATTTGAAGTGGGTGATTTGTAATTTCGTCGTTATACTTTTGATGATTCGATGTTTACCCAGCATCAGTACGATGCAAAGCAATTCGAATCAAATGCGAAATTTAAACAACCATCCGCTACCAGGTGACGGTGGTACTGTACCAATACACGTTATATGCGGTGCCTACGTAAGTATGCAACCAGATTGCCATCCCTAAGGTACGTACCTTTTATAAGAGTCGCCGTGGATGCAGGTATTAGGACAGGCCTGACACTGTCTCAGATAGTCCCCGTGCCAGTTGGACATGCCGAATTAGAGGTTGACCCCTTACGGGGTCAACGGTCATTGTACCCACCTTTCAGATTTTCGTGATGTCGTTTAATCGACTCGAGGCTTTTTCGCAACAAATCGCGACGCGTTTTTGAATCGAAACCTCAGGTAAACCGAATGCAACGCCTACTAAACGGTTTGGATTGTCCGACGGTTTATGTTGACGGCGACTTGATTCTTGGCTTGCCGACCACTCGGTGGGGGGCTTCGGTGCAGACCCAACAGACAACCGACCCATCGGCGAAGAAAGATACGTACTCGACTGGATGTTGGAAGTACTGCACACTCGACTGTCGGTTGTTATATCCACCGGCCGGTACGGCAGTACTATAACTACTCGGCGTCATATCACCTTCAGGAATTCGAACGAGTGGACTGTTATTATCGATATTTTGGAGAAGAGTTAAAATTAAATGACAAATATTTCGTTGTACCCCAGGGTAGCGTTCTTGGGCCGCTCTACAGTCGTTTCGACTTGGTGTTCTAATAATAGACTCTGAGTGTTATGATCTTATATAATACATGCGTGATGGAGAATACGAAAAATTCATATTAAATAATAATAATGTGTATTAAGTAGTGTCAAAAAAACAATATAACAATGTTCTAATCTTGAGTTTTAAGGTTCCATCTTAACTATAATGTAAAAATGTCTTGCGTTGAGATTTTAATATTTCTAATAATTTTTAGCCGTTCCAGCAATCTTGAATCTTTTTATGCCAATCTTTTCAGTTGCTGTCAATCGATGAAGAGGAAAACTAAAACTCAGTGTCCGTGAGAGATAAACAGTTTGCGACTCGCGAGTGGTGAAAAGGGAATTGTTAACCCTTTACCCTTTAAACTTTCCTCTTTTCTGTCGCTGTCTAAAACTTCCATGCAGTAGCATTCCCTATCTAATGTGACCTTTAAAATACACGTTATTCTCTAATATTCTCTATAAATTTTACTTTGCTCTCTGGAGTCCCACAAGGCTCCATTTTAAAGCAGTAGGATACAGGCATTTGCCTAAGACACCTCAGTTCTATTGTTTTGATGCCGATGACTACGTATTATAAGTGACCTTTCTAGTGGCCACAACCTCAAATTAAACCTACGAAATCATGTAGTAGACTTGACACTAAAGGCAAAGACACTAAATTAAAATTTGTAACTGCCGCAAAGAATCTGGGGTTGTATTGGATACTCAGCTTCTGTTTAAAGAACATTTAAAATCTATTCTCAAAAAAACCTACTGCTCACTAAAGAGGCTATATAATAACAGGCATGTACTAGGCAAACGTTTGAGATTTTAATTATACATATACAAATACAAAGAGTTCAAGACTCGTGTTGCGAATTCGTATCATACTTCTCGTCTTTATTTCGATATAAATTGGTTGAGAATGGATGCCCTTAGAAACTTAAGTTGTTTTTTAATTAAAATTATTAACGAACCCCTTGCTCCCACCTCTATTCGTGACCAATTAATATTTCGTTATAACGTAGATAATTTAAATATTAGAAGTACTATTAAAATTACAATGCCCCACCATCGGACCGCCATGTTTCGCCGTTCTTTTTCGCATTCACACTACCCAAAAACTGTTTAAGTCTCAATGTTAAAACTTTCAAATACACACATAAAAAATATATTTTTAAGCTAACAATAACATTTTCATGTTGTAAAAATGTTTATGTTTAGTTTTTTTATATACGTACTGACCCTAAAAAGCTTAAATTTTTATTATTATGATTTGCTCGAATGCGTAATGTCTAAAGTTAAATGTCTTGGTTAAACATATCAACATCCGGTTCAGTACAGTGTCTTTCAGCTAGGAATTGTCGTGATAAATTTATTGTCACATGCTCTGGTTAATAATATATTACACAATAAAAAACATTTATCATATATATATGTATATATATATATATATATATATATATATATATATATATATATATATATATATATATATATATATATATATATATATATATGATGACACTATATTCCGGGATATCATCCGTTCGCTCGTTGAACTCCGACTGGAATCCTGCATCCGACCGGAATCCTGCAAATCCTGCATCCGACTGGAATCCTGCAGACGTTTCGCCAAAATTTCACTTGGAATCTTCAATGCTCGCGCTCCGAAAGTGTTCGAAGTGTTTTCGGAGCGCGAGCATTGAAGATGCCAAGTGAGATTTTAGCGAAACGTCTGCAGGATTCCAGTCGGATGCAGGATTTGCAGGATTCCGGTCGGATGCAGGATTCCAGTCGGAGTTCAACGAGCGAACGGATGATATCCCGGAATATAGTGTCATCACATTTTTCCATCCGTGAATCAATACGTGAGAATATATATATATATATATATATATATATATATATATATATATATATATATATATATATATATATATATATTGGTATTAATGGGTAGTAAAATAATACACTTGCGATACTTATATATTTTTTTTATAAGGCGAATATGGACATTTGCATAATTCATTAATTCATTTTCCTACCGCTTCACGTATTGTTCAGAAAATGTTTTGTATAATGTGCATATTCTAATATACAGTATGAAGGGATTCCGCGAAGAATTCCATGGAATTCGAGAATAATTCGGAGGAATAAGTAATGGAAGGAATTGCGTACGCTCTTCCCTCTGTGGTTTTAGGCCTTCTTCTTAGTTTAAGCATGAAGGAACTACATTCTTTGTAGGCAGTTGGGATATACTTGGGTAGGTTCACAAATTACAAGGTAACAATTTGAATATTTTTTTAGCTAATAACAGTGATATATGTCTTTAGATCGTTTTCGACACTGTCTTATATATTGCGATTGCAATTTTTTTAAATTGATATTTATATCGAGTTGACTTCGTGGTCGCGTAAAAACGTGAACGCTGTAAAGTAACCGTACGAACGCGTTTCATTGCAAACGTGTTGCGGTAAACGATTCAACCTTACCGTTTGATTCCGTTTATAGGGTGAAATAAATTCCAGATTTGGCAATTTAATTGTTTTATTTTTATATGTCAAGAACAGGTCAATGGGTGATCCGTCCTTATTCTTTTAAGTCGTATCTCAGCAAGCGGAATGTAACTAGCGAAGTCGTGACTAAAAAGAAGTCTTAAGGCGTAAATATATATATATATATATATACCACGCCAAATGAATCCGCAACATGGAAAATCATGCCCATGCGAGAGTGAAATATTTAAACAATCGAATAAAATTATATAAATGGCGCCGCAAATCTGAGAAATTATGCATTTTAGTTGCCTATAACTAGTGAAAGGACACTTTAGCGCCAGTTGTGGCGACATATGTAACGATCGAGTTAAGTAGGTTGAAATAAATGTAGATGTATCGTGAGTTTTCAATTGTATTTAACTCCTATATGAGCAGTGTAAGTATCACAAATTAGTTTAAAAATATTGTGTCTAACAATGACAAATTGAAAGAAAAACTGTTAGCCGTTCAATCAGTACAATGATTTAAAGCTGTCAAAACGACCTTAGTAATAGTAAACAACGATGCCAAGTTTTGACACAAATAAATTTTATTTTGTTTTAGTTAAAACCGTTTCGTCAATTTATCAAGCGCATATGTCCCTTACCATCTTGGTCCCTTACAAACAAAAAGGTCTCGATTGCTGTCCAAACACGCGGTGTTTTTTTATAACGAGCCGACCGCTTTGTAAATGTCGAAACGATTTTATTTTAGCACCCAGACCACGGCTAAACACAAAGCCGCTATAATATGTACACGGGTTTAAAGGAACGTCAAAGCTCTAGACACTTAGGTTATGATATTTTTCAAAATTTATTGCTACGGGTATTTTACACGAGAAACAAACAAAGAACGTGTAGAACTTTTAATAATAATTATTGAGCATTATAAAAAGCTTTCTATTACAGCGACCTCTCGGGGCGGGCATTACAAACTACGTCTTGTAACGCCCGGCAAATCAGTCGCTGTCCACTAACCGTAATCTGGCAGTCAAACTTTATATTAAAGTCGCATTTTGAGCACCAGTATCGTGGATGGCATACAACAATGAAGGCATACTTATATTTTGTACTTACAATTAGATGTGCTATTACACGGGCTGTCATTGGGAAAGAGTGCGCGAAATTCACGATTAAATTGGACAATGTCAGTGGAAGATGATATCTCCGTTATTTATCCACCACGTTAAGCTTAGGAGGATCGCGCAAAAGCTGCAACATTATTAGTAATTGCTTTTGCGTCATTTCAACACCAACTAATTAAATTATTGTACTCCGTTGTGCTGTGCAAGCGTTTAATCCTTGCTGTGTTATTAACGTAATGAATAAACAAAAAACTGTAAATGTAAAAAAACGACAAACGTCAAAGTCGACAAGATTTTTTACATTAGAATATACAAGGAAGTCCTTAGTAGTATGGATCTAGGTATTTCTTGGTTCCGCCGTGGTCTGTGCCATATTTACATAATTATTTCGATTTTTGTTATTATTTTAGTAAAAACATTACAATCAATTAAGTATTCCAATCAGAAGAAGGCAAAGTGTCGAACAGTGTCCACATGTTACGCATACATTATACAATATTATTATTAATTTAGCAATCGGAAGGAATCGAATACAAAATGGCTCAAAAACAACTGCCGATTGTTACGGAGTTTGGTTTTTGAAACACCCTGTAACAAAATAAATCTGTATGATAAAATTTTTAACAGTTTACTTAAACATTTTAACAGTTTTTAAAGACAATGTGTTATTTACAGCGTATATAGACTGCAAAATGCTTATAACAAACATATTCTTGAGGTACGAACGAAATGTCAATAATATTTACATAAATATTGCGCGTATTGCACGTAAACCAAACATCGAATCACAAAGTCCAGTTTCATTTGGTTGTTAAACGACGACCTTTACTTAGTTGGCGGCTCTTAAGCATTTTTACTAATAAAAATGTTTGCCTAAAATCTACTTTTATTTTTAGAATCGCTTTTATTCTAGCATACGCTAAAATTTAATATACAGGGCTGTGCAAAATAAACAAACACTTGCGTTACCGTGTGTCAAATCAAAACGAACACGTATCACATTTCGCAGGAATCTAAAACAGAAACTTCATTTCGAATTGTACAAAAATATTTTTCAACCTTCAACAAATTTGTGATTGACTGAAGTAAGGCATGTATTACTAACTGCAATTTTTGGTAACTTAATACCTACGTCCTCGCGGTGGCGGATACAAATCCCCGTATTTATTATTATTATTATTATTATTATTTTTATTTTGCTTAGGTGACGCGGTTTTTGCAGGCCGCCATTGTGGGACATTAGTAATTTACTGTATGTGCTGATTGGCTGAACTGAACAAAATTCGTAACCAAACTTCTACATCTAATAAACACATACGATGTGAAAACTAATTGAAGTAACGCCGCTAACGCTTTGGGTATTATAGGCTTGTGGTTTTTATTTTATAGTGAAAATATATACTTCATTATAGACCGTACTCTTTAATTCTGTATAGACTATATAAGTTTTAATACAATTTAAACGTTTTGTGCCGAACTATTTTCTAAAATTTTAAAGTCTTTAAAACACCACTTTAATACTTCAACCGTATTAAATTGAATTCCAGAAATAATGGAATTTCGATATTTGCGAATTCCTATAAGCGGGTGCTATTTCGGAAATTCAACCCTCACTAGCAATAACGTCAACCGTCACTAAATTAGCAGTGTTTCGAAAAAAAAAAATCGTAGGAAAAATTTCGATTTAGCCATTGTGAATGTGAATTATGCGATAGAACATGGTTAAAACACTGCCTGTCTATAATTTTACTTAACTATTTTCATCACAGGATTCAACATTTTAGTAAATAAATTACATCGAGATTATTAAAAATTTCGCGTTTAAAATATTATCTGCTATATGTCTAGGAATAGGTTAAAAATTGTAAGACGCTTATTATGAACAAAGTTTGCGTCTTTAATAAATTTACTCGATTGCGGGATAATATTATGTACATCGCTGGTAATTACGCCACGGGTCGTAGATAGCTGATCAAGCGGGTAGACTTTTGCCTGAAACCTGAAATTTATCCGTTTGCAAACTCAACCTAAATAATTTCCGAGATTTTTACACCTACGAATTGTTATTTTTAATCGAACGCCCAATACATATTCAGAATATTCTATTTTGCTGTAGTAAAACAACGGATTTGTGTTCGGGGTGTTTACATAAGAATGGTTGTCAGGGAGAAGGAGAATTTTTTTTTCGAATCTGGACTCATAAAGGTACTAAATTTGTAAGCGACCCAAAGTCTAGTTGACATATATTTTCAAGAATTTCGTTTATTAAAAAAAATTCTTAAAATATTAACGTGACTAATTCTAAAAGGACTACCTGTGAAAAACAGAGTCGGGTAAATGGATAAGGGACCATCTTTCTTTTATTATTTTTGCTTTCAAATTTTTAGGCTAATTTTCCTGCATGGTTCGATAATTGGTTTTTAGTTTTTCTTTTCCCGGCAACTCAAACAAAATGGTATTGTTTACTGCCACGCCTACTAATTATGTGCACCTCAATTACCCCCTTTCAAAAATTTGACATGCATTTTTTTTATTCATTGACATTTTTTAATTAAACTCACAAAAAATCAACTACAAACTTTAAAAGTTTAGCAAATGGGATTCAGGGATTGAAGTTAAGCACATTGTATCTAAAAAACGAGAGGATGAAGGGCTCTAGTTTAAAAGTGCTTTTATTTCTATTTTAATAGGGAAAATATTGACTTCTAATTTAGGAATACCCCGCATATCCTTCTCCTGCTTAGTTTCCAGATTGGTCGTATTTATTCCTGTTTAACGTAATAGTGGTAATTTAACTGTCGAGGTCATACCTATCGAACCAGATTTATAATGTATGGGTTGTTCTAAATATAGTTCAAATCGATATGGTCGGTTGTTAGGAGCAAAAAAAATCTACTTACGTTTTCTATGAATTGAGATAATCCGTGATATCAAACGCCTTAAAAAATAATCGATACACAAGCCTGGGAAAATATCCGATATACATTAAATGTCGGCCACCGGACCACCCGTAGTTGAGATGCTCGTAGTCATCGTCTTGCCAATACTCCTGTATCATATTAAAAGGGATCAAATTGGGGGATACGATGCGAATAAATTACTTACCCTCCTATTGATACTGATGTAATTATTCCATCGACTAAACTATCGCGACTTATATCATCCACCATGGCTACCTTAAAGTGATGACCGAAGCTGGCTAAATCTTCCCTGAATGCTTCGCTGCCTGGTGTTAAGCCGCCACTTGCGGGTGGAACTGGAGTTTGACCGGGACCGCTTTCACCTAAAATCCGAATCTCAAATTGATCCCGGCTGCATAATCAGTCTCCAATGGAAAGAGAACCAATTAAAAAAAATATATAAAAAACTAAAAAAATCTCGTTAAGTGTTGATGAGGTAAATTTGTTTGAGTGCTGTTCTTGGTGCCTTGCGGATGACATAATAAACTGTTCGAAGTGGATGAAATGGTGTCTCACCTTCGACGTCAATCGCTTCTGCGTTTTTCTTAAGAGGTGCAGCTTCTTCATCGTCCGTATAAATTTTAAAATAAGCAAAAGCTAAGTAAATTACGGACACAATGAAAGAAGGTATGGGTATACACATAGCGTATATTAAGTTCATGTAAACCTGCCACATGTCCAAATGGCTTATGACGAGACCAGGTTGAATTTTACTATAGTAACACGAAAAGTTCGATCCTACGTTTACGTAAGCTTTCAACCAGACGGTGCAGTTGAGCATCGGTGGGTAACCACAACCTTTGACGTTGGGTAAAAGTTTGGCCTGTTTGTAATACCATTGGGACTTGTTTCCTTGCAATCCCGTTTCCGGCTCATCTTCGTAATCTTCGTAATCGTTCAGCAAATTGGTTTCGAATCCCGCGTAGGACGTCACGGTCGGGTGCACGCTTACATTCCACGAATTGTTGGTGAAAATTTTGTAGTTGACGAATATCTGGGTGCAATCGTAGATGTCTTTGGTGCAACCCTCCCGGCATGAGGTCCAGCTGCAATTGGAGGCGCCTAAGCGGCGATCCGTTTTCACGGTCACACAGTAAGCCGGTTCTTCGTCGAACTCCATAAAAATCGTTGTAAAGGCCGGGTCAATGACGAAAGGCACCAGAAATAAGAACGAAAACAAGCTGAAGATGCCGAGCAGTACGAAGAAAGCGGTGATGTAAAATAGTAATTTTTGCTGCCAGGTTTGCGTGATCGTATCATCCTCCATGGTCGTCGCACAAGGTCAACGGGGGACGAAAAGTCGGACCCCACCATCTGCACCCGCACGGGAGCACGGGAGCCTCACGTCTACTCACACCATTTGTCGTTTAAACCCCTTCCTTCGAACGTTACATAATACCCGCGTTTCGGACGTTCGAACTTGCCGCCCTCAGTCTTTTACATTATTATTGATATTAATTTGTTGTTTATTTCTTCGTCGGCGCTTCTATCTACGTCGTATCACTATAACTATAAGCACGAACGGGCGATCACAATCGTTGTCAATATACGAAGAGGGTGACGATGTTGACCGTTGTCACGGTATTGCCACTGGCGGGCATGATGTGTTTTGAGCACTGCAGTCCGTGTTTACAATATCGATCCCAACGCCAACATTAGCTCCCCGCAGAAGGTCGCGAAGGGGATGCGAAACAAGTTGCCGCGCGAGCAGCCACATGTGCTCGTAACCCCCGCCGCTACGACGAAAACGGGCCTATTTTTTGAGTAAGTACCCGTTTTTTCGCATTAGATCATTATTATGATAATCGTCGACGCGTTAACGGTTGATACGTATAACGTACGTAACGGCGAGACTAAAAACAGGGGATGAAACGGCGTGAAATAAAACTACCCGCGCCTATCGATCGCATTCGCCGCAGTACGCGGAGTATTGATCGACGACGGAAGGAGGAGCTTCGGATACGTGCTTCCTGCAGCGTTAGCAGTAGCGACGGCGACGGCGTCGCGTTCCATTCGTAACCAGACTTTGCCACGAATGTCCGCAACCGCTATCTGACAAAGGTATGCTAATTGTTAGTCCGCGATGCCTAAAAAGAAGCCAACGCCGGTCGAAGACCTCATCATTCCGCCCCAAGACCAAAGGATCTGCGGAACCATTTGCTTATGTCAGATGACTTTAGTATTGAGCAGCGTGGCTATCGTGTATCTGACGGTGGCGATTTACGTGCCGTCAACTAGGGCGATACAATCGGGTATATCGGAAGATCCGGTGATGTGCACCACCACCCGAGCGGTGACGGTCGAGACGTGCGATTGGGGCTCGTGCGGCGAATGGTGTCTCAGCAAAACGTCCGGCTCTTGCATGCAGATCTACGTGAATCTGAGGCACAACGGCTCGAATTTGCTGCTCGCCAATTGCACGAACGTGGCTCAGAAATTCTGTTACGGCAAAGATCAGGAAAACGCGAAGAAGAACCGATGCATCGCGGACGAATGCAAGAATCTAACGGGGACCTTTAATTGCACCATGGGGATGTGCATCGATATAACGGACTCATTCGAGTGCGTTTACAAGGATACGGATCCGCCGTTGAAATGTTCAGGCCGTAGGGGTAAAATCACGTGCATCGACTTGAACGGATTGTACAGTTGCAATCGCGGCACTTGCGAAAGGATCCGGACGCCTTATAATTGCGACAGACAATGCGGCGACATACCGACTCGCAACAAGAACGTAATCATGTTGAGCGGCGACGAAGTCTATCTGTCGCAATGTCAACGTTGCATAGACTTAGCGACCGGTGAGGAGGTGTGGAACGAATCGCAAGAGAATATCGTGATGGCATCGTGTTACACCGTCGTCAATACTAGCCGAGGTTTAGAAGCGATCGATTGTATCAACGGTTCACTATTAGCGAACAACATACTAAGCGATGTGGCAAATTTCACTTATTTAAGCTACTTGAGCGTTTTCAACACGATCCTGCTAGACGAAAGACGTATCGTCGCACCACCGGAACCCGATTTGCTGATAGCGAACGAGAGCAAGCTGCTGATCAACCTGGAGGGATGCGTGAACACGCTGAGAGACGAATGCAAAGAGTTTTTGAAAGTATATGGGAAAGACGGCACGGACCACAACGCGAGGGCACGATTCCCCTGTTTTTATTCCGCCGATAATCCCGCCGTGGTCGTGGCACGTTTTAATTTAGCCACGACCACCAAGCAATTTATAATCGCGTCTTTGCTACCGACCATACTATTTATCGTCTCGTGTTTAACGCTGATATTTTGTCAACGCACCGTTGTTGTCGGGGATGATGCGAAGATGCGGTTTCAGGGTTGCGTCAAAGCGGAAGCGGAATCTGCAGTGGAAAAGTCCGCTTCGAGTAACAATATTAACGACCGCGGCGGTGGAAATTCGATAATGGCACTTTGAGATCAGCAACGTGAGTATATCACCCGCTTCAAGCTAGTAGCATGATTTTGTCCGCGACGTTTTGTGCATTTTTCTTAATATTATTTTAACAGTGCCCAGACAGAACATCCATAAAGTGTCAACAACAGATATTCGTTTTCTGGGTGCCTGCTTACCAAAATATGACACCTTCCTGAACATTTTTTTTTAATGTATGAATTACAATACAAATAATAAGCTTTAATCAGTTCCGCTCGTCCTTTTTTCTACTTTAATCGCATGTTTAGGTTTACTCAAATTTTCCATATTCAGTTTTTTTTTTCAACATATCTATCTATTTAAAGTAAGCCGATGAATGATGATGAATATTTGGTCTGAAGGCAAATGTGCTCTCTGGGTGATATTTCAGGGTTATTTTTATCGTCCGTGATTTAAAAGTAATTGTAAAAAGGATTTGCCGGAGCAATTAAAAGTGTCATAATTTGTTAAAAAGCTTCCTTGTTTGAATAATTCAATTGTTATGTGCATAATTTATTGAAAATAATTTCTAAATTGTTTTTTTTATACATTCCGACATCCGACTTTTGTTAATTTCAATATTATTCGTCTGCTATGCTTTTTATTTTGTTTCTATTCCAACCCTGTATTATGATATTTTATCAATTAAAAACGCGTTATTGAAAGTTTCTGAAGTAACTGATGTGGTTGAGATCTTTCGTCGGTGCCGACTGGTAAATCTTACGTTCCAAAAGTAAATAATATAACTTTAAATGGCTACCTGGAAAAATCTGAATCGCGCGCAATCCGATAAGCGATTTGATGGTCGATTGTTTTTCCAGGCGTTCCCCTCCTGTTAGATCGAGACTGATGAAGGCCGTAGTGTGGTTGAAACTTTGGCTCCATCTCGAAGGGGAAGGCGTCGATATTGAACATTCCCGAGGCATATTTCTATACTGTTAAAGTTAGCAAAGGGTGACTGGGAATCGCCATGAACAAATCGAAATCCTTGACGATAATCAATCTAGCAGAAAAAGCGAAATTTTACACGTCCCTATGTCTGGGGACCGTCGCTTTCGTTTCAGTTTTCGCTTTTCTTTTTTTGATTCCGTTCGTTGTCGACCCGGCCATTACTAGTTTAATGGCGGATTACGATACCGTGCCAGTAACGTGCATAGCCACTAATCATATATATACCGAGGGCATATCAAATTGTTCTTGGTCTTCGTGCAAAGAGGGTTGTACCAAAGAAGCGACTAGATGCCATCAGATATACGTCAATTATTCAAAAATACCTTTTAGGGAGTTCAAATACCAAAGTCACGTGAGTTGGGACGTAGTTGAGACGCGGTTTTTAATTAATCCAGAGGGATGCGGGTACCCGCCGTCAGTAAACTGTTCCCACTTCGCTAAACAGTACGGCTACACCACCGCCGGTACCCCATTTCCCTGTTATTACAGCAGGGTCTATCCCGAAATGGTGGTGGCTCGTTATTCGTGGGACGATACGTTACGTCACCTAGTGTTGTCTTTAGCCATACCGAATTTGTTGTTCGTAGCTTCAGTTGGGGTGCTAAGCTATTGGTACTGTCCGGGATGTGGCAGAACCTGTCAGAAATATATGCACCATTTCCCTGCAGAGTAAGTTATACGGCAAACTTATTATAGAAAGGCCAGGAAAATTGAGACAAAAGAATTGCAATACATTTTGTAAAATGTTTTAAGACGTATGTTACACGCCCGTGCCTTTTTCTATACACTGTCTTTATATAAACACAGACCGACTACATTTTTGATCTTTAAACGATACGAAGCGCTCGACGACAAAAGCTATGTCCTTATGACAATAATTTTTTATGCATAAATATTTGTCGTACTTTTAAGACTTTTTCGTTTGTTTAAGTCCCTAGATTTGCTCTATATAAACGGAAAATCAATTCTTGCAATTCTTTTGTCGGCAATGATAAAAAATATTACTTATATTAGAGGTGCGACCAAAATAGTTTAAACGTTACATAAATATGTAGTGAGAAACCCAAAATCGCTGTGCATACATGATCATATCCTAATTTTAATCATAATTATATAGCAATTATTAAAAGTAAGTGGAGTGAGAGATTTTATCGCACAAATGTACAAAACATGCTCAACATATATTGTTTGCAATATCTCCTCGATAATAAAAATTTTAAACGATTATTTTATTTATATGTTGTCAATTAACCTTAATTGTCTATGTTTATATATCACGACTGTTCTTTCGTATTCTCTTGTTTGATTTTGTAAAATTATTTTCGTTAATTACCCCCATTGTCGACACCATGAAATTTTCCTACGTCACAGTCAACAATCTCGTCGATTTTGTTTGGTTTTTTCATCACCCTAAAAGCACTGCTAAAGTTGCTACCCGATGTTATGAAGATCGAATAGTTTCCACATATATCATTTTTCTTTACTTTAATCACGCCCGTTTTTTAAAATTACGCCTACGTTTAAAAGTAATGAAGATACGTAAATTCATAATCAGTGCGCAGCAATGTTAGGGAAAATGTTGATTTACCATTTTGTGCTGTTATTGAAATATGAAAAGGTTTTTGCTGTAATCGATTTTGTTAAAACTCTTGTTTCAGAGAGGACGAATATGAGGAAAATACTTATTATAATAGCCAAAGTTTTACGAAAATCCATGGTTAACACTTTCTAAGCTATTTTACACCAGATTCTATAGATAACTATAAAAACTCTATCGCATCAATAAATTATAGTACAATTCGCTTAAATATGGAATAAAAAGTTCCCTAAAATATTCGCATTATAATTAAGTTATTCGGGAGAGACGTTTTAATATAATGAATTGTAAAATGTTATCATATGCGATTAAATGAACGTATATTATATTATTGTAAATAATATTTATTGTTGAAAAATTTTAAATTCAATTCGCCCAATTACATTGCCTTTTTCATTACCGTCTTTTATTTTAATTCGCCCCACCTCCCTTCGATTACCCGTTTCCTTTGCCGTCATGGCGAAGCATTATATAAGGTTGTTCGGAAAGTCATTTCGTTTTTTCCCGTCAGAGGACTTAATTACGTTTTTTCGAAACCAACTTCACACTTAAGCCGCATAACCATTATATGTCTTGAGAGCTGATATTGCAAGGCTTGTGTGTGAAAAAGTTCTATTAATTCTACGCAGTAGTTTTTGGTTGGTGCCCTTTTAAATATGGAGAGCAATAAGCAGCATTTTCGTCATATTTTACTTTTTTACTTCAGAAAAGGTAAAAACGCTGTCCAAGCGAGAAAAAAATTGACGGATGTGTATGGAGAAGGCGTGTTAACAGTACGCCAGTGCCAGAACTGGTTTGCAAAATTTCGATCCGGCAATTTTGATGTCGAAGATGCACCACGGTCTGGAAGGCCGGTCGAAGCTGACAAAGATGCGATAAAGGCATTAGTTGATGCAAATCGGCGAATAACCACACGAGAGATTAAATTTGTCGAATTCGACTGTTTATGGCCATTTGAAAGGCATCGGCTTAACCTCGAAGCTCGATGTGTGGGTGCTCCATGTCCTTACGGAGCGAAATTTGTGTCGTCGCGTTGACGTGTGTGATTCGCTCCTCAAACATCAAGAAAATGATCCATTTTTGAAGCGGATTATTACTGAGGACGAAAAATGGGTTGTATACAACAATGTTAAACGCAAGAGGTCATGGAGCAGAAAAGTGAACCGGCTCAAAGCGTGCCAAAAGCCAACATTCACCAAAAAAAGGTGATGCTCTCCGTTTGGTGGGATGTCAAAGGAATCGTTTTTTTTGAGCTTTTGCCGGACAATACAACGATTAATTCAGAAGTCTATTGTCATCAACTGGACAAATTGAATGATTCACTTAAAGAGAAGAGGCCCGAATTAATCAACAGGAAGGGTGTAGTGTCCCACCAGGATAATGCGAGACCTCACACAAGTTTGGTCACTCGCCAAAAACTTTTACAGCTTGAATGGGACGTACTGCAACATCCACCATATTCTCCAGATCTGGCGCCTTCGGACTACTATTTGTTACGGTCCCTGCAAAATTTTTTGGATGGCAAAACCTTTACCTCAAACGAAGATGTCAAAAACCACCTGAACCAGTTTTTTGCCAGCAAGGACCAAAACTTTTACGAGAGGGGAATTATGTTACTGCCAGAAAGATGGCAAAAGGTGTTGGACCAGAATGGCCAATATATAATTTAATAAAATATTTATTCATTATACGAAAACTGTCTTTCATGTTCCCCAAAAAAAACGAAATGACTTTCCGAACAACCCAATAATTTATGACGTGGTCCGCGTTTAAATTGGACCAGTCAGACTGATGCGGCCAACTCTGCTAAATGTTGCAGCAAAATCAAACAAACATTTAAATTAAGTCAACTAACTATTAGTAAGTTGCTCCAAGTCAATATTATTTTTATTCAAATTTAGGATTACCTTAATATTTCAAGCATTTTGGCCTTAAATATGAATGAGCGATTCAATATTTTAACGCTATATACCAGTCTCTAATATTGAAGTCGTTTAAAAATCAATAACATATGTTATTTTACTCATCTACATGTTCTTAATTCGTTTAAATATACGAAATATTTGAATCAATCATACTCCTATCCCGTTAAAAATATGTGGCAGTTACTTTGAAAAAAAACATACAAATATTTCATTTATTCTTATGAATTTTGCAATATTTGTTCCAAACAAATAGAAATCACTCCTTAAATGCATATACATTTGGTTAAAACATTTATAAATCTGAACGAATGCATATTTATTTGAAGGAATCTACATAATACTAAATTTTCATGTAAGTTTCTATGCGAGTTCTTAATTCGTACAAATATTCGGGATACTTGAATTTTGGAATATTTGTCCAAACACATTTAATATGCATTCACAAATATTATAAATTCAGGAAAATAAATACTTTTGAAACCCATAAATAAATTTAAATAGAGGCATTGTCACTCTATAACAAATACATATTTATTTGAAGGAACCTAAAAATTGTTTAATTCAATACATATTATTCGGTGATAGCAAAAACAAAAAAAAATAACCCCCCACTCGCGTATCCTTAACACCGATTTACATGACAGTGAATACAGCGTTAGCAGCGTATTGGTGGTGTGATATTTTCCGGGTTCGTCTATTTTCTTTATTCGATAATTTCCATAATAAATGCTCTCGCGCAATCCTGTCGGTGGCGCTTGCGTCCTTAATCTGTTGTCCACTATTCCGCGATGTAGAATCCCCAGTCGGTGCAAAAGCAGTCCGTATGTCGTTTATTTTTTTTTAAGATGTAGAGAAACAGACAACTCCATCGCCGACGATATGGGCAGGAGAAATAAGTGCAAACCGCGAATAATTCCGCAACAGGACAGGCGGATATGCGGTTGCATTTGTTTTTGTCAATTGATCGTGGTTTTCAGTTGTGTTTCGCTCATATATTTGACGGTGGCGATATACATACCCTCATACAGGGCGTTCAAGAGCGGTTTCGAGGAGAAACCGTTAATGTGCCAAACGGTGAACACCAGTATGATAAACAATTGTAGTTGGGCATCATGCGGGGAATGGTGTTTGACGAGAACTTCCGGATTCTGCCCTCAAATTCATGCGACCACGAGGCAGAACGGTACAAGAGTAACGTTGCTAAATTGCACCGCATTTAACACGTCCATTTGCCCGCCGATAGATAAAAACTCGTTGAGAAGGTATAATTGCAACAACGGATCGGAATGTGCGGTACTAAAGGGAGTCTTTAACTGCTCGTTAGGGCACTGCTATAATCTATCCCAAATATTTGATTTCGAAGATTGCCATTACAAAGCGGACGGTTTCACGGTGGACAGCGATAAGGACAACGTTAAACTGAATGGTTATTTCGAGTGTAAAGGTTCGAAGTGCACTAAAATCAAAAAGGTGTTCACGTGCGATCGAATTTGTAAAGAAAACATCATTTCGGAAATGAGAAACGTTTTCATCGGAGTGGGGGATATTTTTCATCAAGCGTATTGCGATTCGGCCGTCGCACACACAAAAGCAAACGGGAATCAGGAGGGATCGGACATAGAACCCACCCAGTTCTGGACCAAACAACCCGATGAAGTGATGATGGTTTCATGTCACGTCGTCGATTATGACGAAACAAACAATACAATCCGGTAGGTACAATACAATACGTAAGTATACTATAATAAGGAATAATTAAACAGGGTGGACAACTTAAAGGTTACATCGCAGCGTAATTTACACACCTAGAATATAATCTAAATTAATTTCTAAATTAGCGTCAAATTAATTTACGTATAACAGGAAGACAAGTTTGATAAATAAAGGTAATGTGACAGCGTCGTTACTACAGGTGGTTTATTAGAATAACATCAATAATAATACATGATTATAATTATAGAGGTGGGCAGATAAATTACTCCATTTTTCAGAATCCACTGTCTTTATTCCCTCATTGCAAGTTCAAAGTCCCTCATCTATGTTCTTTAATTCACAGCGATATTGGGGAAGGCCAAGTATGGTCTGTTCATAGATATAAGAAAGTGGCCAACATACAATGCAACAAAATTATTACCTAAAGTTTCGGAATCTAAATTCAGGTAAAATTATGGTCCGTAATAGAAAATAATTTTACACCTACCTGTGTTTAATATTCTTTAGTTTGTTATACTACTTAGTTTAAGTTTATTACTAATCATTCTTATTTCGTGTGTAATACCGCGTGTGTTAAATCGTGTGCGAATTATGTAGAAAATGTAGAAAACACTATTCTATTGAGACTAAGGAAGTTATAAACAATGTTTATTTGACTCTCATTGAACGTGGTACCAGCAAGCAAGCATCTTTAGAAGAAACGGCCACAAATTGTAGTGAGTGTAGAGATGAAAGTGATCAAGATATAATACGGCGTAAAATTTACCAGTTATACGAGGAACAAAGCGTGCCTACATTGGATGTCTTAATTAGGAGGCTTGAAAAAGATGAAACCGGTGTTAAATGTGGCAGAACTACCTTATGGAAGTGTATTCAACATATGGGTTTTAGATTTAAAAAAAATTGACAAAAGGCAAGTTTTAATGGAATGTTTTAGAATTCGGAAATGGCGACTGTAAAATGGTTGGGTTGACTCAACTGATAAGTGTAAAACAAACGCGCCATCAAAAGAGGTAAAACAATAACTATTTTGCATGCTGGCTCTAAAGGTTGGATTCCAAATGGACTTTCTCTGTCTGCGAAAAATATTAAAGATTTTTCTCTGGATTACCATGAAGACACCACCACTGATTTATTTGAAAGTTGGTTTAATGGACAATGGAAGTTTTCACAGTAGACAGTTGACTAAAATCCCTTCCTCATGTAACACAATAGCAACAATCCAAAACTACATGTATAATAACGACATTTATTTTCTCGAAGATTATACCAAAAAGCAATTAATTGAGGTTCTACAAAGCAGACAAATGCAATTTTCACTGCCAATCGTATACTTTTCCTTGAGGGTCCCATAATTCCAGTGGACCACCCTTCCTTCAAAGCTCGCCTCGGACTTTTTAAATTTTTATCCTGCCATGTTAACCAACGGTATATCTTTCATTTGTCCAAGTTTCGCCCAGATAATAGATATCCCTGCTTTCCCTTCGGAACTGTCTCTCAAATATCGTCTTCCCGAGCCATTAATTTCGTTTGACTTGCCTTTTTCACTTTTTCCTTACATATATATATATATATATATATATATATATATATATATATATATATATATATATATATATATATATATATATATTCTCACGTATTGATTCACGGATGGAAAAATGTGATGACACTATACTCCGGGATATCATCCGTTCGCTCGTTGAACTCCGACTGGAATCCTGCATCCGACTGGAATCCTGCAGACGTTTCGCCAAAATCTCACTTGGCATCTTCAATGCTCGCGCTCCGAAAACACTTCGAAGTGTCGGATGCAGGATTCCAGTCGGAGTTCAACGAGCGAACGGATGATATCCCGGAGTATAGTGTCATCATATATATATATATATATATATATATATATATATATATATATATATATATATATATATATATATATATATATATATATATATATATATATATATATATATATATATATATATATATATATATATATATATATATATATATATATATATATATATATATATATATATATATATATATATATATATATATATATATATATATATATATATATATATATATATATATATATATATATATATATATATATATATATATATATATATATATATATATATATATATATGTATATATATATATATATATATATATATATATATATATATATATATATATTCCTTCGATACGTATATATATTCCTTCTTACCGATAATTTAAACATTATTTTGTAAAAATTTGGTATTTCTTTTTTTAAAAGGGTCGAGATTTTTCTGATGGCAGTCTTTTATTAGAGTTTCTTCTATTCCCCCATTTCTCCTTGGTTACCTGATGTCATATTGGAACACATTTGACCTATTTTTTAAAACAACTCCGGATGTTGTGTTTTGGTGGCGAAGAGTTTTGAAGACATTGAGGATAATAAATAATAAGAGCACTAAGTTTTTCAGTTTTTTGAGGTATCTTAACGAATTTTAATGTCAAAGAGATGTACGCCACTGATTTTTTTGGTAATTTTTGTTATTTGCTATTAGCAAGCCACTAAAAGCATTATTTTTTTAGTCTTCAGTTGTTTCGAGCGAAAATAAAAATCATAAAAATTGTCAAAACATCTATTTTTTGGGCTATTTGATGCACAATGAACTAAAGAAACGCTAACACTAAAAAAATGACCACAAAACCTCTTCGGTGCAGGCTTGTCTACGGCATAAGGATCTCGCACTACCCTTCTATGTGAATATTTAAAACCATGTATCTTTTAGCTAACCGCTTTTTAATACTCTGGCATTCCGTTGGCACTTCTTTATTGGCTATCAAATTTAGTTTTTTCAATAAAACAGTTGTTACTGTTTGGAGTTTACAACTTCAATTACAAGGTTTATATTCTCTAGATATTTGCCCGAACAATTCATAATCACCAAATTACATGGCTAATTCAGGTTGGTTCGTTGCCATTATTTTGTTTTATTTAGTTCGATTCCAATTTCCTATCACCTGCTACTTTCCTATCTTAGATTTTTATAAGGCATCGATTGACACTAATTTTAGATTTAACCATGATATTTGAGTTAAACGTTTGGATCTTTTCTTTCTGGGAAATTGTACTTGTTGTATATTTATTTTATTGAAAACGTGTTGAAAAACTGAAACGTTATTATTTTAGGGCTACCGACTGCATCAACGGGACCATATACAGTAGTGATTCGATACCGAGACCGTACGCGACTTTCAGGCAATTTTGGAATTTATCGGAAAAGTACAGCCACGTGGTGGATCCCACTTTCCAGTTCGTTCCTCCTCAAAGTTCTTTGACGATTTACAATCACTCGAGACTCTACATCAACTTGGACGGATGTGTCAATACCTTACGGGGTGAATGTTACGATTTTTTGCTCTCCCACGGGAGAGACGGCAAAAATCAAACCGCACCCAGCAGATACCCATGCTTTTATAATAAGGTATCGATTTTTTGCGTTCAGTTTTATTTAAAATATTCCGTTGACGACATTTTTGTTCCAGAACAATTCCTTCATGGTGATATCGCGTTACAATTTAAACAGAACGTGGAGAGATTTAATAATCGCTGTTAGTATACCGTCGATACTATTCGTCGTCTCTTTCGTGACTTTGTGCGCCATAATGCAATCCGTCAGAGTAGACGACGACGCTAAAATGAGATGCAAGTACTGTTTCGGTTCCCACAACAATAATACCGATTTGACCGAAATGATTGACAAATACGAAGTGTCGTCTCCCGAATCTGACGGACCTTCTTATGGCAGAAGGAATCGGGAGATCACTTAACGTTTTCCCAAGTTACGCCGTAATTAACTTCCAGTTTTCTAAGTCCGCGTTTGAACCGAATTATATACCTACTCGCTCAAAAATTAGAATATTGCTATGACTATGACGTACTATGACGTTCTCTACCATTGCCTGAAACCGAGGTTGAAACGGATATCGTATCTTTAAATTTAAAAGATAAAAAATGATGCAATTTTTTTCTTCTATTACCTCGTCCCACGTGCGGGCTGTTTTGCGGGCTGTTTCAGACCTTACACTTCAAGGTCGTATTTATCAGCTAAGAGTAAGTCTGTTTTTTCATATAAGAATAGGAACTTTCTAGGATTTAAAGGATTTTTTTTAATAAATTACGCTTATTCGGCTCATTTTGACAAAAACTTGGTACGCTTATTTATCTTCATGATGAGTTTTAGTTGCATTACATTCATTACCGGACTAAATTTTGAAATATTAATATTTTTTTTATATTGAACAATCAAAAATGTTACTTTTTTGTTCTTTCAGTTTTCTCTGTGTCTAGCTTTGTCGTTAACACAAAAATAAAAATCTGTCCGAAAAAACGATTTTTTCTTCAATTACTCAAAAACTTTAAAAATGATTTTCATTAAAATGAAATTATTTATTTAATTAATTAATAATGAAATTATTATTTTATTATTTTTGGCTGATGAATACGCCTTTAAGATCTTTGTTTTGAATTTTGAAGAACCCTACATAACATTACACCGATTTTGGCGCAGCGTTTCATTTTTTAAAATCGATCAATACATTCTGATGGTGAGATATTGTAAATTTTGAGCATCTACAAATTAAATTAATTAATATTTATAATTGTTTATCCTAATTATGATGAAGATAAAATATATACTCGACTGTGAAAGAGTATGTGTCAAAACTTCTGCCATCTCTTATGACGCTGCTGAATCCAAAGCTAATTCTAAGCGATATATACTGGGTACTGTGTATTTTCCGAGAAGACTGCTAAAATGCTTTCAGGTGTATTTGAATTTGAAAGCTAAGAAAGGCAGTTAAAAAAAATATGACAGCTCCCTCTCAAATAAATGACGGAAATAGATCTTTAATAATATATTTTGTATTGCACTTTTTACACGTCTGCGTACACCGCGAAATCGCTATATATATGACTGTCTCTCAATGTAAACAACAATTCTAAACTAATAATATAGTAAACGTGAATACGCTAATGATTTGCTTCAGTATATTATCAGTGTGATACTAATGATAAATTTAGTGTGTAAGGGATTTTTTAAACGGAGTGACCCCGCCATCATATAATATTTATCTCAGGAATTGTTATAATTTTCGGCCATCGACATGGTAAATTACTAAAATCCTGGGTATAAAGTTGGTTAATTTATTGTGCCATATTTTGAGCAACTGTGGTGTCACTCTGTATGTGTCTACAATTTGTTGATCTTAAATTTCCCCACCTTATTAATTTAAATGAATTGGGGTGCAAAATTATTCAAGATGTACTTAGACCTTTTTTTCCTCATACGTAGGTTCATTCATTGTTCATCGTTATTTCTTCCTAATAACTGAGTCGAATAGGTGCATAGCAAATACTCTAAAATATTTAATAAATGTGCCTTTTGCAAAAATTATTCAGCCTTATTGTGGTAACTGTTTCAAATGTCTGTTCTAGTTAAGTCTCGTATTAAGAATGACTTTAGGACTAACGTCTTAATTAGGCAGGATTCTCGATTACATTTTTATTTACATTTTATCTGTAAGCAGTTGTCAATACGTCTTTTTTCAGTCGCAGTCGAGGAGATTGAGATGGAAAAGGGTAATTCCCCCCGGGTCGGGAGTTATTTATATTATTTCTTTCTAGCAAATCATTTTTTTCTCCCATTATTTTTGTCTGTATTTGTTCGATTTTGTAATTACGCTATTCCGGTCGTTTCGCAGGGAACTGAAGTGAGAAAGAAAATGAAAAATTGACATAATATGTTGATATTTTATATTTTCGTTTATAAATAATAAGTATACAAAATATTATACCCATGTCTTTATTTTTCTTCCATATTGTTTCTAATAAAGATTTAAAATGTTCGTGGTTTGGTTTCTGAGGACCGTTTGTGAACTTAATTTATACTTCCCGAGGCAGAAGTTTTACTGTGTTTAAAATATTTATTGAAGATGTTTTTTTTTAATAGTTGCCTAGATGGCCGCCAATATACCTGTAGCTGACTCTTACCTGCATCTATGTCAAAGGGGGAATTACTCATCACCTTTGTTTATACTTTTGAAGATAAAGAAAGTTTGACGTTAATATTTCGGGTCCAAAATTTGAGCCAGCCGACCACCCAAAACTTTTGTTTTTTAGAAACTGTGCGTTAAAGGCCTTTTCCTAGATTTATTTGGAAATAACGATTTTCTGATATGATATACACGTATAGATATATAACTATTTCTATTTAGGGATCGTTTTTCGTTTTTTCGAGTAGGAGAGTACTTTTGAAGACGTGTACCTAACTAGCAAAACTGTAATTGATGTTTTACTATGTTAAATAAAATATTCGATGCTGATGGGTTTTTTAATGAAACCAAACGTGAAATAAATAATATATTGATTCAAACCGTATTCGCTCAAGTCCAATAAAAAACAAAAATGTTAATATGAAACAGGTATGATGTTTTTGTTTAATATGTTTAATACTTCCTCAATAAAATTAATTATACGCGCATTTAAGGTGAATAGCGGATATGTTGTATCGGAGTTAAGAATTAAAGCCGCAATTATTTCAGACAGTACGAGAAAAAAAATAAGATTTAATTCTAATTAAATTAAAAATGTTTATAATATCGTTTAGAAATAATATATTAAAATATATTGTTTGACTAGATTTTTCCACTCCCTAGACTCACAAACCTCATGGTACGATTTTGGACTACATGACTAATGACCTACATCAAACGCCTCACATTTTAATGAATGATCACAGAAATTAGTACCAGGGCAAAGAGCCTTACACATATAAACCTTTCATACGGACACGAATTTTTTCCCTGCAATAAATACACTTATTAAATGAAATAACCAAACAATTTTGAGGGGGATTAATAAATTATTGGAAATAACCACACATAACCTATAAATGCCAGTCCGTTTAGTTACGCACCTCTACTTGGCAATTTAATATTCATTACATTTAACAGCCAAATTGTTTAAAACGTAGCTTTGTGAATCTAGAAGCTTCCTTCGATTCATGGAAATGATGATGAGTTTTTTCGTTCGGTCGGAACTATTGCTCCAACCATGACGGGAATGTTGAATTTGGTGCCTTAATTTTGATGTTAAACTGTTTCAATGTCGCTTCCAACGCTTGTTGATTTCCGGAGAAGTATGCGGAAATGGCGTTGTGAAATAAAAGCAGCTGTTTATGCATAACTTTTATCTGAAAAAAATCGGCGCCCATAAAAAACCCTAAAATTTGAAAATGGGCGAGAGCTCACTCTATTCTCGTCCAAGAACTTCATTTTAATGGTAACTTCTGCTCTTAGCTTCATAAATTGTTGTCTGTGCAGCTCGTATCCCTGTTGAGCCTCTTCCAAACCTATAGTGCCCTCGGGTTTTGTCGAGAGCGACTCCAAATCGGTCCTGTAGGCATCATATTCGATCCGAGCCGCTTCATATTGTCTAATACTTTGTAAGGTGTCTTCAATAGTCTTGTGACATAAGGTGTTCACCGACGATATAAAAAAATTTAATGCTCCTAATAAAGTTTCGCCATTTTTAGTCAAGTTTCGTTGTGTTTCAGAATTGTACAAAAACTCCTCTTGAAGTTCAGGGGACTTTTGAGCAAGGTCCGAAAACGCCTCTCCTAATGCGTGCTGTGTTTGGACAACATGGTAAAAATGACTAGTAAGTGCTCTAGCTAATCGTAATATATTAATGTACTTCTTCTGAGTTTCCCTTAACTGGTCTATCTGAGTTTCCAATTCTAAAATATCATCCTAGGTATATACAAACCAATGCAAATGAAAGCTAGTAAATACCTGTATCATGGGTCCTTGAAGTTTTCCCTAACTTCTCAAACATGAGCTGTTTGGTACATTTATAAGTAGATATAGACCAGTTTTTAATATTCTCAATTCTAGACGATGTTTTGAGTAAAGTTGAATCATCGTTTTGAGTAGGAGATGATGGTGTTAATATGGCAGGTGAGCTTGTAGATAACCCCGTCGGTACTGAACGCGAGTACATCGTGCCGGAAGAATTCGAAGGTAAACTGTTGTTTTTGCTTTCGTGTGCGGGGGTATCTTTTAACATGTCGTGTATACTGGTTTTTTCAGCGCCGACCGAATTTGAATTTCTTAACTGGGACATCTGAAACGGCCGTCGAAATTATTTTATTTCGTACGCAGCAACTATACCTACTTTAGTTAAAAATTAACTACTGTTTAACACTAACAAAAAAACTATATCTACAATAACGATATCTTTGACAAGAATATAAACATCGTATCAAGTTATCAATACCCCAAAGGCAAATATCCCCAAATTTTCCCTGACTCCAGGCTGACCAGCGAATGGACTTAAGCTATTAAAGAGGAACCACCAATAAATACCCTGGTCGTCGCATTGTCTTTTAAAGAGCAGACGTCTCTTCTAAACGTTCAGAAGTCGATTTTAAATTTATTGCGAGTTCCTAAAACAGCCTGAAAACTGTGAAACCGTGTAATTAGAAAGCGTAGACACAAAAGGGGTTTTAAAAATAAGCCGTTCTATTGAAAGATGCATAAGGATAATAAATTTTAATTAAAATAAGTTGGCTTTTGACGAAAATTAATCTACTAATATTTGTTCGAAGAGAGTTAGATGTTAACTATTTCGCAAATTATGACGTCATCTCCAGTTTACCGTTAATAACAGCTACCGGAATGATAGCCGGTAGTTCCTTTTAATCAACTATTATATGGCTTCTAACCTAAATAAAAAGTTTAAGATTTGAATTAGGAAATTATTGAATTTGAAAAATAATTATTATAAATTACAGTGTCAAAATGGACCAGGAACAGAATGCAGTACGAAACGTACGTCTCGTAGGCAAAAATCCGCATGACGTATAACGATGTCATTTTTTAGTTTCGAGACTTTTTACAACTTTACAATAAAATGACTGAAAACTGTTTCTTAAGGTGCGTTGACAACGTCAACTCCCGCAATCTGGATCAAAATGAAGTCGACTGTGTTAATAAGTGCTCTCAAAAATTCATTAATTTCAATAACAAACTTATGCAGAACTTTGTCCATGCTCAGTCGGAAATCATGGATAAGAGAATGAAGGAAATCGCGAAACAGGAGCAACAAATCGTTTCTTGATGATAAACACCCCACATACATGCCTTATTTTAATTTATAATAAGTTTAGCTAATACACAGAAAGAGATTTATTATGTGCTCATTTGATATCCTCCTAATTTAACCCTATAGACTTAAATATGAAGTCATTGGCCATCAATTAAAATTTAAAATTAAAATTAAACCAAAAAATCTTCCAATAAAAAGTTCCAAATCATAAATTTACCTTGGCCGTCAAATTGCTGCTACTCTTTGGTTTTTAACCTCTGTGGGATGTTATTGGTGAGCTGTAGATTTTTTAATTACCAAATAAGTTTTGGAAAAAATAGAGGATGTACCGCTTCCTAGGGAACATTTACAAATATAAGAAAAGAAACCTAATGGAATTAGTTTTGAGCAAATTTTTATTGATAAAAAGAATGTACATACCTAAACCAAGGTCTATACTATTACCGAGTAATATTTAAGCACAAATCACCGGGATATAAACTATTTCACAACTATAACATAATATACAACAAAAACAAATTATCACGATTGATACTAAAGAAAAGGAATGCAGCAATAGGAGTTACCAACTAGGTCTTTTTTTGCTATATATTCTAATATTCCTATTTCAAAATACAATAAATAAAATCTCAAAGCACACAGATGTTATTAACTTTGTCGTTTAAAATAAAATCATATCAATTCTATATGCATATGAATTTAGCAACAATCAAAGTAGGCTATTGACAGTTAAAATATTAAACCGCATAAAAACAAATGCCTCACTCAAGCCAATCCTGTTTTAAAATATTTTTGTAATATATGGCAATATATCAATAAATCTTGTTAATTTTACGATGTTCATAAATTTTGAATTACCTCCTTTAAAAAAATGTAAATGGATCAGTTGTCATTTCTTTTACCCAAAGAAAACATGTTTGGCTTCCCTTATAAAAAAAAATGGTACACCTGCAATATGCGAATTCTTATGCTGTCACTTTGATTTATAGCCTATTACTTTTCCACGAGTTTTAGGGGCTCCAGATAAAAGCGCTATTATTTCATCCTTTTAACACAATATTATTGATTTACGTGGCAGGTATTTGTTTTTTACGATTTTTAAAGAAAATGTTTTGGATGGTTTTGATTTGCTACTTCCTTTCTAATGGAATGTCTAATAATAAAATATACCCAACTCCAAATTATTATTGTACTTATAAGCAAAAGGATTTACTGAATCGCTAGATTTAGTTAGAAACTATTGGTCACAAAAACTATAATAAAATTAAAATGAAATTTATTTTAAAATTTGCAGCATTGTTCATTTGGAATCGACGATTTCTCACTTCCCCTGCTAAAAATAGTGAGTAACTGACATCTAACCCTTCAAATAACAAAATATTATACAATGGGAATTAGTAAGATTGAAGAATACGCACTTGGCTCGGATATTAGTTTGGTGTTGAACCTCTCCATCACAGTTCCATCTACTTGGCCCGTTTACCGCTCTAAAACAAAATTCCCTTGCAGTAAGTGTCTCTACAAATGGCAAATCTTCAATTCCTTTATCACCACTGGATAATCGAAGTAACAGCCTGGAATTAAAAAAAAAAACCATATGCAACATCAACCGAAAGGAGAGAAATACTTTATAGAGGTACCTCAAATTATTTATAATGGACGTATGTCTAACTATTACTATATTGACTTTTCCATCGCCCAAATGACAATATGGCGCGATGCCCTTAGGACTTCGACTACAAGCGCAACTGATGTTAGCTCCACTGACCATAAAAAATTTCCCTTTTAGGGTTTCCCATTTGCAAGACACTTTGTGACTAACGCGGTTACTACCTTCACAAACTTCGCATTTAGCTCGGCAACGTATATCATCCACTTCTTTTTTGTCGGTATAAATTGCGATCTCACCTTCATAACCCTTGTTCAGCATCAGCTTTTTAAAACCTACAGTAGATAAAAATAAATTAAAATATTAACCCCAACTAGTAAACTTTCTGCTTTGAAATATGTTGATATTACAAAAATATTTACCAGAATAATCATATCTATGGGGACCCATCCATCTATACTGGTCACTATGGTAAGCCACATCACCCAAATACCCATAACTTAAAACACTAGCATATAACCTTAGCAGACTATGTTCATCATATACAGACACTAAATCTAGTCCTAATGTATCACCAAATATAATGTGCAATACTGCTGTGGTTTGATCTGTAGTTCCATGAATGCAATAAGCTATTGTATCAGTACTACCTCCTAAATTACAAAGTAAAAGGATGAATGAAAAATTAGATACTTTCTCCTGACCTGGTATAATTCCAACTGGTTTCCTAGGTTTTGGCAAATTTTGATTTATATTGTTGGGATCGATTCCTTTAATTTTACACTCTCGCAAAACTAAACCGTTGAACATCTCGGATACTGTTCCATCACCACCAACACAGGCAATGGAATCAAACATATCCAAGTTATGGTTTACTAGGAAATCTTGGATTTGATTTTTTCTTTGGGAAACATTTACTGTGACCTCCACCCCAGCCACACTAAATAGTTCCTTTCCAAATTTTTCATAGATTTGCATTGCATTTTGTTTACCACCAAAAGGATTTACAAATAGCAGGAGATGCTTAGGCCTCTTTTCAAACCCTTAAACAACACACAGTCTTATATTAAACAAGTAAATAACGCTAAAAATAGTTACCACGTAAATGGTTCTGTAAAGTTTTCACCCATGATGAAACTTGTAAGGGATCAGAATGTTTTAAAGCCAAAGTTTTATACAACCATTTATCGTCTTTCGCCTTTTCCGCATAATGAATGGTGAAATTATTAGGATCCGTTTGCCTGGGTACAGTGGAATGGAAACCTTTTAAAAAATTGTGCTCCACTGAAATAACGTCTTCGATGGGCACTCTACACTGTTCTAAAAAATATCATACTCAGTTAAAATGTTTGCATTTAATCAAACTTACCTAAAGGTGGTCTCTCGTTGTCCCACACGATAACGCCTTTGTGAAATATTACCCGCAACTTTTTTTTGCCGCTATAAAAACAAGTGAGAAGCACTGAATTTTGACTACCATTCATCGCTTTATCCTTCATTTCCTCATAATAACGCGTCTACGGGATTTTATCCGAGATACATTGCATTTCTTCCGCGAATTACATCGCCGTTGAATACACTTAATTTCCTATTAAATTAAAAACTTAATTACTAACTTCCAATGTTTTCTATTTTTGAGGCCATTGTGACGTCAAGCAATAATGAAGTAGTCTTCCTTGTTTGCCTTGACTTTCCAATCGACTCTTCTCGCCGGCTATCTGCTTTATATTCAATGGTCTACCAACAACATCCTTTTTAATGTTCCCTGGTGATGCCTTTTTGATTCTGAAGCGCGATGTAATGCGAAACTATTGTGTGAAATCAAAAATTCGGAATAATAAAATACCTATTTTAAGTAACAAAAATTAACTTAATTAATTAATACATTTACAATATGACAACTACATAATTTTTTTTTGCTAGATAGTTGGCGTAAGCTTGGCTGCATATAACAACAATCAAAGTAGACTATTGATGAAATATTAAATCGCATGAAAACAAATGCCTCACACATTCAAACCAAAAGTAACAACAGTCCCACCCTTGCAGTTCCTGATAAAAAAAAAGACGATTCTGTTTTAAAATATTTTTTTATTATGTGGTCATATATCAATAAATCTTGTGAATTTTACAATGTTCATAAATTTTAGAATTGAATTACCTCCTTTAAAAAAATTTAAATGGATCACTTGTCATTTCTTTTACCCAAAGAAAACATGTTTGGCTTCCCTTATAAAAAAAAATGGTACACCTGCAATATGCGAATTCTTATGCCTGTCACTTTGATTTATAGCCTATTACTTTTCCACGAGTTTTAGGGGCTCCAGATAAAAGCGCTATTATTGCATAAAAAATTGTAGACATGTAACATTTTTCCTAGACAATTAATACAAAAAAAACAGCCAAACAATAACTAACCAATGCCTAATCATCCACTATTGTTGAATATAAGCTTAAAATTTGATTTAAGGTGACATTTACTCGATGAAAATCCGCAATTAAATTGGAACAAACGATCATTATTGATGTATATGCTATTTCGACAACGCCGTACTTTTATCAAATGGAAAATATTACAAAGTTCAGATATGTATAAATATAACATGGTGGTAATCAGTTCTAAATTGTATTTATAGAGTTTATAAATTTGATTTTCAGTTTATTCGAATTCGAATATCAAAATTATTTTCAAAATTCTGCATTTCTGAATGCAGGCTTTTTTATGTTCGCTAATGCGTTTCTAAAAAATGATATAGTTTTATGGTTTTTTAAATACTTTCCTATGCTGTTTTCAGTTTTAAAAGCGATCTTGAGACAACATTTAGAGAAGTGTTTCAAAACTTTCTTGCTAAGTTCTCCTATGTATTTTATTGTTTTTAAAACTAATATGGGATCGGTGTTTAACGACTGCAATTAAAAATTAATTTCCGCCCTCACGGTGATGCCGAAATAGATGTCGCGCACATACACATAATTTAACTTGCTTAAAATTGGTTTATACCATATTTAAATTTACTAGTTTATTTATAAATTAAAAAAGAGTAACAAAAAGCCTCTATTAATCTCGTTTATCAATAAAACATAACCTGGAGAATATTACTTGGGGTACCTCTTCCTCCAACTCATGAAAAAAACATCAAAATATTATGGAGATTTTTTATTAAAAAGTGTACTATTAATTGTCTTTTTATAAAAAAAGGAACAATGTACGATTGTACTAGTTTGCACAACACGCAGTAATACTGATTTGCACTAAAAAATAACAGCCTAAAAGAACAATTTTAAATAAATATCTCTAAAACTAATATTTCGCAAAAAAATAAATAAGCACATAAATTACATACAACTAGAATGTAAAAATGCAGAGTTTACTTGCTAAATAATACAAGTGAAGAGTAGTACACGCCATAGTTACAATATTTCCAATAGCGATCGTCATGTGTACTTTTCTAAAAGTCTTGTGAATTTTCAAATAGTGAGTGCAATTCCTAAGCCTTCCTGGATCGAATTTTCCAACTTCCATCCCCACTCCGGCCTCCTTCTCGATCGCAGTTTTGATTGTGATCAAACTGAGGAGAGGAGGTGTGAGGTAGAGGTAGATCACTAGCTCTGTCAAGAAGCATACCGACATCCCAATCGCCTGTAATGAAGATTTTTTTACTGTAGACTCGATATTAATTCAAAGGGAACGTTTTATTACCTGAATGCCAATTTCCAATGTTCTTAACTCGGTGTTCTTGGCTCTCAGAAATACGGCTAGTGTCAGGAGGCTCAAAGTAGCGTTGAGGAAAAAATATTTCGGAAACAGCACTTTTTGAATGCTTCCGAATATGTGCCGCGGCATGGTGAAAAACAATGCCAAGCCGGATACAAATGTCATCCATATTTGAGCTCCAAAGTGTGTACTGAATGAACCTAAGTACACCAAAGTCCACAGAGGAGACACGGTAGCGGCTTGAGGTTTCTGCGACTTCGAGAAGCATAAAAATGCCAAACAAAGAACTGCCAGTGATATTACGAGATGAGCCGGTTGCGTGGTGTGGCATAAAATTCTGGAAAAATAAATAAATAAAAGTATAGTTGTCGCTAACGATCAAAAGTACGTCATACAAATTGAGTGCATGCGAGTATCGGTGAGATAAGCAAATTAACAGATAAACACGAGGAGAACTTTGTTTCTATTACATATTAAAAATAAATATATTAATACGATTTAATATCATGTGATTTGTGATGTTTGCGATTGATAATATTTTATTTTTAACGAGATTAGTATCACGAGGTTGGCTCGACAACTAAACACATGTTAATACCAGTAACTTTCCGCTTTAAGGAGTAATTAATTAAAATAAATTAAAATGGCCACCGAATGCTATCGGCCGAATTTTGGTATTTAACTTACTTGTATACGTTGGTTTTTTTGAATGATTTGTAAGATTCATTTAGCCAGAAAAGCACGTCTTTGGTATATCGGGTAGACAGCGCCAAAATATCTTCGGAAAACTGTACATCTTCTTCAGGTGGTACCGTATAATTTTCGTTATCTTTGGGAAAATTCTGTATCCTAGTCCTATCGGTCAACTGGCACACGTTATTATCACTATCGAGCACTCTTCCCACACACATATTGAACACTAGGGGATTACACACAGAAAATATTAAATTATTGCAACTAAAAAGCGCAGACGAAACTGCACTCGTATACCAAAGCTCCACAACGGGGCACTCAGGTATCTACAATTTTATCGTTACTTCAAATGGAAGGGTCTTTTATAATAATTCGATCCCCACTCCGAAAAGTTGTGAACTCGCGGCTGCTGTATACGGTGGACGAGATGCGATCCATTACAAAAATAAGCGTGCCAGAATCTGAGCTTGACGATTATTTGGTCCAACCGGATAAATAACATTGCGTGATGTTAGAACAGATTGAAATTTTAAACACGACGTACGTTGTTCGTTGTCACAGTCAATATACTGAGTGTTTCATTATTAAATAAAATAATATCATTTTTTTAAAATCTTACTAAATAATCTACTTAAATAACTTCAAAATCAATTGAGATGAGGTATTAAGTAAACTTTTCTACTAATTGTTTGCCTTAAATGGACAATGACGATACGCTATTGCGTTTTCAACAATTTTGTACCAGGTGGCCAAATAAACATGCAGGGTACTGTATCTCGGAACACATTTAAAGTGATATTTCTCTAAAATCCACTTATATACCAATCAAAAAAATATTTTGTTAAAACTAAGGTTTATTCCAGTTTTTTTCATTTCTGTCTACTCCTGATTATAAAAATGCTTTTATGATTTAAAAATTATAAAATTATGTAATAAAATATTCCTTCTTCAATATTTTTGGTTAGAAGTAAGATACCTGGAAAATCATATTGCATTTAATTTTTCGTTAATTTTTTTTTTGTTATTGTATCAAAAAGGCTCTCCAGCTTCTTTATTCGTTTAGTCGTTTAGGAGTTATAGCTGTTTATTTAAAAAAAAACATTTAAGAGACAGTTGAAAAAGTGTACATGGTTATTTGCCTACCCCGTAGCTTCACCTATTTTAACCAAAAAAGTGTGTAACAACTTTATCTGGCGAACGATATTTTTTTCTTTCGCAGACTGCTACACAATATTGACATTTGATTACAATCCTTAATGCGTAAAAGTGCAAATAAAGACAAAAAAATTAGAGCCCACATTTACTGGAATTGTGCCAAAATTCTTAGACACGTATCGGAAAAGTCAATATTGATCCCTTTGATATTATTCCTGCTAACGTGTGAATGCGTTGTGTACCGACGAAATATTACGTACGCAAATCCTTATTAAAATACATCCAATAGAATCTTATTAGCATTTCTCCAATTTCCTATCGAACACGCTGCAGAGTTTTTTTTGTTATGGTTTTATTTTAAGTCAAATTCATCATTTAATTATATATTAATATTAATGACCGAATTATATAATTAGGATATAATTGAATTATTATCGGCTTTTCGATTTAAACTAATCAGGATAACGTTATAAAAATTAGGGTTTTGACCACATATTAACCGCAAGACTGTAATCTACATATACAAAATGTCAATAAAATGTCGCTTATATTTTGTTTCGAAAAATTGTTAGGCTACCTTGTGGGATATGTTACATATTATGAACTTATTAACAAAGTTTTAACATACGAATCGAATCGGACTATTTAATTTTGATTAAAACCATCCCTGAGTGTGAGTGTAAGTCAAGTTGCATATCCAAGCGCAATGTATCAGAAAGATCCAATCAAGTCGTTATTTTTGATAAAAATTGATATTAACTAAAATGTGATATATAATATTAATAAGAATTGCTTTATATTAGTCCTAAACGAAAGAATAAACTTGACCATAATAATTATAGTACTTGTGGTATAGTGCACTTTAGCACAAAAATTAAGGGTTTAATAATAACAGCACGAATTTTAATTAAGGATTAAAAAGGCTCGCTGTTAAACACCTGTTAAACATTAATATTGAAACGCAAGCGAAGTGAGCTAGGGTCTAAGAATCGTCAGTACAAAAATTTCTAAGAAAACAAGTGGCAATCGTTGCAACCAAACTAAATTATCAAGCGCTTTTTTATTTCTTAGAACAAAGCCCGGTCTGCGTTTTTCGCGTAATAAGTAAATTTGTCGTAAAAAAAAATGAATGCTTAGGAATTTTTTTTTAAACCAAGGTGAAACCGATAGATAAACCGCGACCGGTCACTTTGCCCAGTTACTGTGGACGTATTTATGGAATACATGCGTATCGGGTAAAATCCAATTGTTTTTAATTCGGATTTGGAGTATAAGTTGTTTACGGACACGCGCATTCAAAAAAGCGAGATATAATTTGATTGGCGAACTAGCGAATGACGTATTTCGTCAAAGGTCCAGACAAAGCGGCGACAAACGCTCTGCCTAGCGACTGATAAGAAGGTTACTCGACATGTACTTTTATTAAGGTACACGTTTATTGGCAATCTGCATGTGTATTCGCAATCACACGGTGTAGACGAGGAAAACCGCACGTAGACCGCGACCAACAACCCTACCACTTCTTCGGACCACAACCTTGCTCTGACGTAACTTGTTACCGAACAATCTCGTCGATTAATCGAATCAAAGCTCGTTCGATGACGCTGTTAACGGATAAACGTTATGACCAATACGAAAACATTTATCTCGCCTTTGAAAATGGGGGTGTGTGCGCGTTTAAACACGTGCGTCGATCAAAATGGTCCATTAAAACGCCACTTAAACCAATTTTTGGTATACGTGACCCGAAGGAATCCTTGTTTTCTTATCGCTGAGTCATCGATTTTAACCAGAATTTTGAGACGGTTAGATGCTTTATGCTAATGGTTTGGTTTTGCTGTAGGTCAGTGAAATTTGTCTATACCAGACTCACACGACTTAGTGGGCGTTGCTTCTAGGTATTCTCAAAGAGGTCACAACAATAACGGTGATTTTTTCCCGTCGTGTGACGTCGATTTTTTTTTTATTTTGAAATCTTCCGTAAGTCGTAATCGTCGGTTATACGTCTAGTTAAAGAAACGAGGACGAAATTTTATTTTAAATATTTCAAAGCGATCATGTGCTTCGATATTTTGCTTTCGTCGCGTATATATAGGAACTGATTTTGGCAAAAATAACGTGATTCACACGTACGTCAAGTAGGTACCTACTAAAATTATTTTTTGTTTGGTCACATGTTCAGGGACTAATTTAAATTTAAATTGCGTCAGAGCTTTTATAGAGAGGAAAAGGGTCATGATATTTTAAATAATATTTACCCATTGAACGTCGCATACGCCTTATCGCAAATTTATACTCATAAGTTTCGTTAACTTGTCATTACCAAATACACATTATTTGAGTTTTGGGTGTTTATGGCATTTCCTAGATTTTTCCATCACTTCCCTATCGCTTAAAACCGTCAAACTTTATTTCGAATTGTTTTTAAAACCAATGCAATACTAGCGACATCTTATGAGAAGAACTTGTATTTCAGAGGAACCATTCATTGATCGCTTTATTTAAATACCCGAGAGGTGAGAGTTAGTGTGCTTGTTCGTCGACAGGTGACGCTAGTATAATAGGGAATTATATCGATTAAAAAAAATGTCGTCTATTGGAGAATTATTTAAAAATTATTATTAAAAATTTAGACATAAAATTGTAACATCAATATCTATATGCTCTGAGAACATATAATAGCATAGCACAATGTACGCCATACGATAAATAAAATAAATAAATAAATAAATATTTAAAAAAAAAATATGTGGTTGATACTTGATGATTATTGAATATTTGATAAGTGATTAAAATTTGTATAAAAAACTATGGTGGGGTTAGCCAACAATTTTGGTATCTGTGACCCCATCTACTAAGAACGTAAACTGCAGGAATACCTTTACATTATAAAGAATATGTCGATATTAAAAATAATAAAAATATTGGTTGACTTTGGTCGCTGTGGGGAGTTTGGTTTTGGCCGTTTGTCGGTTTTGACAGTTGTTATAATATTATATAAATAATTTTACTACCAAGCTTGCGACAAGATGCTAAGTAAGTTTGGTTGCATAAGATGAAGGAGATTAGTAAACTTTTACGCATTGTGATAACCGCTCATATGATTTGTTATCACCCATTATCAACCTAATCAAAATAACAAATAACATGAGTAAACTAGTTCCAAACAATCAGATATAGTCGACTACCATTTTCAAGTGTATTTGCATTCGATGTTTTAAGTGTTGTACCACAAACGGACCGTTTTAATTTTGTGTAGGTTCGAAAGTGGTTGTTCAAGGTTTTCGATCGCGCTTTCTTTTGTGGTATTAAACACTGGTTTACTTTTAACGAGGATACTCTGTACGCAATTTAATTCGATCGTTAAATAGATCACGCAAAATATTGTGACGTCAAATTTGGTAATAAGAAAACGAAAAGTGAAATTCTAGGTACCCGTTTTATAGGTATCATAAACATAATAAACTGCGACTTAACCTTACTTATTCAAATAATGAAGTTATCAGGTATGCTTATCAATCTATCGATACGTTCCATTTATTGAAGAAAATATCTTGCGTTATGAAAGTGAATTATTTTATTTTAATATCAATAGGAATTTGATTATTTCGCTTTGTTAGGTTCATTCCCATAGAAACGTACTTATAATCGTCCACATATGTTTATATTGTTTAAAACATTGTTGCTTTTCATATTTTAAAGTTGAATTTGCTTTAGGAATGTACCGTTTCGTATAATAAGGCAAGCTTCCAGCCATGGAATCGGAAGAAGCTCTGAGATATTATATAGATGAAGTCAAGGATACTCAACACGATATAAACAACATAGTGGATGAAGAATATGACTTTAACGGTAAGCTGCCTCATTGTTTTTTGTATTTGAAATATCGAATTTAGTTTCACCCTTGTCATATTAAGTTGGATTAAGCGCAATTGAAATTTATTGCACACTTAATTTATTTGATAAAATCTTAAATATAATAAAACAGGCAGTCTTTGCGTTATTTCATGTTTAGTGGTAAAGAAACACGGAAAAAAACAAGTTGAAAATATAATTGCACATTTTTTGATGGATTTTATTTTTTTTTACGTAAACCATATAAAATAAAACAAAATGAAAAACGATCCAAGGCACTTTGGGCAAGTTTCAGAATAAAACAGTTTGGTTAGTTTCCCTATTTCTCTTTATTAGACGATTTATTCATGATTGACAAAAAGTAAAGGGGTTATTGCCAAACACATTTTTTTAAACCTAAGAAATATAACCAACTACACTAACATGTGAGGAAGACGGAGATATGTTTTTTTTAATGACCAGTAAACTTAACATGAAATTGTTATCGTTTCTTGTTACTTTCGAAAACTTCGATTTTTCGGAAGTATCTATGCTCGTATAAAAATTGTATATCTCGGTAATGGTAGGTCCGATGGGATCGCCATTGGTACAGAAATGATCAGCGTCGAAAAAACAATTCTTTTTTTGCCTGTGGCCGCTCTCCGTTCTCGTCTTTTGGTTTTTCCTGAATCACTTTAGAACCGTTGGTCGTACAAAATTGAAATTTGCCTGCCTCGATGGCCTCGATGCGACTCTGGCATCCATCTGTCTTTCGCGATTTTCGACGGTTTTTTGGACATTGGTATAAAACACGATAAGTGTCCGAAATTTGAAGGAATCGACTTCATATTTGGCAGATATATGCAGCTTTGCCCCGTGACGGAACCTGTTGAAATGGGGGTGCTGGGGGGTCGGGAAGTATTAAAAAAAAAATAAAAATCACGTGTGGAAGGGTCTAAAAAAAATACCATTATTCACAACCGTTTACAAGACTGAAAAAATCTTGTACAAGAAGACGCAGAAGATACGCCTCCATTAGCTTTTACTCTTGACAATTTTTCAAATATATACAGGGTGCGCCGCAAATTAAAAAAGAAAAAGCTGAAAAATGGGGGGTCCCCCTATTATTATGAAAATTGTTCTTTTAGGAAGTAAGTTATTAACCGTAAATCAAAATTCGTACAAAAAATAGCCAATCCGTCCAGACAGTGTTATAGGCCCTATCAAGTGATACAATTTTTGTATTTACGATTTTCGTCTGTCACGTACACTGATCGAGATATTTGGAAAAAATCAATCAATCAAAAAATTTTTTATCCTATTGAGAAACGTGGGAGATCTAGGGCTCTAACTTTTACTTGCGGCATTTTTGGATTATGTACAGGTTGTGTCGATTATTTGTAAAAAAAAACAAAGAGATCCTGAAAATTGCCGTTTTCGTGAGTAAATTAAAAACTATAAAACATGTGATAATTGTTTTAAACAGTGTGGGCGAGATATTTGAAAAAATATAATTTGGAATCGCTATTATTTGTAAAAAGTTTTGAATTTACCAAAGTTTGGCGTACCTTTGAAGTTCGACGATATGTGAAAGACACTTCATACAGGGTGCATGCACAATGAAATTACATGGATTTTGCGAAAAATCTATAGTGGTTCGCAGATGCACGGGAGAAAAACAATACCTTCCTCTAAGACAATGGAATGGAATGAAAACTTGCCCCGCCCAGTGACGATTTTTCGAAAGCAATCTTGTTATCAATGGTCGGAAACTCCAAGTAATAATTTTGATGTTCTTCAGAGACGCGCTAGGATTTGCCATTAACGAAAAAAATTCGCATGCTAAACTACCATTTGGTTTTGATATTTTTGACTTAGCTCTTTTTTCCCATGTACTGTTCATTTATAAACTCACGAAAACTAATGAAATTCCTTTTCAGAGGTCGAACAAGCCACCGACTTCTTGCAGAAGGCGGGCTTGACGAATTTATCTTATTTACATCAACAAGGCAAAGAAATCTCGGAGAATGTGCTCGTTAATTCAGTTAAACAACGAAATCTGACTGAAATTCAAACGCAAACAATTAGATCTCGAGTGGCCACGTTAAACAAGACTTTAAGAAGTAGACAGCCACGAAGAAAACATCGGCAAGATGTGCGGGACGTCGCTTGGAATCTTGAAGTCGGGTGAAATTCGCTTTGGCAAAATACAATTTGCTCATAGGGATTTTGTTTACAGACTTCAAGCACAGGAACAAGATCGAGAAGTGCTACCCCGGACTCGTTAGACTCTGGGGACAATGGCAATTCTCACCACGATGATCTCACCTGGGACGAAGAGCAGCAATTAACTTCGCTACCTCATTTGTAAGTTTTTTTTCAATTTGATGAAAATTTGACATATTTTTTTTTTATTAATTTATTTCTTGATTCGTCGAATTGAAATTGCCAGCATTGCTTGGCAGTTTCTTGGAAGCGCAATAACACGAGCAGTGGAATTTCAGTTCTAATCTTTACGTTTTTATAATAAATGACCTATTGTTTTAGCCTAATTTATTTGATAGCCGTCGCTTCGCTATATTTTTATAGATTTGCAAGTCGAGTCCTATCATAATTAATTATTGTCTTTAAATATCGCGAAAATGCGAACTTTTGACTCGTCGCAGTTGTTTATTTACCCCGGTCAAATCATACTGTGCCTTTGTGAAAACTTTTAAAATCATGTTTTCTTTTTTATCGCCCATCGTTGCCGTGTTTTCGTAAATATTATTAATAAAATTAGCTGGTCAATTAAGTAACAGGGAAATTTCAGTTCTTTGGGTAACGCGCCTGCAAAAGTAAAAGTCAAATGGACCTCAAGCGAACCGTGGCAAAGTAAGAGATTCAGTAAAAACGATAAAGGGGACGTAGCTCATTTGGGTTCGGAAAATGTGGTTTTAAAAGGTTATCAGCCGCTTACGGAAAGCGGATCTCTCACCAAAATTCACAGGGAAAGAAGCGGAAGCGATCCGACGACAGAAATTCATTTAAGTCCGCTCAAAATTGAGAACGCGGTATAAACAACGTGCCCTTATTTGAAGTAACGGGTTTTAACTGGACGATTTTAGGAACTGTTAGAAAAACCAGGCGATATTGAAATCGTCCAGGGTCCGAGTCAGGTCAATACGAACCATAATTTTAGTCGCGTTTACATCCATTGCAACGAATTGAATGATAATAACGGTGCTCTTAGTTTTGAAGGACTCGTCAAGCAAAACGAAAACGTCAAACGTGATATACTTGTAAGTACACCCGCCCCCTTTGGGATGGTGCTTTCACATTTCACACTTCCATTTGTGATATTTGAAGCTCATTGCAGACAAAACGTTCCATCACCCTTATTTGGATTTCGTCACAATTAAACTTCAAAATATTGTTATTCTAAAAAAATCTGCTGTTTGGAATATAATTTTACTCATCATATTACGCGCAGCCGCTGGAGTTCAGAGAAATAATAAAGAGCTCTATACTCTACATTACTTCCTCTACTTCAATTTTCAATAAATTTTTCAGGGTTTCAACTTCACTCATTTTAAAAGTAGTGTTATGCCTTGTTACAAGTCATTTCGTCGGCAGCAAATTTCGTACGAAGAGGTTTATTCAAATTTACAATATCCATTAGCTCCTTTTTCAGTTTATCGTCATCGTGATCGTCAGCTCTTTCATTTCAGACATTATTTTCTCCAAGGTAGGTGACAATCTTGTTAAGTAAAACGAATGTATTATTTTTATAATGGTAGTTTTTGTCCTCTTCATTCATTCTATTCCTATACTTCTCTTTGGTAATTTGACGACTGTTCAACTGTTGAGTGTTCCATTCGCTTTGGAGAACCTCGATTAATTGCTTTTTGGTATAATCTTTGTGAGAATAAATGTCGTTATTATACATGTAGTTTTGGATTGTTGCTTTTGTGTCACATGCGGAAGGGGTTTTAGTCAACTGTCTACTGTGATAACTTGCATTGTCCATTATAATGACGCCATTAGGAAGAATGTTTCGAACTAGTTAGTTTTTAAACCAACTTTCAAATAAATCAGGGGTGGTGTCTTCATGATAGTCCAGAGAAGAATCTTTAATATTTTTCGCAGACAGAGAAAGTCCATTTGGAATCCAACCATCTTTAGAGCCAGCATACCTCTTTTTCATAGCGCGTTTGTTTTACACTTATCAGTTTCGCCATTTCCGAATTCTAAAAGATTCCATTAAAACTTGCCTTTTGTCAATTTTTTTAAATCTAAAACCCATGTGTTGAATACACTTCCATAAGGTAGTTCTGCCACATTTGACACCGGCTTCATCTTTTTTAAGCCTCCTAATTAAGATATCTATATCTTGATCACTTTCATCTACACTCGAGAAAATGTCAGCATCGCTCCTTTTGTTCCTCGCTGAAATGGGATTATTCACAATTTTCCATACAGTTGATGTTGGAATTTTCGTCAATGTGGCCGTTTCTTCTAAAGATGCTTGCTTGCTGGCACCACGTTCAATGAGAGTCAAATAAACATTGTTTATAATTTCCTTAGTCTCAATAGTGTTTTCTACATTTGGGCGGGAGCGTCTCCTGAGGTACACTAGACTCGCACATATTTTGCATAATTCGCACACGATTCAACACAGGCTGCATTACACACGAAATAACAATGTTTACTAATAAGTAGTATACCAAACCAAAGAATATTAAACGCAGGTAGGTATAAAATTATTTTCTATTACGGACCACAATTTTACCTGAAGTTAAATTCCGAAACTTTAGGTAATAATCTTGTTGCATTGTATGTTAATTACCGCCCTTGGATAATCCCATTCAAAAGCAATTGGTCACTTTCTTATATCTATGACCAGACCATAGCATTCCTGTTTATTGCCTTAGGTCAATACCATTTATTTGTGAAAGTACTATACCCTTTGATTTCCGAATTATTTCCGGTATAGAATTCGGAATCGAACGATGGAGTATGCATCGACGAATTTAGTGATAGCGAGTATCAGTATTTAAGACCACTGCTGTACGTGGAATTAATTGCCATATTTGACCAGTATAAGATAAAATATTCAAAGAAGAAGGCCAGTAATAAAACGAAAGGTCGGTTAATTTTTTTTTTAAAACAGTTGCCGTTTGTTTTGGAATACACTTATTTTTAGGTGGTAATGTGTTCGGGGTGAACCTTTCCACGTTGGTAATGCGCGATATGCCAAGACCGACCGACAACAGTATGATACCTCAAATATTTCAAACTGTTATCGATCAGTTGAACGCCAGGTGTTTATGCGAAGATGGTATATTAAGATTGGCCGGACAAAAGCAAAAACTGGAAAGTCTTTGTTACGAAATCGAAACGAAATTTTACTCCAACAGGAAACACGTGGACAATTTACTTCAAACGGCGACGGCTCACGAACTAACCGGAGTACTTAAAAAACTGATTCGAGATTTACCCGATCCGATTTTCACCATGGAATTTTTGGATATGTTTTACAAAACGGGGGGTGAGTAAGACGCGTCTAAAATGTTCGACGATAATTAATTTGCTTAATAGAAATTCCCAACACCGAGGATCGAATAAAAGCGTTAAATCTGCTGGTGCTATCGCTTCCGATAGAACATAGAAATACGTTCAGGATTTTATTGGACCTTTTGCTCAATATTATTAAACACGAAGCGCAGAACAGAATGAATTTGCATAACGTCGCCATGATCGCCGCTCCCTCATTTTTCCCGCCGAAAATATTGCTGCCCAAGTGAGTTGTAAAGTCCGTTGGTTTTCTCATTAAATTCGCACCGTAATTTTTGAAATAGGGACAACAGGAAACTTTTCGATAAGCCAATCACGAAGGAGGAACTGACTAAACAAATTAACGATGCGGCCGTACGTTGTTGTATCGTGGAAAATATGTTTAGCGCTAAGGAGAAGCTGTGGACCGTGCCCGAATATTTAGCTATTCAAGCACGCGAAGCTCGTAAAAAAAAAGAAAAAGACAAAAAATTGGTGGGCCAGCCTGTACTATGGTTGTGTTTTTTTTTTTTTAATTTTACGTATTTTTGTAGGGCAACGGCAAAGCGAAGCTAGTGAGGAGCAGCACTCAATACGAGCCGACCGCGAGATCAAAAAGGGATATTTTTGTTAAATAAGCAATAAACGAACCGCTCCAAAGTATTATCAAAGCAATATCAAAGCAGGACCAATTTTTATTAGGCTACGAATAAGGTATTCTTCCAGGGTTGTTAAGCGACCCCTTTGTTATTAACGCATTTATCATTTACATAAGTTTTTTAAACCAAGACTGTTAGAATACATTTTTTTTTAAAACATGCCGAAGAGCCGATTGAATTTTAAATAGTTTACACAGAGACCCAGCTAAAGGTTGTCCTAGTACCTAGTCTTTACATTACCATAGCGCGAACTGAAATCTCTCACCTCCTCGTACACCAATATATGTTTGTATATTCTTTAACGAAGTTGTGATGTTATTATTAATAAGCATAGACGTGTATTGCGAAACATTGTGCCAAATTAAAAACAATCCATGCAATAACGACGATTATTTATACAATTAAAAATTATATTAAACTTATCGGCTTGTTTATTTTCCCTCGAACAATAGAAGCACATTAATTACAACTTAATTTTCCCGTCGCGTCGGCCTAAAAATATCATCATAAAAACTCACAATACACAAATCTCCGCGAAAAACTGGAAAAAAATCAACGCCACTGAAGTAGTAGGCAATAAATCGCTATTCGGGACACCTGCACGCGGTAAAGAAACCCATAAAATCTTCAGCGCGGACGACAATTTACCGGGTCCCTGCATTTTAAAATGAAGCATTTTTTTTTAACTAGAAATATATGGGACACTCGCTTAAAAATGACAGCAGGTTAAACCGATTTTTTTGTCTTTTGTCAGTGTGTACAATAAATTTTAATTAAGATATGATACAAATCGTTAAGTACTATTCAATATTAAATCGAGCGAACACAAATAAATTACAAGAAAGAAAAAGTATAACACTTGTCAGGTGTTGACGGTTCGATTTAATTTAGAAGTTAGCAAAAATATGGAATATATAGCGATAAATCAAATTGACAGCAAAGTAATTTTTTACTTTACAAACCTTCCGCGTCTGTTGTTTATAAGTCAAACAGTGCATGCTGCTAAATTATTGTAAATTCAAAAAAATCGGCACACCTTTTTTAGTTTTGAAAATTCGTCATCTGGGGCTTTCAATTTGCTACAACATATTCAGAATTTAAGCATGAAAATCAAATTTTGCTCTGAATAGGTTAGGACTGGTGACTTGATACACTATTTGCATCTCCCACGATATTATTAAATTCAAAATATAGATGACACCGCATCTCGATTATTTATAACACTTTTTTACGGGTCGGTGCACAATTATTGGAAATCGGACCGTAAATTTATCTTGACGTTCTCTTTTTTTCGCTGTCACCAATAGTCTAACGTATTTATTCGGAAAAAGGTTTGACTAGGAAATGGATTGCTTGCAAATTGGCGTTTTTCTATCGTTATATATAAATATAATATAATTATAAAAATGTAAAAAGAGTTTAACCTATTGCCATTTTTCATAATATTTTATAACTTTATTTTTATTAGACGCGTGTCGAATTTGTCATCTAGTCAATTTTTTCCACCCGTGGAAGATTTTATGGCTTTTTATGGCAATAGCGGCATCTCCAGATGCTGTCACTTTTATTTACTGATTTGATTTACCGCTCTTACCCATTAGTTAGCCAAACCATTTAAAATAATTATTAATTTCCAGGATACAACCATATTTATTTAGACACTTTTTGGATTTAATGGGCAATGCAAATGGAGTATTAAAGTCCCTGGTTATAAACTATCTAAATAAAAATTAGATTTTGATTTTTAATGGTTTTCTTTATGCTATGGAAAAAGGTGCAGGTGGTGCGAATAGCGGCATCACCAGATGTTGTCACTTTCATTTGATTTACCAATCTTATCCATCACCTTGTCAAACCCTTTAAATTATATATTTTTAGAATAAAGGCATTAGATTAATTTTATTATTAATAATAACGTTTAAAATAACATCATAGGCGTTGCAAATGTACCTTTAAATTCTCAATGTTACGCTAATTTCAAAAGGTTTCAAAAGTGCGAGAGGTATAATAAATTTTTTGACTTTCTAAGTAATTAAGGTGCATTTAATAAAAAAGCAATTTGCAAAAGCTTAAGACCGTAAATTAACCGACCTCCCATAAATTAATGCAGAACATAACCTAATTAAATCATGGTTACAACAAGATTGTTCACGCATTTATTTTATATTATAATATTATCGTTGACGAATTAAATCGTACATTTTCAAATCTAATCGTAAAAAACGGTAAAACAAAAGCCCTTTAACCTGTTGTTATTTTTCATGGTATTTCTAATATTTTGTGTTTATTAGACGTGACAGACAGCTAGTAAATTTTCTTCCTGGGATTTTATTGCTTTTTTATCGCATCCAAGAAAGTGCAGGTGCAGCGGCTTCTCGACATGCCCTATTAATTTGTTGCGTATTGATTCAGACGGGTTTATTTTGTTCCGCTGTTTTGCTGGGAAATTTATATATATCCCATTTTGATAGACGAAATATTTTTCAAATAAATTTAAATCTGCATGCTATACCACCCTTCATAAGAAATATATTTATGTGCTTACAACTCGATAGACATATTAAACTTCTAGGTTTATTATTAAATATTTTAAGGTTTAGTTGAATGTTGCATAGATTTAAGATGCTATTGCGGTCAATTAACTTTAACTAAAATCGCTGTGGATTTTTTCAGGAAGGGGGCAAAGCAAACAAAACCAAGTATCGCATTTGCTTAATCTTCCATCAAATAAAAAACCTGCCTGCATTTTTTTTGACAAAAAATAAAGGAAGTCGTAAAATCTTTCATCCCCAGCAGAAAAAAATTACTGTCCGTCTGCGTCTTTAGAACTAGGGTGAGAAATTTGATAAAATATGTTTTAAAAACAGATGAAACGGATTTTTTTTTACCTTGGTTTACAATTAAATTAGATAATTGATTTATAATAAATATCGATGATTACTATTCAATTTTAAATTCAGAACATATATTTGCACAGCTACAAATAGCCTAAAAAGTTAGTATTTCATTCATTAAGGATAATATAATACTTATTATTAAATATTACTAGTAACGAATGAACCAGTTTTTCTACTCCCGTCTGTAAAATACCTAATTACGCACCGATCTAGCGTGCGGGAAGCGTCACTTTACACGTCAGTTTCGTTTCCCATGAATCCGAGCCATTTCGGACATTTCCGGGATTTCACCGCACGGGCTTGGGAGCAATCGGATGTTTTTGGAGATATTTCCCTCACTTTGAATTTTGACGTTTGCCAATTCTGGCAGCCATGAATGTATTCGTGTTTTGCGAAAATGTACCCAAAAACTAAGGGTCGTAGAAAAAGTATAGTATGCAACACGTTCGGTAAACTTGTTGCATAATAGACGATTTGATGTGCATTTATTTTCCTAATGTTATGCAGTTGACGGGTAACTGAGTTTCAGGGAATAGTTTAAAAAACATTGGAAAAAATTGGACATTAATTTCGATCGTTAAATGCAACGCCTCTGAATATATTGCGCATAAATCAAAGTGACAGCAAAGACGACCGGTCCGTGCTCGGGTCGAGCAAGGACAGCCATATTTATTATCGAGGGGGTCATTTAATTTATTACTGTTTAAAGTTTGCAGTATTGTTTTTTTATTAAACGCACTTAAATTATTTAATAAGGCAAACAAATCGTTACAGGTCTCTAAATTTTACGTCTATAATTTGAACCATAAATTAATTCTGACAGTTATTTCGGAGGTCAACAGTCCCATGTGTTTATTTGCAAAAATAATTAATTCGAGGGTTCGCCAACTTGATGGGTTATTGACAAATTGCTGTGTTCTTATCGTTATGTTTTTTGTAAAGGATTTTTTCGCCCTTCTGAATTCTTCTCGTCATTGTATCATAAATAATTTTTCAAATAAAATATTGCGTACATAACATTTGACAGAGGAATTCAAATTTTTATAGTAATTTTGAGACGTAAAGAACTATAAAAAAATTGAAGTGCATAAATCTCTACAAAATGGGAAAAATTGACGCTACTAAATTAATAGGCATTAAATCATGTCACACTGTTCGAACAAGTAGCATTTTTTGCATGCGATAAAGGAAGTCATAAAATCCTTCCCAGTTACTTTGTGTTTAGTTTTTTTTTTAATTAATACATCTAGATTTAAAAAGTCAAAGAAATTATAGGTATATTTGTGATAATTGATTTCTGTACTATTATAATTGAACAACAAATTTATTTATCAAATAAAATACGAAATTCAATGTTTTCATTTTTTTTCCTTTCTAAGTTGCGGAAAACAACAAAAATTAAATAATGAAGAATTAAATTTTTTATTAAGAGCTTAAACTGTGTAACAAGTTTTTTAAAATATATTTTTTTGTTGAAAGGTTAATTACTTAAATTTGCTTTGCTTTGAATTATGGCTTGTTGATGTACAGGGTGTCCGAAATTTAACGGGGACTATTGGGATCTCTGAAACCGTAAGAGATAAGAAATCGGTTAGATAGAAATTAATTATAATAAGATTAATTGAAAAAATTTTTGCCAATTTTAGGGTGTTTTTAAGTGTGAGGCATGCATTTTCTCAAAATGATAAGCTCATTGAAAATATTCAATAAAAAATCCAGGTCTGTATTTAAAAAAATGAATAATGAATAATGTCAGGGGAGAAAAAGTTGCCATTGGAAAGTGTCATTTGTTTTTTTTTTTTTTTTAAATAAGGCCAGGAAAAAATTCAAATGAAATTGCTGATTTTCAGTTTTTCCCGGATATCTCCGCAACCTATAAGAATTTTCTCGATTTTGATTTATATTTTATGATATATTTATAAGTATAATTAAACATGATTTTTTTTGCTACCGGTTAAATTGTGAGCCAAACGGAAACTCTTTTATTTCATTCGATTGAATCAAAAAAAAATGCTAAATAAAAATTTAATATTTGGAAACAATTTACATAGGTCGTTTTTTCTATAAAGTGTATCCCATTTTATTGATCCAATTTAATCCGCTCTCAGTGTCCTTCTGTGGATTATATTCAAGTCCAATCCAGTCATTGTACCCTTCTTGCTTGAGCAAATCAAAGATGTATTTGTAATTAATTTCCCCCTCAGTATTCGGTTCATTTCGTCCTGGAACCTGAGCAATTTGGACGTGACCGATATATGACGTTAAAGCCTTAATTGTATGCGTAATGTCTCCCTTTATTAGTTGCAAGTGGAAAATATCTAGTTGCAGTTTTAAGCTGGGGCTGTTGATACTTTTTAAAACAGCCAATGCTGAAATTGTGCACAATATATATTTTCATTTTGCAAAAAACATAATGACCTAGTATTCACCTTTCTCGTATGAATTCATGTAATATCCGGGGACCGAATATTTGTTGATAGGTTCTATAAGCCCTATTAGGTTCTCTTTTTCAAGCACTTTGGCAGCATATCTTAAGTTTTCCACGTAAGTTTGATCGTGAATACTTGTAACTTCATCATTTACGCGTCCCGACATTATATGAATTCTGAGGAAGTAAATAGTTTAAGAAACTTTATTGGGTTGCAAAACCAACGGTTGTTACTTTTTTGCTCCCAGAGCTTTCGCAAATTCTATTGTAGTCTCCAGATTTTTTTTAAATTCATTCTCTGATCCCGGCAACGCAGCGTGTCCAAGCTCACCTTTAGTTACGTCCCCTAAAATTTAAATAAATGAGTAAGCTACGTTTAATTGAACAGTAATTTGTGTTTCACCCGTTAATATATTAATAAGAACCTGCTCTATTCCTGCCGAATTTTTGGCACTTATGACTTGTTCTTTTGAAAACCCATAAGGGAAGCCAGTTTCAACAGCTTTAAACCCAGCTGCCTTGGCAGCCGAATATCTCTCTAACAACGGCTTTTCTTTAAAGAGAAAAGCCAAATTGGCACAGAACTTGGGCATTATTTTTACGTGAAGCGTTGCGCCACTTAACCTTAAATAAGATACACTCGTTATGTTTTATCAATCCTTTTTCATTTATCACGTTGATAATGTTATAAAATTAGTAAACAAACGTGATTTCGCATTTCTCAACTCATTGGTTCTATGAATGGGTTTCAATTTGTAAGAACTGGTTAAAAAAAAGGAATTCTTTTGCCATCGCATCACCAACGCTGGTTGGGTGTGTTTACGTTTTTCTAACCTTAATAACCTCCACATAATTGGTTTTGTGCTGAAGGAAATATTGAATATTTTCGAGAAATACAAAAATGATTGAGATAATTTAATGGCACCGTTAAGATGCTAAGGATATACTTGTTCTTATTGTTACTGTACTGGACCTGGGGTTTGGAATATATTCTTCTAGGATGTTACAAGCCTTCCAAGCAAAATAGACTTTTAAAGCAAGCGACGGGTAGTATAAATTGCGCTACGGAATGCAGGAACTATCATTACCGGTATTTCATGAATTAAGCAAGCCCCGAAATTTGGAATTCACTTTAATTTCCTGTCTAGGTATGCCAGTTATTTCGGTGGAGAATGTTACTGCAGTAATGATGTAGGAGAAGAACTTTCCAATACAAGTTGTAAAATTTTCTGTTCACAAGTAGACTGCAATGGCACATACGCTCTAAGGGATGTCTATATTACGGAAAATATGGGTTGGTTTCTAAGTAACAGTTTAATTGAATTTTGACCGTGAATATTTTAGCAACTGAAACCAACCTTTCCTTAAGGATTGAAAACATAACTAGCAATAGTTGTCGGATATTTTGGAGCAAACCAGCGCTAATTGCAGGTGTTGTGGGTTATACCATAACGGCCACCATTCTAAAAACCTATTCCAACTACCCTCCAACACCAATGGTTTGGGTTTATAGCAATGACACATTTCAGACAGAAATATCCCCTCTTAGATCTGCTTCAGAATATAATATTAGTGTAGAAGCTAAATACAATGACACCAATAATCTAGCAGAAGCCTACCAAATACTAGTTACCAAAATTGGAGGCAAGTGGTTATTTGGGAAACACACGAGGATTACCAATTCAATAATTATGTCGAATTTTTAGAGCCAGATAATGTGCCCTATCAACCGGTTATTGTCAGAGATGATGGAGAAAAAGTAACAATTAAATTATCACAGACAACCAATAACAATGGACCAGTGAGTGCCTACAGAATAATTGTCGTTAATTCAGATGATAATCAGGGATTTTCAAAGGATAACATACTGTCCTATAAAGACGCTCAAAGGCTTGGTCTGAGCTACTACATAGCCGCGGAAGTACGTCCAGAGGTGTGTATTTCTGAACGATATTTTTGTCGTTATTATACAATGTTTTATCCCGTCTTAGGATATTAACAGGGAATTTATTGTCGGCGATGGGAAATTTTACGGATCATATTACAATGCACCTTTAAGTTCGGGTGTAACACATAAAATAATTCTTGGCCTTGTGAGCAATTTCAATGGGGAAAGCAAAGTTGTTTACAGTAACGCTAGCGGTTATAACAACGGGATTTCAATTTTAAACGTTTACGACAAAGAAGATGGCAGTATGAATGGTGTTCCTTTGTTACAAATTTTTAATTTACCATATTGTATTTTAGATGACGCTCCCGCTGTTATAATTGGTTTATCGGTCGCTATCGGGCTACTTACATTTATGCTTATTGCGGGAATAATAGGATTTATAATCCTGAAGAGTAAAATAGTTAACAGAAGACAGAGACTGTCAGATAATCAGGAATTAACTTTGCAAGGGCCCATGATCGAAGTGGTGAGTACATTTAACGAAAGGTTTTTGCAATCGCTACATGTTTTTGTTGCTAGGAAAATAATGGATATATTCACGAGGAGGAACACATACCCGCGATTTCACACTATCGCAACTTAAAACAAAAAGTTAGGACGATTCCAGCGAGCCAATTAAAAATTGAATCCACGAACTTGCTGGGCATCGGAAAATTTGGAAAAGTTAACACAGGCACTCTGCATGAGAACGACAACCTAATTACAGTCACTTGCTACAGTATATATGATAAGAGGATGAATCAAGAAACTAAGCGAGGTAGTATGTGTTTTACACTGACGAGCAAAAATTTAGGTCACTCGAGAAATTGCAAATTTTTTAGTAGGTGGTAAATTATCTAACCTACTCTATTTGGTTATCTGAATTTAACATTTAATCGGAAAATTTGATGTTGGTTTTCATGATTTTGCAAGAAAACAACATGTCTGTTATAAACAAAGCCCAATTAATTTTTATTTGTAACTAAAGGCACGAGTAACAATTAACAATATTGAGAAAACCCGAAAATTAATACCGTGTACTCCCTGCGGATTACATTCTGGTCGACGTTGTTCCATTCCTGCATTAGCAACTCTCTTAGTTTTAGGATATCTCTTGAGCTGGTGTATGCCTACCATATTCTATGGGATTCATGTCTGGACTGAAGGCTGACCAATCAAACCGCCTAATGCCCACCTCATCCAGATATTGACTGACAATTCTGGTGGTGTGGAGTCTAGAATTATCGCGCATAAAAATCGTCACCAAGTCTTTCATCAATACAACCCCGACGTCCCGTGAGGCAAAAACACAGTACTTTCCTCCATTCCTAATCATTCCAGTTTGAATCGGTGCAATGGCGGCCCAGTAGCCATCCTTCGACAAGATAATTCACTAGCACAAGACTTCTTTTAACAGTCCATCCTCTAACATTAACCTAGTCTTTTGCTGATTCTCCTCGCAGGATTGACATACATTTTATACAACAGATCCTCCTACCAACAATTCTTACAGTTTCTTCTTTTCCTCTATCATCTTGTATTAATGCTCCACAACAATGGGAGCTAAAGGCATTATGACCAGTTAAATACATCTTAGATCTAAAATACACCAAACAGTCATAAGTTTTATGGAGATAAATTGGAAAGTACCTAACGCACAAAGTTTTAATTAGAATGAACTTACGTTATTTCTTAAAAAGTCGAAACTACGCTGACAATAACTGACAGATAACAAATATCTCTATCGGCATTTGTCGGAAAGCAAATAATTCACTTCCTACTAGACCGATGATTCGGTTTTTTACAAATTTTTCTTGAGTGACCTATATTAAAAGTACCGCTTATTATTCAAAACAATGTTTTGGGACCACATAGATATAATTCCAGGAATGTTACAAGAATTGGACGTTTTAATAAAAACCGGCAACCACGAAAACATCTTAAATCTCATTGGTACATCCGAAACGTCACAAATGGTGGTTATAATAATGGAGTACGCGTCTACAAATTTAAAAGATTTACTCCTGAGTAGCAGGGATCATTTGCCGGATAAATTTAGCAGCATGTCAGAGAAACAGGCTTTCGAATACGCCATAGGTATCTGTAAGGGAATGGCGTACTTGCATTCCACCAACGTAAGTTGATTTTTTTTTTCAATTTAAGTTTCAAATTGCCTGGTCTATTCTTTAGATCATCCATAAACAGCTTTGCGCGCGAAGTATAATGATCTCTAATGGAAGCACGCCAAAGATAGGGAGTTACGGGATTGCTCAATTCTTTAGTCACAACAAAATACCCGACTATACGCGATGGACGGCGTTGGAAGTATTTAAAAGTCACCAACACCACCCCAAGAGTGACATTTGGTCATTCGCCTGCTTGTTATGGGAAGTTTGCTCTCTTGGTAGGGTTGTTAACCGTTTTTTTAAAAACTTTTGTTTAAGAATTTCTTTTTAGGGGGCACTCCATATGGAAATATTTCGGATAACAACGAGATCCCTCAACATATAGCAAAGGGATTACGTTTGCAGCAGTTAAAATATGTAGGCGATGACATGTACCAAATTATGCTGGATTGCTGGCAGTTAATACCAGACGAAAGGCCCGCATTCCTGAATCTCATTGAATCGTTACAACATTTACGCGATCAAAGTCACAATGTGACAGACGTTCTACGTTTTAACTTGTATTCTAGTTTTCAGTACGAACAGTTTTATCCCGACATGGAGTTGTCAGTACGACCTGTATTTTAGTCCCGTATGCGTTGGTACTTGAAATTTACTTAAATTAGGGAAACATTACTTAAAATGATTTGTGTTGACGATTTTTGTGTAAGATATCCTTCGAAACTTAGTGTATAGGTACCATTATTTATTTTGACCATTATATGTGCATGCTCCGAAGAAAATGGTTTTTAGGTCCAAATAAATTATACAATTCATAAAACAAAATTGTCTGATCTGCGCTACCGTAGGATTTTAACGCCCTTTGACCTCATCTTGGACCCTTTCTTCCATTCTTATATATAAAAGGACGTAAAAATATGCCGGTGATTGGCCGATTATGACAATTTTGTGATAATAAAAGCGGATATTTATATTTTAAATATTTTTCTCAATAAAAACTGTGTTCAGTTCTCGACGTATCATTTCCTACTATACTCAAGATATACAGGGTGTTTCAAAACTAAGCGAAAAACTTAAAGGGGTGATTTCGTGTTTAAAATAAAGGGTAGTTGTATAAACGTTGGGTCATACTGCGCCACAAATATAACAATAAAATATTACAAACTTTCTTCAATTCTTTTTAAAAGAATGAATAAATTGTGTTAGACTACCCCTATCCTTCCTCTTGACTAAATTTCAGGACAATTTTTTTTATTTAGAATCTTTTAAAACCAGCAATTTTTTCATTATTACTCCACTCTTCCTAAATAAAAAATAGAATCTAAAAAAATGCGACAACGAGACAAGAAGAATTATTAAATGTCATAAGAAATAAACCAGGCATTAGCGACTCAGTAAAATGGAAAACACTTACTATAACAATTATACAATTTTTTGCTCTACGTGGTTCGCTGATTTGTTGTGTTTTTATCGGGATTACATTGTTTAAATAAAATATTTTTAAAGAATGTATTTATTCGCCGTTTACACATGAATAGAACAATTAATTTCAGAAATGTTTATTAATATAACATTTTTGAATTGCAATTGTTTAGAAGAATATTAACAAATGTGGTGCAAAATACTAGCATCCAACTAAATATATTCCTATTTTTTTTATATGCAATGTTTTGCATTTTATTTTTTTATTTGGAAACTAAGTTTTATGAAAAAATTGCATGTGCATGTCATTGCCTAAGTTTTTCTTTAAATTTGATGATAGGATGATAGGATATGCACAAAGTGTGTTTTTATATTAGTAATACTGCCGTAATATTTTAATGTATCTATTTTCGTTTTTAATATATTACAAACCATCGACTAAAGTATGGCAATGAAGTAATGTTCATAAAAATATTAAATCAAACAAGAATAAGAAGAAAAAACACTCTTGCAAAAGCAAGGTATTTGCTATGTTTTATCAACAACCATTCTATATTCATAGAAATATAAACTTCTTTTAAATAAATTTAGAGATGCAAACGGAAATTCATAGGAGGTGACGTCATGCGAGCCCGATCCAATCAAGTTTGAGTTCTTAGATTTTGAGAATACGACCCCAAGCACAAGCGCGCGTATCGGTGGAGCCATCTGTCTGTCGTCTGTTCTTCATTGCCGGTTGTAGACTGTCAGCGTGAAGAAGTAGTGTGGAATTTTTGCCCTATTATTCATTTCTTTCAACAGGAAAAAGCATCAAGTAAGTTTTTATTAGCTCGTATAGTGTTTTGTCGTCTTCTGTGATAGGATATTGTATTGGCGGTCGCTTCACCTTGTCGCGCGTTTATTTTAAACTTGCTTTTATTGGGACGCCATATTTGTGTGCCGTGAACGACGGTTAGTAAACCCCGTATCGATCATAACCGTAGACGGTGCTTTTAGTAGTCCTGTTCTAGTCGCTGTAGTGCATGCTTGTGTGAGTGTGTTATCGGCATCGTTTGCCAGAAAATCTAACTTAGGATTGTCGGATTAAGTTGTAAGTTGCATTTAAGGAGCACGTGCCAACCAAAAGAAACAAAATCGCTCGCTAACGAAACGATGTAGTTTTTCGTGAATCTTGGCGGGTTGTGGTCGACGGGGTACAGTTGACCTTCAATATTTTCGAACGAATTATGAAAATCTCGCAAGTTATCGCTAATTTTATTAAGGTCGTCGTTTTATTTGCGGAAGGTGACGTCAGACGATGTCAATTCGAGAAATTCTTTCGTCATGTTTCATGCACGCCGAAGTGTTGTCCCTTGTGGAGCATTGTACCCATTTTTGATTTTTGGGGGGAAAGGGGCGCGAATCGAGCAGCGCGATCTCTGTATCGGTTTGTGTCCGAACTACGCATTTCAACCCGGTCCGGCGGCGCAAACATCAAGGCGCAAGGTGTGGCTTGACGCCATTTTGATCGCGCAGTCTCTCGTTAGTAAGCCGGGTTCGCACATCTTGGCCGCCTTGTGTTAAAGCGATTTCGCATTTTCCAATTAAAACCGGGTTTTGTGATTTTCATTCGATCCCCTCGCGATTCGTGAGGCTTAAAGCGGAATCTCTCGCAGATTACAGGTTAGAGCAGAATGTCTGTCCCCGACAAAGATGAGCTGGTGCAAAGGGCCAAATTGGCCGAACAGGCCGAAAGGTACGACGACATGGCCTCCGCTATGAAATCCGTCACAGAGACCGGAGTGGAACTCAGTAACGAGGAGCGAAATCTTTTATCGGTGGCTTACAAAAATGTCGTCGGTGCCAGGAGGTCTTCTTGGAGGGTTATATCATCAATCGAACAGAAAACCGAAGGCTCCGAACGGAAACAGCAGATGGCTAAAGAATATAGAGAAAAAGTAGAGAAAGAACTGAGGGAAATTTGTGACGATGTTCTTGTGAGTATTGTGCTTCCCCCAATGGAGTTGCGTTATTGTTCAATTATTACTATGATGTTTAAGAGTATAACTTTCGTTCTTCTGAATAGTTTTGAGGAAATTCTCGCTGATGTTACAAGTGATGTTTTAACATCGCAAGTCCCTGCGTTTGCCTTAAGCTAAAACCGTCCTTGTGTTTGTAGGGTCTTTTGGACAAATACCTAATCCCCAAAGCATCTAATGCAGAATCGAAAGTTTTCTACCTTAAAATGAAGGGTGACTACTATAGGTACCTTGCTGAAGTCGCGACAGGAGACACTAGAAATAGTAAGTGTTGTTAAAGATCATGTCAAGTTATTTTTAATTAACTTCCTGGCAGTTTGTACAATTGTTAATGTTTTTCAGCTGTGGTTGATTATTCCCAAAAAGCATATCAAGATGCTTTTGAAATTTCAAAGGCGAAAATGACGCCAACACATCCAATCAGGCTGGGTTTAGCTTTAAATTTCTCCGTATTCTACTATGAAATATTAAATTCGCCAGATAAAGCCTGCCAATTGGCTAAACAGGTTACTATGGATTTCATTTTCAATTCAACAGGCAGAATTACAATTGGCAAATTTATCTCAATAGGGTATCGCGAGTTTATGTGATCCTTTTTTGAGGATTTTTCAGAAACGATTCATCGAGATTTCATTTGGGGGGGATGCCGAGTAGGATATACTTTTTGCACAAATAACACTTGAAATTAATGTTGTTGTCATTTATGGGGAGCCTTAAGAGGAAAGTAATAATGATTTTTTTCTGTAGAAGTGGTCGAGGATTCTCAAAAGGCATACCAGGAAGCGTTTGACATTGCCAAATCGAAAATGCAATCAACACACCCTATTCGACTGGGCCTGGCTCTAAATTTCTCGGTGTTTTACTATGAAATTATCAATTCCCCGGCGCGTGCCTGTCACCTGGCCAAACAGGTTTGTCGTGTGTGTCCCTAATGCCCTGTAATTCTGCCTGTACGCTACTAACCAACCCTCAACACCCTTCGCAACGCTTGTGAACCTCTCTAAGTCTTGTTGTTTTTTTTTCTTCTTTTTTTAATAGGCCTTTGACGACGCTATCGCAGAGTTGGACACTCTGAACGAAGATTCATATAAGGACAGTACGCTCATCATGCAACTGTTGCGAGACAACCTCACACTTTGGACGAGCGATACGCAGGTGATTATTTTTTAGGGTTGCATGTAATTTATTTTGTTTCCTCATTGCCCCCGAGTGATGAGATGCAGGCGCGTTTTTAATGGGAGTTTCTTTCTGTTTCAGGGGGAGGCGGATGAGCCTCAAGAACCAGGTGATAACTGAAATGTGTCCTCGTCCCTTTTTTTAATATTATTCGTTACAAATGAAATTTCTTGTAAGTTAACGTATTCGTGGAACTTTATTGTGAAGTTTCATTGACAGTTTTTAAGTTTCACACAGCTGAAACTTTTGATATTTAACAATGTTTTTAGGAGATATGTAAAATCGTTAAATTTAAATTGTATTTCACATAAAACACACAATCGGCGTAACTTTAACCACCAGAACATTCAAGAAAAAAAATATATCATCATTTCTTTTGTTTTTTTTGTTTTGTTTTTTTTTTGCCAGATGTCGTGTGATCCAGCGTCAGTTTCTTCATCTTTTATTACTTGTTTTATATTTGATTATTTTATATATTATAGTGTATCCCTCCTAAAATGTGTAATTTAATTCAACTTTTCCAGCACTTTTAAGTTCTAACTTGTTAATATTAAATTTATTATTTAATAATGTTGTTTTAGTTTTTGTTACTGATTTTCTTTTTTTTTTTTTATTCCGATCTTCTCGTTTTCCTTATTGAGGAATGTCACGGAACCGCCAGATATTTTTTTTTTTTTGTGTTGGTTAGTCGCCGAATTTGTTTAACCGGGATTTCATTTACGTTTGCACTGCGCAGGTCTTTGAAATAGACCTGAATCCCCTCCCTTCCAACCTGTACGTTTCGGTAAAGGAAACACTCACTTTGGATGTGCTATATATAAATGTATGAATATGTATTAAAATAAACGCTACCAGCTCTATTTGTTTTCTGTTGTATCTGTCAAGTATATTTGTCAGATATAAATAAATTTTTCAAAATCTCTCCCTTGTTTTTGTTTACCTCGGTAGTTTTCCCGTTCGCAATGCGAAATACTTGTGAAAGTGCGGCTTTGGTGTTTTTATATTGAACTTTTCAATAGTTCCAACCTGCACTTAAAAGATTGACAATTTACTACGAAGTAAGTATAATTTTACAAAAATCGGAACTGTTAAGTAATTCTTTAAGTAACAACTATTAAAAAAAGAAACCGAAACAATCGGCAAAAAATATACTCTATACAGAAAAAATAAGCAAAACCATTCAAACATACTTATAAAAAAATATTTATACAAAAAGTGTAATTATCTGACATTATATTTTTAATTTAAGAAATTTAGGTGGAAAATTTAAATTAATGCATTTTTTATTTGTCGAAAAGCGTTAATATTTCCTCTCCATTCCACTTTAAAATCTTACTGTATCTTTGGCGTACTTGAGGTGATATTACGACGGCAAATCGAAAATTTAAATTTAAAAAAATCCCCCAAAATATCAAGAAAGGCAATTGAATTAAATAGGATTATCATTAGCTCGAAATAGAAAATTATTTATTTTTATTTAAATGACGGTGTTATTTATTAATCCATAGAAACTGCAACTTAAAAAGTTGCAAAAAAATTATTTAAATTTTTATTTGGCTTATAAATAAGCCTCGAGTGTTCCTTAATTTTATACAAAATATATGCCAAAATTATAATTTTAATTAAATTATAATTAGGTGACTAAAATTGTTATTATAATTTCGATATCAAATTACATTTTGCTGCAGAGGTATTTGGAACAGTAACAACAGTTTTTGTCGCTTAAATCGTTTAACTAGATTCTTTTAAAAACCACGAAGGACACGTCTTTCCTAAAGTTTGTTCCAGCCTAGAACTAATTTGGTATTGTCCTGTACTATTGTGTTTCAGAATTAAATTCGAACGGTTCTAGAACCTTGAAAATAAATGTATATTTTGGGAATTTTTAGCAGTTAGGATTAAATTTCATGTAACGGTTGCCTCTAGATACTGTTGTCAAGCGTTTTTGAACGCCTGAAGTATTCTGTGTAAAATAATTTTTGTACATTGTTGACGTTTGAATTGATTTCATTACTTTTACTTTACATTTTCTTATTTAGCTAAATAAAAAAATGTCAACTATGTGATTTGCGATTTTCATTGTCCTTTATTTTTTATTAAAATGGTAGACATTTCTCGTGGTCAGCTAAATAATAGCAGTTTTTTTTTAATTAAATGCAGCTCCACCTATGGTAGGGGTGAAGTGAATCATTGAATTGACTACTAAATCATATCAATATATGATCTAGAAATTAACTAGCTCTACAACTACCATTCCCGGTCCCAACACTTCTAAATTAAATCAAGGGCTTTCTTTCGTGAACCAAAATGTTATTTATAAGAATCTTCTGGTATTTCGATATTCGATTTAGTTGTTTTTCTTGGAAAAATTCTAGTAACCACGCATTCGGTAACGTCATTTCTAACTGACCAATCGGTGTTGAGCTTGCGTTTGAATTTTTTGTCATTTGACAATTTTGAAATTTGACAGCAGTTTTAATTACAAATAAATTGGAAAAAGGTAGGTTAATATTTTGTTTTGTTTCTGTAGTAATAACTAGTATATTTTCTGAATTATGACTTAACTTTTATAAGGCAATAATTTAACCAGCAAATATAAAATTAATGGTAATCTATGTAAGCAGTATAGATTTTAGATAATAAATTGCGGTCGGCAGGCCAGGAAGGTTAACCAAGAAAACCCCAAAATGCAAGACGTAATACCCTTATATATGGCCAAATGTGTGGAGGATCTTGAAAAGATCGCGGTGCCACCCAATTTGCTAAAGGCGACGAAGGCCCGGACGTGTGTTTCTCAAAATACCTAATTCTCAGTATAACTATGGTACTATGTTTCAGATTAGAGAATGGCTTGAAGAGCTTGTACGTTACGTTATTGACTGAAGTAGCAGACCAAGAGAAATGTTTTGTATTGTCTTTACGATACCTCTCTTTATATGACAAACTATATCAAATAGGTGATAAAAAGTTCCTGTCTTCGATGTACTCATCTCAAGTGAAAATGGTAACTCAAAAGTTAGTTGAGGTAAAGTCAAGCTTAGAACAGCGGTATCGCGATGAAGAACAGAAGCAGCAGGTGGTCCAGCGCAAATCAATTAAAGATGTTGGAACTGAAACTGACTCTGAAGAGGAAGACAATACACTATTTAAAAGTATTTTCATAAGTAATATTGAATTTGCACTAAACTTTGTGTTTCAGGAGACTATATATCATGCAAAGAACTTTATGCTGCAATAGAAAGTGGAGTGGATTTGCTGCTGGTTGATATAAGAGCCTATAGTGAATATGAAGTCTCAAAAATTAAATTCCCAAACATTATCAATATTCCTGACAGTATAATAAAACCGGGGTATAACTGGTCTTTAATATTTTTTTTGTTTTAAATCATGTATTTTTAGCTTGTCAGCTAATACAGTTGGGTTGGAATTAGTCAATGAAGCCAAATACTTGTGGGATAAAAGAGATGAATTTGACGCCATTGTCTTTCTGGATTGGAGTTCCAGTTCCAGTACAATAACCAGTACCAAGTTAACCATTATGAAAACTGCTGTTGTGGAGGTATTAAAAATTTCAGTTGCTTTAGTGTATCTAGATCCTCTTTCTCTTTATACAAAACATCTGGATTCCTTCTGCGTTGGTTTTTGCTAATTCGAAATTTCACCAATGATCCTGTTGGCTTCTTCAGAGCTTGGAACTCTCAACACCTTTGGTCTGTCAAAGACAAACAGCATATGCAGCAAAGAATACATTGGAGAGACTGGACTAAAGATATCCACTAGGCTTAAAAAACACGAAAGAGCCTTATGACTAAGACAAATAAACTCATCAGCTGTTGCCGAACACAATCGCGGAACCGGACATAACATTTTATTTGGTAAAACTGAAATTCTTGCATGTAATCAATTCTTCCACCAATGAAAAATTCGAGAGTCTATAGAAATCTATAAGCAACCTAATAATCTTAAACGCCACTCATGTCTTTATCTGTCACTAATATGGGAATCAGTCATGTAGACCCTGCCACTCATTTAGCTCTGCCGCCCTCAAACAATATATAAGCAGGTACAGAGTAAAATGAAGAAGCCCACATGATGATTGGCAACACATCAAAAGTTCAACTCAGCAAAAACCGACGCAGGAGGAATCCAGAAGTTTTGTAAAAAGTTTTATAATAGCCTGTGGAAGTTTCTTTGAAAAATCCTTGTTCTCTGTTGATTTTTAGTGGGATTGTCTCAGAAGCTATTCCCAAGAGCCTGTCATATTAGATGGAGGGTTCATAGACTTTGTGGAGAGCTATCCGGCGTTAGTCACTAATGTACACACCATCATTGCAAGAAAAAATGAGGATATTGATGAATTGCTTGAGTTGGACACTGTGATATATCCCAAATCAAACATATCAGAGATGCACTTGAAGGAGTTCACCATTGAAAGACTCGAAGAGTCATTCTCTAACGAGGAGAGTGAGGAGTTGAAAGTTGAAAGTTTAACTGATGACCTACCAATCGTCGCTGACGAATTGAAAGAGGAAGCAGCTGACAAGCCGGCAGCATTAAAAGGAGGTAAACAGGAAACTCCAGAAGAAGGCAAGGAGACTGTGGAAGAAACACGCCAGAGATTACTTAAGGAAGCAAGAATCAACAAAACCAAATTATTGAACTATGCCAGGACTCTTAGCGTTACAGATTTTGTTAGAGGAGACCCATGGCAGCGGCCAAATCACGCAGTGCCACCATTGGTGAGGAGGGAAATCAAGCCCGCATATGTGAGTATTTTTAAGGGTTTTTCTCATAAAAGTTTTAATGTGTTGTATTGCAGTTTCCTCCCGGTTTCAAGGGGTGGTGCGGTTTAGTAAATATCCGGAATACTTGTTACATGAACACTGTCCTTCAGTGTTTGAAGTGCGTACCAGTGATGCGCAATATTTTTTCATTTTCTTCCCATTATGAGAATTTAATAACACGTGAACCTCCACTGATTATACACCCTTTTGCCAACGTCATCCGGGAATTATGGGAAGGAACCGAATCGCAGAAAAAATTATTTGTTCCGCAGGAGTTCTATCTGGCAGTTTGTAGTTTGGAGCCTATTTATAGGCAAGGTAATCACGAGGATTGCATGGAATTTTTCTTGTTTTTGTTCAATCAACTCAACCAAGACTGTGCCTATGATATCGAAGCCAAGCGAATCACGATCGAGCGGGAAAAAGCTTGGTATGAGCATTTGCAAGGGAGAACCTCAATATGGGTGGATTTGTTTTACCACCAGTTTCACGTTACCAGAATTTGCGAGGCTTGCGGACTGAAAGCCGATACGTACGAAATCGACAATACTTTGATGGTGTCCTTTCCGAATAATTCTTCTTGTGAACATCTGAACCAGTTAATCGAGTATACTATGAGCAAACAGAAAATTTTAGACTTCAAGTGCACCAAATGCGACCACCTGGGAGTTTACATGAGTAAAAATATAGTGGTTGAACCGGAAATACTGGTTATCGTATTGAAGAGGTATTATCAAACGTCGTGGCAGGAAACGAAAAAAAGCAATAGGTTTATCAACTTTGACCTCACCATGAAGTTTGGGAGGTGCACCTACAGACTGTATTCCATGGCGGAACACCAGGGCACCATGAGTGCGGGCCACTATTACGCTCACGGTTACCTGGACAACAAGTGAGTCCCTTTTATTATTAATAAGCAACACCTTAATGCGAGTTGGGTACTTTTCCATTTTTAGGTGGGTCGAATTGAACGACGCGAAAGTCGGAAAACAGTCAGTCGATTGGTCGACTGTGAAAAAAACCGTTTGTGCCTTTTTCTACTGCAAAATCAATAAAGCTATGTGAAGTTACCCCCCACCCCCCTTCTAATTTCCACAAAAGCTTTAAATTAAAGAATTATTTATTTTTGTTAAATGTTGAAAGAAAGAGGTTTTACGTTTCATTCCTATATAAATATATTCTAGTATAGTTATTTTTGATAATGCTGTTACAGCGACTAGTCTTAGTGATAATAGTAAATGTGACGTTCGTCTTAATGAATATGTGCCGCGAACCACGAAGCCTTTTAGGTTTGCGAGTTTGTCTAAAACTTGATAAATAAATAATATTTTTTCATTTTTTTTCGTGTTTTATTTTATTCCTTCGGCAATGGGGGAGGGATATCTTTTATATATGACCTACAGATTTAGTCCGTTTATTAGGTGTCTATCATTATTTGCGAAGCTGCGTCGTTGACCAAGTTATTTATGTCCCAGAGGGTCTTCAAGATTACCAAAAAAAGATCTATATACTCAAATAAGCAAAAAACTATCTAATCTAGACTATGGTCGCCGGTAAAATACCAAACAATACAAACACCATTAACAAAATTGATTAATATACTAAAAAAAAGTAAATATACACTTACTATTCAATCTTTTTTTTTAAATGCAAGAAAATATTTTTAAGTTTTGTGTCCGGATACCTATTGGATTTTTTTTCACCTACGTGACAAATATTTTAGCGAGAAGTTGGAAAAATTCGCCGATACAGTAGGGTTAAACAAAAAATATTGAAAAAAGTACTATTTATTTATGCTTAACTAAAACTGGTTCGCATTTTAGTTCTACTTTGTACTTGCTTGCCAGCAGTCAGTGTTAGTTAAGTTATATGTCAACATTATTCTATTTTTACTGTACCAGTACCAATTCGAACGGAGGGGGAATTAAATGCATTTTTCAACATTTACATATCTCTCGTAGTTTGCAATCGATTTGACTAATTTTTGCGCCGTTTGGTCTTTCACAAAGAAGTTTAGTTTCCAACAAATAATCTAGGCAGTGATTTTTGGGAAAACTGATATTTTAAATACCTCAAACTCAATATTCAAAATTCGAGTTGCTCAAGCCTTTACACTTTATGTAGTATTAGAACCGGTTTAAAACTAGTTTTGAATAGTTTTTAAAGGGCAATTAGCAATGTAGACATCATTAATAATATGTAACAGAAAGCAGCACAAGTTCTTAAAATTAATATTAAGTTGAAACAGAAGTACCTAAAAATGATCATATTTTTCTTCATTCCCGATGCATTATTTAAAGTATTTAATCTGTTTTAAATATAAAACCTTATAAACTTCAAATGGTATTGTTTTTTTTTTTGGAAAATCAGGCTTTAAAGGCTTAAAGGCTAAGAGTCGCAAAATATGTGGTCCAAAAATATAAATATATAAAAGGCAACAGGATAGTTGGCGAAACGTCAGCAAATTCGACTCATCAACAGGAGTTTCTTTAAAAAATTATTAAAATAAGAATTTAGAATGACATTTTCGGCTAGTACACGACAATCAAATAATAAAAATTACGTCACAAAATTCTTAGCGTTTGTGGTTTTTTATTGACTTTCTAAAATAAATTTTCGTACCAAGTACTGCTTTAAATTACTGGTTCAAAAAATAAGCAATTTTTAGTAAAACCTACCAATTCCGATTAAAGAGGTTTTAGAAGTATATCTAATTTATATAAATAATTGGAGGCTAGCTAGTGTCGTCACCCGGTTTACTTAATTTTTTAAGTATGCTGCGGTCTCCGCGCCGAATGAAAATCACTTTTCGCTAACTAACCATTCGTTTTCCGTGGGTATATATAAAATGTTGCGGTGTAGTGCGCGACTATAGGTTATTTTGATTGAAACACTAAACTTTCAAGAAATTTTGGAGGCACGTAGGTATTAATAAATTCGCATTCAGAAGCGCATCTATAATGGCGTTCAGAGTAACAAATAAGGGAACCATTAAACTGGCCCAGCAATTAATAAGGGTGATTATTGTCAAATTACATAATAAAAGTGTATAGTAGATATTTGAAATATTTCTCAGGCACAATCGACTATGTCCTTATTCGAAATTCAACACAAAACGCCGCTGATTAAAAAGCAGGTAATATACCGTCCGAAGATGTAGATATATAATAACCCGGTGCTCCTGGTGCAGACAGCCATCCCCGTGGCACTCTATGGGGGCCGTCACGCAGTCACCATGCTTCCTGGAGGCGGCATCGGCCCGGAGCTGATGGAATATGTAAGGGAAGTTTTTAAGTATGCAGGTGCGCCCGTAGACTTTGAAGTCATCGACATAGACCCGAAAAGTGAAGATGAAGATGCTTTTCATTATGCTATCACCTCCATTAAAAGAAACGGGGTGGGCATTAAAGGTAATCGCGGTTTTATGATGATGCCACCTCATTTTTTTAACTTCTATTAATAAGGTAACATCGAAACCAATAGCGAAAGTGCTGGGGTTACATCTAGAAATGTTACTTTGAGAAATGAACTGGACTTGTTTATAAACATCCTCCCTTGCAAGTCCTTTCCTGGAGTGCCCGCTCGCCAAAAAGATATCGACATTGTTATCATTCGGCAAAACACCGAAGGGGAATATGCTATGCTCGAACACGAGGTAATTCAGGTTTTCACGAGTAACAAATGGCTAAGAATGTCGAGTTGTAGAGCGTGAATGGAGTCGTGGAAAGCATGAAAGTGGTAACGGAGTCAAATTCGGAAAGGGTGGCTCGATACGCGTTCGAATACGCGAAAAGAACCGGAAGGAAGAAAATAACGACGATCCACAAAGCAAATATAATGTAAAACTTTTAACGGAGTTAATCTATTCCGGATAGGCGTGACCGTCATTTTCAGGAAATTATCGGACGGTTTATTTTTGGAAACTTCGCGAAAAATCGCGAAAGAGTATCCAGAAATTGAGCACAATGACATGATTATCGACAACTGTTGCATGCAACTGGTGTCAAAGCCGCATCAATTCGATGTCATGATTATGACTAACTTGTACGGAAGTATCGTGTCGAACGTCGTATGCGGACTCATCGGCGGTGCTGGTATATTATCAGGACGAAATTATGGTGACCATGTGAGTATATGGTACCATGGTTGACAATAAAACGATAACAGGAAAGTTTCCCTATTAGTACGCAGTATTTGAGCCCGGGACTAGAAACACGGGCACGGCAATCGCAGGTAAAAATATCGCTAATCCTTTAGCCATGTTAAACGCTTCGGTAGATATGTTGAATCATTTGGGGCGAAAACAACATGCCAATTTAATCATGAACGCCATGCGTAAGACAGTCTCCGAGGATGGACTTTTAACCCCAGGTAACCATTATTATTTTTCTTATTTTCCTGGTATCAATGTGGAGGTCTTCAGATTTAGGTGGCACCGCGAAAAGTTCCGACGTTGTTCAAAGAATTATCGATCACGTACTGCAAGCGGATATCAGGCCATGGTAAATTCATTATCTTTGATAGTTGTGGTGCGGGTCTTGGTTTGTGACTAACAATACCTACTCTTTGTGTTATACGGAGAGCTTTATTTCCAACCCGACTAATAACTAAAAAGTGCCACTTTTATTTTAACACGCATCGAAGGATCGCGAGCTGCGCAGTATTGTAGACTTTATACATTCCGCGGAATATTTTTCTCAGTATTAACACGCGTTTATTTTATTTTTACTTCTGTTGCAGAATCACCCGATTGTCTCTCTTTGAGGTAACTTTTACTGTATATATAATATTGTTATTATAGACTAAGAATTGTTGTAATAATAATAATATAACTATTTATTGCCATGTTTTATTTTTTAATTTACAAAACCTGAATCCTCAACAATATAATATAACAAAATATAAATTTTCTCAAAAAAATATCAACGGCGGAATGTGGTTTAATTACAAACTCGGTTTGTACCATTTGTACGATCCCGTGTAAGTAAAGTTATTATTTAATAACAGCTCGTCGGCCTCTTTTGGTCCCCTGCTTCCGTACCTAAAACAGAAGGAATCAGTTTTATTATTTTAGATGAACATATATACAAAAACTAACGTGTAAGGGATGGGCTTGACCCGTTCCTGTTCGATTTGATGTAAAAGGGGTGTGAAAATTCGCCAAGCCTCGCTCAGTTCGTCCGCCCTTACGAAATGCATTTGGGACCCACAAAAAACATCCAATATCAACCTTTCGTACGCGTCAGGTAATTTTACATGCTAGAATAAACATTAAAATTAGCGTAATAATATCTGTATAAAAGTGCGCGCCTTTTACAGAATATCTGGAACCGTATGTTAAATCAAGTTCCGTTTCTTCCATATCGAAAGCCATTCCGGGAGTTTTAACCATAAGCTTAACATAAAGAGCTTCGCCGGGCTGTACCCTAATAACCAACTCGTTTCTTTTTGGCTTTCCGTCAAAAATATCGCCCGGTACATCTTCAAATTGTATCCTAACTTCAGCTTTGCGTTCGTTGAGAGCTGCAGATTAATTTGATACCGCCATGTTCTTAACGCAGTAGATCATTTACCTTTGCCGCATTTCAGTATAAACGGAACCCCATCCCAACGTTCATTGTTAATGCGCAGAACTGATAACGCGTAAGTGGGTGTGATTGAATCTTTTGGTACCGTTGGATCGTCCAGATAACCCAGTTTCGCTTCACCTTCCTTCTGCGGGTCTCCCACGTACTGGCCCAACACTACATCATTTAGCTCTAAGGGTTTTATCGATTTTAGCACTTTTACCTAGAAAAATACAAAATAATTCTCATTTATTTTGCGAAATATTAATAAACGATACTTTTTCATTTCGGATGTCGTCCGGATGACAAGTAGCGGGCTTTTCCATCGCGACCAATGTCAAAATTTGCAAAAGATGGTTCTGCATTATGTCCCTAATGATTCCAAATTCGTCGAAATACCCGCCCCGCCCCTGCGTTCCAAATGGTTCTTTGAACGATATTTGGATGGATGCGATATTATCTCTATTCCAAGTGGGACCAAAAATTCGATTTCCAAATCTATAAAATCGCAAATTGAGTCATAGAGCAGGATAACTTCGACATCGTCACCTCAGCGTCATTAAATTTTGAACCATTTCCTTCCCTAAATAATGGTCAATCCTGTAAATTTGTGTTTCGGAAAATAGCGTGGCCAAGTGATCTGACAATTTCTGTGAACTATCAAAGTCGCGTCCAAAGGGTTTTTCGATAATAATTCTCGTCCAGCCTCTATAATAAACAAAGACATGCAGTTGAGAAAATAAATTCACGCGTTTATTACTTTGGAGCCATGGACGTATTTTTGATGTGAATGGTGACATCTTCAAAGACGGAGGGTGGTAAGGCCAAGTAGAAAAGCCTATTTGCTATGGGCCCCTTTTCAAACTGGCTAATCTCTTGATTAAGCTTTTCAAAATCAGTCCTGTTGTTGTACTGTCCAGATAGATAATGATTTAGGGTCCAAAATTCTTGGTACCTAGATGCTTCATTAGGTTTAACTTTCATATAGGGCTCGCATTTCGTTTTAATTTCCTCTATCGAAGTTTTACTCCTTGCGTAGCCAAAAAAGAAGGTCTTAGCTGGCAGAAGATTGTCTCGATAAAGCCACCAAAGCGTTGGGTAAATTTTTTTTCTCGCTAGATCCCCCTTAAGCAATTTACGTTAGCACAAGTGTTTGAGAGAAAGAATAATGCCACTTACTGAAGCTCCTAGAATAATAAATACGTGGGGGTACTGGCCATCGAAATGAGTCCCGTCATGGTCCATGTCTTTCGACTTTAAAGACTTTCGGTAGAGGGCTAAACATATTTCCGAATTTTTGGCATCTAAAAACAATGTTTCCTATATATAAATATATAACTGAAGAACCTTTTGGTAATTTTAATCAATACCGTCACACTCATTGAAAATTATTCTGTTGGCCATTTTCGGGTTCCTTGTTGATAATTTTAAAGCCTAATAGCTATACTTAAAATGAGTATCTATTTTAACGAAAATTTAATATCAGATGACTTTCATTCCACTTCAATATCATTTATTCAAGGTTATGCGCGTTTGATTGCCACAAACCGAAAACAAAGTTGACACGAAGTAATTATTTATAAATTTTCGCGCGAAAACATCGTTTTCGTTATATTTCGCGGACGTTAAAATTGAGCTATATTCGGTAATGAAAAATGCCGGAAAATAAATCCTAGTCCTGCTCTGCCCTTCGTAAAAAAAAAATCCAGTCGCCGATATATTTATTTATGATACAACGGGACAACTATGGGTGCGATTATTCGAGAAAACTATATTAATTTGTAGAAAAGCTCCGCGTTATATTGCAACAAACTTAACTTCCTTCCGTTAATTACATTTAACTTTTAAAAGTCTTAAGACATTCCCACGCACTTATGGCCGCGCCATTGGCGTGGGAAAATGAAGTTCCATAAAATTGGCGGAAAAGATACGCGACGACTTCCGCATGTGCCTTTATCAAATGTCTAGTTTTTTTAAAAATTTAATATTGAATTTAAATTTTTGTTTTCATAATAACCTGAATATTAGTGATGAAGTGTACATTTACTAAGTTGTACTTACCATTGCACGAGACGGTAAAAATTATTGTTCAAAAATTCGTCTATTCATCATTTTATACTGCCAAATAAAATAGTTATACCTACGTCAAGGTCATGCAACAAATTTGATCCCGTCTTTAAATTACGTATAACTATAAGGTTGAATTTAATTTGAATAATAGGATAAACACGCGATCTTGAAGATACCACAAACTGAAGATCGTTTAGTTTTCAAATGAAACGATTAAAAAAAAAATTACCTTTTTTACCGCTTTTGAATTTGATTAGCAGAACGAATAAAATGCTTAACTAGCAATTTAAAAAAAAAAAACGAACGCGGTACAGAATCGGAATGGGTTAAAACCGGCAAGGTTTAAAAAAAACTTACTATTAAAATTTGGAAAACTCGACATCTTTTGCAAGTTTCTTATATCAACAAACCAATTTTGTTAAACGCGAATTGTACACTAGAAACAACTTAATTTCAGATAGCTTTTAAGAAACTTTTCGATCACTATCTATATGCATCTATTGGCTATTTTGAGATTGTATTATCTGCTAAATGAACCAATTAATATCGTTAAACGAACAAAACGTTTTCAGTTTTGTCGATTTGATGCCGTAATTTTCAAAATCTTCTTTTTTGCCACAGAGCCGTAATTACAAAATTACATAATTATATACGCACCTGTTGTTGCGTTAGTGACACTATCGAAAGCTCTAACCGCCCCGATCAACAGACACAATTTAAAAAATGCGCTCATTGTTGCTTTCAGTCATAACAGTTGGTATTTATATACATATTTTGGTCCGTTGCGGTTAACTCACGTGTCATAATAATCCTTTTTAACCACGTGAAAGAAAAAAAGAACCGCTCTCTTTCCGAGTCTTACTCAAAGCTCCCGAAATGGCAATTTTTACTTACCTAACTTTGGCAGAAAATTCATGTTGTATTTTTTTCTATAAACGCATACACAATCAAATTATAGTTGAAAATAATAATAACACGGTCCCAACAACACTGTTTGCCCAAGGCGATGGCAGAGATCGTTTAGCAAGATTTTGTTAGGAAAAGGAAAAAATTGGTCTATCCAAATCTGTGTAAGAGAGAGAGGACACACGAGACACCTTCAAACGTGCAAACAAGTACCTACCTATTCATAATGACTTGCATTATTTTAAAGATGATAATTCGTTCGAAAATTTAAATACGGATAACGAAATGTGACCGGTATTAGGTTCCGTGCGGTAAAAAGTTTAGAGCGACTCCATCGCTAAGACGAAAGGAAGTAGAAGTTAATTCTTATTATTAACGCACAAACTTTTTGGAGACTTTTTATTAAAGTAATATAGTTGTATGTTGCTACGTTTCTGTTTCATTATTTTTTTTAATGTAATAAATGGACACCCATTCGTTTTTCTCATAAAATCTTTAAACGCACTTGACCGACCTTGTTCATGAATATTTCAAAATAATTAGTACGTAATTGGTACTAATAATATACCTACCCACCAGAAACTGGTTTCTCATTTTTTTTTTATTACCAGGACGATGTTGCTCGTTACAACTGATCATTAAATCGCTATTTGATATTATGGTATGGTGACTTTTGCTTTTTTTTCTTTCGTTTTGCACACTATCACACGTTTAGATTGGCGCCGATAACAAACGCAAAAGTATCGATACATGTTTTATTTTGGGCAAAAAATATACATCACAATGATAATACTATAAGTTGGAGTGTGTGAAAGTCGTAGGTCTAACAAAATAAAGAATACTTCTGTCGAATAAATAAATAGTTAAGCTATTATCTTCATTCGGGTTTAAAGGCCGTCGTCGATTGGAATTACTTCCTAACGTTTCACTAGCACGAGTGGCGAGCTTCTTCAGAGGTCACCTCTGAAGAAGCCGCCACTCGTGCTAGTGAAACGTTAGGAAGTAATTCCAATCGACGACGGCCTTTAAACCCGAATGAAGATAATAGCTTATCAACGGGCCGCGAAAGCCTTAACCAATTTATCAAATAAATAGTTTTCTGTGAAAAGGTACGTTTTCATGTAGTCGTTCCAAAACTCAAGTAAAAATTACATTTATATATATATATATATATATATATATATATATATATATATATATATATATATATATATATATATTCTCACGTATTGATTCACGGATGGAAAAATGTGATGACACTATATTCCGGGATATCATCCGTTCGCTCGTTGACCTCCGACTGGAATCCTGCATCCGACTGGAATCCTGCACGCTTGTTGAACTCCGACTGGAATCCTGCAGACGTTTCGCCAAAATCTCACATTGTGTTCGAAGTGTTTTCGGAGCGCGAGCATTGAAGATGCCAAGTGAGATTTTGGCGAAACGTCTGCAGGATTCCAGTCGGATGCAGGATTCCAGTCGGAGTACAACGAGCGAACGGATGATATCCCGGAATATAGTGTCATCACATTTTTCCATCCGTGAATCAATACGTGAATACATACATACATATATATATATATATATATATATATATATATATATATATATATATATATATATATATATATATATATATATAATACACTAATACACACATACCGGGACGGGCATACAATTTTTAAATAAATAAAACTCACATTCAAGCACATGCGCTACAATAGTTACACAAAAAAAAAAAAAAACGGGTCGTATAAAGTAAAGGAATTACATTTCTACTTGTACAGTTGGGCAGTATGACTTCCGGGGTCCTGAATTACACAAACTAAAGGGAAAAATAATACTTTTCTTTTTCTACACTGGTCCGGCTGCTTTTGTAGCATTAATAAATAACAAGGGGACGTTAGTTTGAATGTAATTCAGAATAGTTAATAAGGTAAATGAAAATCATTAATACCTTTCTTTAAAAAATAATATCACAAGGTACGAAAAAGAAAACGAGTCAAATAAAACGTTACATGCCCCAAGAAACAGTCAAACTTAGCGACTAATAAAGGAACTAAAGAATAACTATATACAAGGCTTGTACCATAATACAAATTGCGCTGCTCACATTTTTGCCCGCAACTATGTTGCCGAACTATCGGTTGTAGAGAGCCGATTTTGAGGAAATGCGCGATCGAAATGTAAGTAACGCAAGAAAAAAATATGTATGTCGACTAAAAATACGAATTAAAGCTTTAAACATCTCTCGCTGTAGCTGCCATAGACGTTTCAGCTTCCCCACCTACCCGATCGTGATTCGTGGACCTAGGATAGTGCAATAAGGGTATATGGGATGAATTCATTACCGCATCTCCGCTGGCGATCATCAAAAATTCTTCCGGCACCAAATCATCGTTGCTTCTTTTCGCCGAATCACCGGTTCCGCTATCTTTACATGACGAATGATCGGATAAATTGTCGGGACAGTGAATTCCCAACTCTTGATGGGTGTGACCTTTGTCGATGAGTTCCGGTAGTTCGTTGCCTACCGGCGGAACTACCATGCGTCTACGCGTTTGATAGATTATCACTACCCATATTATCGACGTCAATATGGCGCACGATACGACCGTTATTATGATTATTCCCATCATATTGGTCGTATCAAACGCTTCCGAGATGATCTCGCCTATGGACGCGCCTGAAATAAGACAATGAAATGGGCGGCGCAAACCGCGACGAAATTTTCTTACTTGGTTTAATGACGATCTTGCTGATGCCGCTTTCGTCACCCAGGGAATTATTCAATCGGCATTCGTAGACACCAGAATCGTTTTGGATCGAATCGACGATAATAACTAACTGATTTTCGGCGGTGAAGAAGTGTCTTTCGGTAGGAACTATGGGTTCGCCGTCTTTTAGCCACGTGATGGTAGGTTTAGGCAGACCCCTGGCGACGCATTGAAGCACCAGATCTTCTCCTGCCGTTATTTCTTTGTCTTCCATTTCTTTACCAAATGACGGTTTTTCCTCGATGGTCAATGAAACGTTGGCCACTACTGTTCCGGCGATGTTATGGGCGGTGCAGCTATACACCCCCATATCGCTAGGTTTGGTGTCCATTATGAGAAATATGTCGTCGCTGGGGACGTGCATTCTTCGTTCTCTGGCGGCGGGGAAGTCATTACCACCGTCTTTGTGCCAGGCTATTTCCGGTTGGGGCTCGCCAGTGGCGGCGCATTCCAATTTTGCTTTCTGACCGGCTTGCACGGTCACGTTTTTGGGTTTTTTCGAAAACGTCGGGTAGACCAAGACGGATATAGTGGATTTCTGCGAATACGTCGTTCCGTAACTATTGCTAACCTGAAACATAAATCAGTGATTAGCTGTTCGGTGATTGGTTCAAATAATATGACGTACCACGCACTGATATTTTCCAGCGTGCGAGTTATCTACATGAGGCAAATTTAATTGGGAACTAGTCTCCATCGATTTACCGTCCGGGTCAGTTCTAGACATAACAGTGACATCCGAGTTTGACAGTTCGACGTTATCTTTCTTCCATACAAACATCATATTGCTGCTTGAGCTAGACATTGCTTTGCAACTCAGAGTGACATTTTCACCCTTTAAGGCCATTATTTCCAAATCGGGTTCCTCGACTAATCTAGGTTTAGGCAATTCATCTATGACGAAAGGTCGCGTAATAAACGTGGAATATTAATTTAAACGAATTTATTACCACATGTCAAATTTTTGAGAGGCACACTGGCTAAGGAATGGCCTCTTAACCATTCCGGATAGGCACAAATTGCTTGCAGTTTAAATCCTTTAAGGCTATACCATTCCAGAAACCACTTAAGGTTACAATCACATAATAGACTTGTCGTATTCATAATAAGTTGCTAAAAATAATAACGTTTACAAAACCAGAAAATAAGTTATTGTTAAGAAATGTCGACAGGGACAGTCGAGCTTTGTTTTAATTTATAAAAAAATGCAGAATGCAATCAATTCCAAAAAAGGCTCGGAAACGGCAAACCAGCCACGAGAATCCATAAAAAGGCATAATAGGATTAAAATGTGGAAGGATTTTACCTTGGAGAGCGAATTTTATTGTTAGGAGAAAATATTTACGCTAATGCAAACTTACCTTTAATAATGGCACTTTATTGAAGGCGTTGTTTTGAATGGATGTAATGTTGTTGTTTGCTAAATTTATCAAAGTCAAGTTTCTTAAACCTAAGAAAGCATTGGCGTTGATTGTTTTTATATTATTCCCTGCTATATAGAACCTAACAAGATCAGTCAACCCTTGAAATACTCCGCTGGCGTCTTCTATCGCCCAGGAGATCTTATTATTACTTAAGTTTCTAAAAAAAAATACCCTTTCGCATGTCGTTGATGTTTGGTCGTAAATACTTACAAAATTTTCAACTTTGGTAAATGTATAAAGGCTTTATCTTTAATGTAGGTAATATTGTTGTTATTTAAAGCTAATTTTTGTAAACCAGCTAGGTTTTTAAAAGTGTCTTCATTAATTGATCCTAATTTATTAAAAGAGAGATCACTGAAATCAAAATGACAATGATTATAAATGCAACCAAAATTTAATTGGGTAAATTCCTTACAGAACGCTAAGCGTATGACAAAATTCCCACGCATCATCGTGTATTTGAATAATGTCATTGTGACTTAATGATAAGTCCTTCAGAGACTCCAAACCGTAAAGCCAACTTTTTGAGATGACTTTTATATGATTGCTGTCTAACATTCTGCAATCAAAATGAAAAAATAATATGGAACATGCACATTTTTTTTTGTTAACTTACAGTTTTTCAATTAACTTCAAACCATAAAAAGCGCCATCTTTTAAGGTAGTTATTTGGTTTCGTTTGAGTTTTAATGTGGTCAATTTTTCCAAGGATTGGAAGTTTAGCGGTTCGATCTGTCTCAACTTGTTTCGGTTAAATTCCCTGGAAAATACGTACAATACTGTAAATTCGATGTTTTTATGATGATGATACAAAAACGAACACTTCGACTATTTACTCCAGTAATAAAATTAAGTACATATTATTACGTTCTATAAAAATTGATGGTGGGTACGCATTTCAAGAACGTAGACTAAGTAATCGATAATATTTTTCGGAAAGTCTTATCATTAATACGAGAGGTCAATAAATTACACACAATCTTATTTGAAGATTAAATAAAGATAAAAAAATATATATGTATATATTTCTATCAGTCACGTTAGTATTAAAAAGTATACCTACTAACAGGTATTGTGGAAAAAACATTGACTTAAAATAAATATTTCATTTTGTAATCTTAATCACGCTGTTTTCACAATAAATTACTGATAATAAAAGGCGATGAAATACTCAATAACTTTTGCAATGTCATATATTTCAGATCTTACTTGAAATTTTATTCAAACAGTTTTGTATAAAAACATTTTTTAGTTAAAGAAAGAAATAGATACTGATCACAATAAAATTAACATAAGTTAAATAACAATAGCACAGTTTTATCCACATTCGATTTGGACTTAACAAATTACCGATTAATATTAACACATGTAACAAAAAGTAATCAGGTTTAACTATATTACTTTATGCATTGTGTATGTACTTCTGTTATGAACGTATGTATGAATATATGTTTGTACTTACAGATAAGTTGCCCAAATGGGTATATTGTTCGGTATGCTTTCCAAACCTTTTGAATTGCAATCAATAGAAGTGTCTAAACAAAAGCAGCCTTTCACGCACTTAGACTTTGCAAAACTTGAGGAACTAAATAATAAGACCATATATGAAACCCAAAAACAAACACCCACCATTTTGAGAAAACACAATATTTTTAATCATAATTTACTGGAAATTATGATAATCGCGCATTGTTCGCTGTCATTTTGATCCGATTTGGGATAGTTTACATCGGATTTACACATTAAACACATCCAACCTTTTTATTTTTGACTTGATAAGCGAAAAAGTTAAATTACTTCTAACATAGTGGCTGACGGCATATACAACACAACCCACACAACTGGTTGCGGCATTGCCAACGACATTTCATTCACCAACACTTTGCGTCTCCGACTAGCATCAGCATGGCCAAACATAAGGAAAAAATGCCATTGGGTTAATGAAATACCGTCCCAAATATTATTCTTTAGTAAATATGTGATATTAAATGGTATTAAATAGTCGAATATAATTTAATTTCCCCAAATGTGAAAAACGCGTTTGATTTGACAACGTCGCATTTTGCCTGACATCTGTCATTGTCCAGCAAACTTTCAGGAATCGTAACGTGTAACTTTCTTCTTAAATATGAAAAGCTGTAGTTCGTGGCTTTCGGCATAGATGGCACAACTACAAACTTTTTCATTTTTACATATTCCGCCGGATGACACTATGTATTATTTTGTTTTATCATTGCGAACATTGTGCGAACTCTTAGTACACAAAGATATTAAAAAAAGCACACTTCGATTAACAACGTTTAAAAAATAAAGTAAAATCGATTTTTTAATTATTTTTCAAAATATCTGTTACTTTCAGGCTTTATTTTCATTGGTTGTGTACTTTTAACCCTTAATTTATTGACGAAATTAAATAATATAAAAGTCACACAACTGTGTTTCTGTTTTTCCTGTATTTATTTATTAATTTTTTTCTAATTTTGCTTTTTAAAACTTTTAAAAATAATTTAAAATCGATTTTTTAATTATTTTTCAATCTATTTTATGTTAAATCGTTTTGCGCGGTTGCGCCTTACTGCGACTGACCACTTTTAACCATCAATCTATTAATGAAATGAAATTAATATAACAGTCACAAAATTGTGTTTCCTTTTTTTTTTATTTACTTATTTTACTTTTTCTAATTTAGATTTTTGCTACGAAAATCTAGAGCCACTTCCATGTTCCAAACTTCCAAATTTTGTTTTAGAAGATGTGTTATAATAATAAAAATTAATTTAAAATAAAAAATGGTCTTTATCTTCAGTGGTCCGTCCATTTTCTACCCAGGTAGAGTTATTAAAATCTTCAATCAAATTATTGAGTAATGATTTTTATCATAATAATAGTAATTATTAATTATATTATTGTAATTATTATCCAATAATTGCGTTGATACGAAAAACGAAAACAATGTAAAAAGGATGCATTTTACGACAGTTTTTACCTGCGGTGGCCCCAAATAGAAATTAATTTTTGGAATTTTATTTTTAACTACTAAAATATAGCAACATATAACAGTATTTCAAAATGTTGATTTTTAAAAAGTGATTCTATGCCGAGCTTTTTCAACGAAACACGCGTTTACAAACTAGTCGGCGGGAAATTTAAAACGTTGAAGATTCACGCGCGTGTTGTGGCGTAAACAATTATCAGCAATTGATCGGTTCAACCTGCGTCTTTATCATTGATACCGTTACTCCGCGTATAGAAGAAGGACCAAGCACTAGGTCACATTTCTTTCAGTCTTTAACAGTTCTAGCTGGTAGTGAGTGCTTGGCGAACTGACCGCCACGAGAACTCTCACCGACTCGATGGACAATCGAAATCGACGAATTACGAAAAATATCTAAAAGTGCGTCAGTGCGTTTTCTAAATCGGTTTTGCCTCAATATGAAGTGCGTTAGTTTATTGTTATTTATCACTATATTCGGTAAGCGTTTGTTTATTTATTCAAGGCTTCAAACAGTTCTCGTTTTAGCGCGGTTAAAATTTATTGCAATTCGTTATAAATAATGTTGTAACTTATCTTAAAATGGTAGAATGAGGTTAACTTTGTTCGGCGTTAGCTGTGCGATTCTTACATATTTTTCCCGTCACACTTCCCTTTCTGCGGGCATTGTTATTAATAAATTATTTAATTAATCATGTTAAAAGTATATCGTTACAATCGCTCGATGTTGAATCATGGGAAAATACGTCGTTTCGTTTAATAACAATAAATTCGAATAAAAACGAATCAATAAAAGATACTTTCTTCTTTTACGGTACCTGATTTAACTCTAAATACTTATTAACATGCATTTGATATGTTTTCAATATTGTCTCTTGTGCTCCACAAAAAAAGTGAAAAGCCACGCCCAGAAAAATTAACTTTCATTTAATACTAACGAGGTGCAATTTGAAAATAACGATCCGTTTTCTAAAATTGTTCTCCGCATGCGATCGGAAATGCGCATCTTTTTGGTTCGGTTTCAACTGTAGTTAAAGACGCTTCGAGATGATATTGAAAATATCGCAAATGATCTCCGCCGATTTAGAATAATTAAAATTACCCGATTAAAACCGATTAAGTAACGATTCAAGTGAAAACCTTGAATTTTTTATATCTTAAAAGGAATAACTATAAAATTCAACTTTTATAAACATATATAAGTACGTACGTGTTGAAGTTTGCGTTGTCACGATCAAAGCATATGAACTTTCTACGATAGGCGATAGATTAGATTTTTTATTTTTATATAGTTGACTTCATTCCACCGAACTGGAACAAAAGAATCCAAAAAAACATCGCTCCGTTAGGCTTCGTCTTTCTAACGAGTTTAATTTGTAAAAATATCTCTAAAGCATGTATAAAATTTAAAACAGCTTGTGGATTGTATACTAATACATGTATGTACCTCAAGTAGTTTGTGCCCATGTACAGCTCCCTCTCATAAAGTTAAAACTGATTAAAAGCGATGAAACGGAAACTCAATACATAAAGTAGGTCAGTGGGTAAATGGTACAAATCATCCAAATATCTTCTTGCCGGTCACTCATACGGATTTCTTTCGAACATTTTTTCCTTTTTATTTGGTAAATTCCAATGAAATTAAAGGAATCTGTACGAGTGCGAAACAAGAAACTGTTTCGTTTAAACAAGATCAACGTTTACTTTGCAGGCGGCATTTTCCGGCATGGCCGTTCGACCTGCGTTTTGGAATCTGATTTCGGATTTATCCTCAACTGTGCTTTTAAGAAATCTGGCCTGTTTCGAGTTAGAAATCTTGGTGGTATAAAAGCTCACATAGGCCTGGGTAAATCTTTCCTCTTTCCATGCTAATTATGTCGACTTCTTTTACAGTCATCGTTGCCCTGATCAAACTCAATAATAAATGTTAAAAATAGCATTACCATGACTGTGAAATCGAAGCGATTTTCGTTATATCATTCTTCATTCCTCGTTTTGCATGCCCGTCTCGATAACGTAGAGTTAGATACAGGAAGTGATTTAGAAATATGTATAAGACAAATACAGAATTAGCAATTTGCCGACGTAACTTTTCGCCTTAAGTAATATTAGTAGGTTTGTTCCGAACACTATTCCTAACCGTTTTTATGAAAAAATGCTATCACAGTTCTAGAACTCTCCGAAAACAATCATCGAACACAAAACGCTCTGCTGGAACAAACCTAATATGTTTCTGCATTTTTTAAACCCAAGCAAATGGTTGGCCATTCGTCGATTACTTATTTCCAAATCACTCGCGTATAGTCACTTTCATCTAATTTTAACTAATAAAGTAGATATTATTACGGGTTTTTATCTAACAACCGTAACAATTGCTTTCTCGCCATATGCACCGTTGTCCACCAAATCTCGGCTTAAGCCGCCTGAATTTTGCACAATTTTATCGAGTTTTCGGTTAAGCTAAGGTCTGGAAAACGTGCATCATAAATCTCGCGTACTGTATATATTTACTTAACAAAACTAGGCGGTTTAATATCCATCATATACCGCTACAAATCACACCTGTTCCTTATAGGTTGCAGAATTTCTCGAATACACTTCCTGTGTACTCGTCGCCGATTTCAAAAATACACAGCGTCCGGAAAATATATACGTACAGGGCCATGGAAAATTAAACTAACGATCTCGAAACACCTCGCGTATATTTTGAAAGAAGACGTTAACGTTGCCTTCACAAGGAAAATTTGGTTATACAACTATAATTAATTCGTGTCTTCTTAATTGCGTAATGAATGTTTAAATTAATCGGTGAAAATATTTACAAATTTTTAATCACGCGTACATGCCTGAAAAATACTTTTACCAACCGAAATATCATTGCCTTATTAAGGGAAAATATTTCTAGTATAGGTTTGGCAAATTACGATGTCAATGTCATATTAACCTTTTTGGTTCCGGTGCATTTTAGTTATAAGGCGGTTCTCATTTGCCTCAGATTAATTAGGGGACCGAACGAATTTTAGACCAAACAAAAACATCAAGGTGAAGCACCTATCTATTGACATACTTTTCCTTTAAACCTTAAAAATGCCCGAGTAAATTTATTCAAATTGGTAGATGATGGTATAAGTTATTTGCAAATACCGATTGCTCAATCGCTTTGTTTCTGAAAGCTGGTTTACCAAGTTGGATGTCCTGCCTCTTGTGTTTCTAATCACGTAATTAATCCTATTAGTGGATAAAAATTTTAATAAATTGAACAAAAACTACCGTTAGTATTGCAAAAATGCAATTATATATATGCCGCAGCTTGCCATTGCATGTTGCACTGGCATCACGTTAACTACATAACGAGTGTTGTGAAGGCAATGTGTACCGGAGAACGTCGTGACAAATGAAAAAATCCTTGTGTATGGATACAATCGTTTTAATTTTAATATAGGTAAACACCACACTTTAACGATACGCCTGCCAGTCGCCATGTCCTGCATTACCTCGGGCTTTGGTAAATCGTCAAACTCTCCTAAAAAAATTGCATGTTTTGGTTTGCTCGTCGTACCTACCTGCACCTACATTTTTTTGTAGTTAACGGTTAAATATGTGATAACGTATAATAAAAAAAAACACATTTCATTACTCACCGCTCAGCATGCACCACTCATTACCACGGAAACGCCAAATTGCGTTGTTTAGCTCGTTTTGCTAACAACATTTGTTTTATCAGGCTTCAGTGTCGGAGACGAGTTGGGATTTAAGGAATCCATATCGAACACGGAAATAAATCGAAGGAGATCCGTTCAAATTTCGCAAATGCAAGCGCAGTTAATTCAGGCGCAACAAAAACAGCAAAACGCCAAACAGAAGCAACCTAAATACGTCAACCCAGAAAAGGTAATGTCATTTGACAAGCTGTAATTGATATTTTTTTGTTTAAAATGGCTTAAATGTTTACGAACGAGAAATCATGAGGTGGGTGTTGTCTGCGAGCGGAACATATATACGGTTTCCTTATGTACGTACTGTTTAGTTTGGCCATTACTGAGCTTTCAAGGTTTTTATGGGTTTTTATGAAAAATAACACACTGTGGGATGCAGAAAAAGAGAGACACGTGCATTTATTTTACGTCGGAAAATAATTGGTGCACGAAAAGAATGTAGTCATCGGATAGAATGTAATTTTTTTTCGTAGGAAAGATTATACTTTCGGTGTTAATATTAAATGAAACAAGTTCGGGGAGTATATGTTTTCCATCGGGTGTCTCTAATAATTAGTTTTAATGTTAGGGTTACTCTTCTGATCGTCCGTTGATGTCCCCGGTGAAATAATATCAAATAATGACTCGCCCGGTATGCAAGAAATCTCTTTACTATAGAACGAAAGAAGACGCTAAATGAAATTCAATCGATTACTTCAAAATTCCTCTACTTGTACGTTTTAATGGCGCAATTTAAGGTGTAAAAAACAATTTTTTATTGGATTTATTTTACAACGGGGGTATTAATTGGTCGTTCTGCCGTCTTTTGATCTTTCGGGCAAATAAATTATTCTTAATGAAACGTTAATATTCGAAAAGGTAATTACAAAGACGTTTCCTGGTTTAAATGCCTTCTTTAAATAGCAATTAAGAAAAAAGTAAAACAGAAAAAGCGGCGCCGAATGTGTTGCGTACAAAATGTTTTGGGCAATCGTCGCGAACACAAATTTAAACAAAACGTATAAACGCTCCATCACATCTTTGAAGCAAATGTCGAAATAACAAATTCGCGTTTTAATTTGTCGACAAATAACTTTTATGTTCCTTTCGCAACTCTTTTCCCAATTAATATCGCGCCGGCTGAAATAATCTCTTTGATCTGCGTCGCTATACTTATTTGTTGGTAACGTAACCCCATTGATAGCGGAATCTGCTTAAAGTGCGAACAATTACACGTTTTTTCTATCGAGTTATCAGCGTGAAGGTAAAAATTATTATATACCTACTAACGGACGAACGTGCATATCGCAAAACAATAAACAATTTACAAGTGATAAATACGATTATCTCGGTTAATTGTCGCATCATTAATTACTATAAATTAAGTTACAAGTTTTTTTGCATTCGGTTATGCAAGCAACCTTGTAATGGTGGCTTAAAAAATTATTTTGCAACCCATTAAAGATACGCTCGATTGATGATAATGAACTGGCAACACCGTTAGTCCATAAAATATTCGGCAAAATGGATTTTAAGGGGTTCCGGATTTCAGTAAGAACAAATCGCGAGGTCGCGCGTTTAGATATTGTGGAGCAATTTCGTCGTTTGTAAATTATTATTATACATCTGTTGCAAGAATGACAAACATCGATTCTCATGTCAGTTAAAAACGATTTGCTTGTACTGAAACTTCAACAAATAAATTAAGTTAAAACGATCAGTACACGGAAAGATTAATTGAAGTAACAAAAAATTGTTAGATTGACCAAATTATTTGTTCTTCAGGCAAATAATACTTGGTCAAAACTTTTTCTATCAGATAATAATCTGTCAAATCAAAAATATGTTTACTCTTGACTTGAGTTAAACCAACTAGATTTAATAAAGGCCCTGAGCCAGACGTACGGAATCTCTGCTGCTGTCGCTATTTTTAATCTTTAATAAAAGTTTATCAGATGGGCGCTTCTCGATTATTTGGAAATGTGCCAAAGTAGTGCCTGTTCGTAAGAGTGGCAGTAAGATTGATATCACAAAGTACCGACCCATATCAATTCTTTCTATTCCGGGCAAAATGCTTGAGGCAATTATAACAGAGTAGTTATTTTTTAAACTTAGATACGTTCTTGGTGATACGCAACATGGTTTTTTTACGAGTAGGTCTGTCGCTACACTCACTGTATGTTCGAGGTGTGTCTGAGGCGTTAGATAATAGAATGCAAATGGACGCTGTCTACACTGATTTCTCCAAGGCATTCGATAAAGTACATCGATGTTAGTAAAACTTAAAAACTTCGGTGTTCTCTTTACAAAATTCATCATTCATACATTAGTTCTAGGACTCAGTTTGTTGAGTTAAATGGAACTAAATCTAACTCAATTGATATCACATCTGGCATACCTCAGGGGCATTTGGGACCTATTCCATTTTTTTTGGTTCATAGCGGACGCGGGTAAATGTTTACATTTTGCAAAATTTATTTCATATGCTGGTGACCAAAAGATTTATGCGCTTGTTAGGAGTATAGACGACTATTGCAAGTTTCAGGAGCACCTTGATTGATTTTATGACTACTGCTTTGGAAACTGACTGTTTTTAAATATTGACAAATGTTTAAAAAATGACATAGTTATTGATTATAAATTCGATGGAGTAAGTATTAAATAAGTAAAGCATATCAGGGATCTTGGAGTAACTATAGACACAAAACGGAGTTTTGAAATTCATATTCAAAGAATAGTGAAAAAGGCTATTGCAAGTTTCAGGAGGACCTTGATTGATTTTATGACTACTGCTTTGGAAACTGACTGTTTTTAAATATTGACAAATGTTTAAAAAATGACATAGTTATTGATTATAAATTCGATGGAGTAAGTATTAAATAAGTAAAGCATATCAGGGATCTTGGAGTAACTATAGACACAAAACGGAGTTTTGAAATTCATATTCAAAGAATAGTGAAAAAGGCTTACAGAAACTTCAGTTTTACTACAAGGGTTGGCAAATAATTTAAAGATCCCAAGTCGCTGGTCGTACTCTATAACGCCTATGTGCGGTCCCATCTTGAGTTTGCCAGTGTAAACAGACTTGAAAGCATTCAAAAAAAGTTTATTTTTCTCATGATATCTAAATCTAATCTAATAGGCATATCCTATGAAGCAAGCCAAATAATATATAGTGGCGTTTTTTGCATTATATTGTTAATAACAGAGTAGACTGTCCAAAACTGTTGGAAAAATTATCCTTTAATGCTGGGGTGCTAATCTCTAGAACGCCTGCTTTATTCTATGCGCCTAAATATAGTAGAAATTTAGGAACCAACTCACCGATATCTCTTTTGCAAAGAAATTATAACAGTTACTTCTTGCACATAGATATTCTTGCTTTGTCACTCAATTCATTTAAGAATCAAGCAATAAGAGTGTTTCGGTCGGACTAAATTGAATTTATTTCTACATTATTTCTTGTTTTTCTTTGTTTTTGGGTTTAGAAGTAGTTCTGCGTACTCTTTTGAATTAAGATAAATTTAATTTTTCAAAGACACTTTCACAGGCTACTGTAATACTATTTACAAAATTTCTGGATTCCTCCTACGTCCGTTAGTTAGTTAACTCTGAAGAAGCCAACAGGATGATTGGCGAAACGTCAGCAAGTTCGACTCAACAAAAACCGACGCAAGAAATAAATTACAGTTTCAGTAAATAATGGTTAAATCTGGACAACAATTGACAGAAACAATATACCAAAAACGTCCATTTGCTTAATTAAAAAATGGAATAAAGGTAGATCATCAAAACTTATTGCCTTTAAAAGGGCAGTACAATGGTTTGATTCAAAATATAAGAGAATATTTGAATTAAAAAAGGCGTCTTTTAAACAGATTTATCAAGTTGAAATATTTCCGGCTGCGATCTCTTTCCGACCTCGCCTGCATTCTGCAATTTAAAAATTACGAAGTTGGAAAGTTGATCAAGAGCCCGGAAATCGAAAGCAGTTCGCGTGATCTTGTTCATTGAAGAATTTATAGTACTATACAATAAAACTATATTTCAAGAAAAATAAATATTTATTTCAGTTAAGCTCTGAAGTGGTTAACAGGATTATTGGCGAAACGTCAGCAAGTTCGACTCAACAACAGCCAGAAGTTTTGCAAATAGTATTACACTTACCTGCGGAATTTCTTTGAAAAACTATTAATACCAATATCCGATGGAGCTGAATGAAATGTTAATAAGCACATACATATACATATAATCACAACGTATAATCAAAATAACAATGTTTAACGTATCGAAAATAACAAAAATATTATTAACACTTTAAATAATAATAGGAGGAAGGCTAAATATTACCTATTGTCTACATGGAAAAAAAAAGATATTTAGAGGTTAAGTGGACGCATAGCATCTCGTTGTTTAATTCTATCGAGAAAGCTAATCGTCGAGTAGTTGAACGCGTACCTTTTTTTAATTGTTTTTCTTACTTATCAAACATGACCAACAAACTACTAGTCAACACACTTTATATAAAAAAATTAGCATTAGGAATATTTCTGGCACTAATATTGATTGACAGCGTTCACTAAAAGTTCCATTACAGATTCCATGCTAGTTCTGAGTAGCGCTGTCGCTGTATTTAGTATCTTTGAACGTATTTGGCACAAAAAAAAGTTTTAATTTGTTAATTTATATTTCCTAAATTCTATTCGTTGAACTGAGGTGGCTTTTACTTGATGAAAATCCATTTACCAAAATAAATTAGAACTAAAAGTTCAGATTTTCACGAAATTATATATTTTCACATGACAATTGTGTCTTTATCAAATGTTTGATAAAGACACTGCGTTGTTGAAACAATTTCGTGAAAATCTGAACTTTTAGTTCTTATTTATTATGTTAAATTCGATTCAATAAATAATTATATTGGTAAAAGCAAAGAATAAGTTTATTTTAAACAAAGTGTTCTTATTACATTTATTTTGCTCTATTAACAAATCTTTTTTTCCGTGCATTTGTGCGTGTTCTGCGTATCACTAATAAATTTAAAGGTGTTTTCTTTCCTGTACCATCGTAAAAATTAATTCGTAACTTATAGGGTGTACCGGTAGCAACGATAGAGGCCGTACCTGTTTCGTCGATGCAAGTGGTCTCTCCGCTCGCCTCGGGGACAATTCGTCCTTCAGACGATATAGGAATACCCCCTTTCAAACCCATCCCGCCCGCCGCAGAACGACCCAATAATAATTCTCAATCTCCAGCTGTAATGGGTATCGCTTTTCCCGCTTTCAACCCCATTCCCTCTTCATTTTCACGTTTTTCCGTAGGTACTTCTTCTAATAATCTACCAGTAGATCCGTCTCTAATGGCTGTAGTAGCTGTACCCAAAAAGAAAGTTTCTCAAGTAGCAGCCGACAAAGTCGGTAACAGTTTCTCCGATAGGGTGTTGGCTAATAATGAAATTGGGCCTGTACCTCAACACTCTTCTAACTCCCTTCAGGCCCTTCTTTCCGCTAACAACGTCACCGAAGAAGCGTTGGAACTCGCGTTGATCCAGAGGCAACAGACTATGAACAGAATTAAAACGAAGATGAGTACGACTACGACGAAACGTCCTGTAACTTCTAAATATGCGAACAGCGTAGGAAAGGTTATGAACGCCCCCAAGGAGTATTATCCCGTAGGGTACGATAAAAATTTCGACGACAACTTCGCGTCTCGTGTCGAATTACCGGAAACTTCGTTTTATTGTGGCGATCAGAAGCATTTTCCCGGATTATACGCTGACGAAGATCTAGGTTGCATGGTGAGTGTCTTCTCGTTCTAGGCCTTGGCATTGGGAATGCCTAGAAGCAAAATCCTACCTTATTTATGTGCCGTTCGAGCTTTCGTTTTTTCGAGGTCATCCACAGCGTTTTTTTAATTTCCTTTTGTTATTTTGAAAAATGCCGCATGTCCATTTTTTTATAATCTAATGCTTTGACTCGCAATTTAAACTGTTCCGATCAGTTTTTAATTAAGAAATGTTAAGTTAATGGCAATTTAAGAAAAATCACCTCTTCAAATTAAAACTATTTAGCCGAGTTCATCTAAAAACATGTGCTGTATAAATTTTAACATGACCTTACGGCTTTTGTGCTTAACTTATACAAAACATCAAAAATATTGCAGGATAATCGTTACAATATTGGGATTTACTTCCGACAAATTCCAATGCCTAATTTGCCAAGCAACATGTATGTATGTCTACGACGACGACTATGTTTAACAACTACATTAAATTTGTCATTTAACAACCAATTAAATACAAAACCAGTTTAGCTGCATTATACGCAGGCTTATATGTATATTTGCTGTACAGTACCCACGCACTTTTTTGAAGTTCGATTAATTAATAATTTACACAAAACAGCTATTGTTGTAACTCTTCTCGTGGTCAAGATCGTGAGAATGATAACTCCGACAGGTGAATTTTAATCAGTGACTTTGTCTCGAACGCATCTGAATAGAAATATTGAAATGAGAATCAGTGACGTCATGTAGTAGGCGAATTATTTGTGACCAAGCTTCTTAGTTACGGTGCAAATTAAAGAAATGTTAATTTATGTCATTTTGTTTGTTTGTGTTTACGTTTGATGATGGCTGTCCATTTAATTCAAACCATCCGTGATGTCATCAGTGTGACGTCGAGAGCTTGAATAAGAAGTCACAGAAGTATTAACTAATTTATAATCGCCCCTTTGAAAATTATTGTTAAAAATTGTTAAATATATTCTTTTTATAATTGCTTAAATAAAACTCTTATTTGGAGGCAGGCAAATAAGCAAAGGATTAAAAAATAATAAATTTCAAATACAAGTGTCTGTCAAAAAGTTTATCTTGTTTTCTTTTTAGGTATTCCACGTATGCGCATTGACGGACGACGGTTTGATTATGAAGAGTTTTCTTTGTCCCGAATCGACATTGTTCGACCAAACAATTCTGAAATGTAATTGGTGGTTCTACGTGGACTGCAAAAATTCGAAAAAACTTTACGATTCCAACATTCCGATTTCGAAAAGTTACCAGCTAATGAAAGCTCTGACGTTCTTTTCGCAGTATAAAAAAGACGCGGCCACGTCGACGACGTCGAAAACCACAGAAGACTGATACATCCTAACGAATTATTTATAAGATTTATTAATTAGGTCCAAAAAGATTTGTGATTTCCTTTAGCTGTTCTGCAAATAAATTTTGTTATCTAGTCATAGTGCTGTTAAGCTTTTTAAAGAGACGTTTAGGTATTTATTGACGAAGCGTCAATTAATTTATTTTGTGTATATAAGTTTAATATACAGTTCTTTTCTTTTTTTTACGTCTAATACTTATGTTTGCAGAATAATCTTAAGATAGTTTACTAAATCTTTTTGGATATCACTAGCTCAATGTATTTCAAAACAATTGTTCTGATTAGTCGCATTATTCGGGAGTTCAAAAATTAGATTGGTACAATTTTCAAGCATACCTATTACCCGTTTATTGTATCGTACTAGATAATTTGTTGATTGTTTTACTGTTAATATTTATACAAAGAATTATTAAAGTAATATTAAACCGTTTCCGTAAAACTGCGTTTGCATTCCTCCTAAAATTTGTACCGTTGCCGCCCAAAATTCAAACGGCACTCGAGTTAGGCAACCACCAACGCGCATAAAAACGCGCCCAGCTGATTGTGACGTTCCGGGGCACTGATCAGTGCGAGTGCCAGTTTAGATACCTGAAGTGTGGTTGTAGTGGTAGTCAGACGATGGCAAGCAAACTGATAAAAAGATTTTTAAACAGATCAAACGTATTTGCTATAAGAAGCATAAGCAAAGTTAATTCGAAGAATGTTCCCAGGAATTATCAGTTAAATTTTATAAGCGTGGTCGGCACTGGCATTGCTGTATACGTCGCTTGCAAATTTCAGTCTACAAGAAAAGTTTATGCAGCTCAACAAAAAAATGTAAGTGTGTTCGTAGTTTCTTTCAGACCTAACTAATTTTACAAGTTCATTCCAAAATTACATTCTAATGCGGCGATCCAATCTTAGACGGCCTATTTACCGAGCCGAAGATGTATTTTTAGCTAACCATCCGCCAAATTTCAAACTTAGGCGCGTACAAGGAGCGCATTTTTTGAATTATGTTGCCGTTCAACGTCATTAAACATTGTTATTATATTAGCGTTACAGAAAACGCTTGTAAATAATCTGGAGTTTTTCTAGGGTCAATATTGACTGAATCTGGCTGATTAAACTTTCCCAAATTTATTTTTAATGATACCATAAGTATTTTCGGTAAATAATCGAGCTGTCTGACAAGTTGAAATTTTAAAAATATTTGTTGATTGGGGAGATTTTAATTTTCCCCAAATCGCAATTTATTTTTCATAATTCTACATTTTCTAGAATGAGGAAACGAAAATTGTAAAATTAACGTCAAGAGAGAAAAGATTTATTAGATTCGCTTCAGTTGAATACGACGGACAGCTTTATATGACTCCGCAAGACTTTCTGGAGTCTGTGGTCGAGGCGGAACCAAGGCGTGAGTTTTTGTTAAATTTGTTTCAGGTTTGTTTATTTAATATTTTATTTCAGCGCGATTTAAAAGAAAGGCCCTGTCCCTCAAGGATTTAGAAAAAATTAAGGAAACAACTCCAGCCTTAAGTCAGGGTAGCGCTAGAATGTTCAGAACGCTTAGGGATAAAGGTGCGTTGTGAAGAAAATAATTCCGCGGTACCTAATTTGACTTTATTTCAGGAATAATATCCTATACAGAATATTTATTCCTACTTTCAGTTTTGACGAGTAAGTTGGACGAATTATTGCCCCTGAGCTATAGCTTTATCAATTTTTTAGAACCAGAGTCTGGTTTTCGTATCGCCTTCAACATGTTCGATACGGATGGAAATCAAAGAGTGGACAAATCCGAATTTCTTGTGGTGAGATTTCTTTTTTACATTTAAATTTTTGGGTAAGTCGTTACGTTCATTTATTTATTTAAAATTTGTCACTATAGATTGAAAGGTTACTGGCTGGAAAAAAATTTGAAGACACTGAACCTGTAAGTTATGGAAGTGCTTCTGAAAATGTTATTCGTTTAACAATTATTTTAGCAAACTAAACTAAGCTTTAAGCTGTAACAGATAAATTGTCGTCTTGTTTACCAATAACAGTGTTTTTGTGTAATAAGTGTCATATTTTCAATATGAAAGTGTTACGAAGTTTCTTCAATATATTTTCTTCATAGATGGAAAAAATCTTTAGTCATGCCTGGAAAGGCAAACGTGGTATTACCACCGAGGCCGAGCCATTACAAACCACTCCCGTCCAAGAGCAGTATGTTAACGATGAACAAGGCCTACAAAGGAAACACATCGTTGACACAACTTTGTTGATCCACTTTTTCGGTCCCAAGGGTAACAACGATTTAAATTTCGAGAGTTTTAGGAAGTTTATGCTTTACCTACAGACCGAGGTTCTCGAATTAGAATTCAGCGAATTTTCGAAAGGACTACCAACGATATCGGAAGTCGATTTCGCGAAAATTTTATTAAGATACACTTATTTAGACACCGACGAGTATGACATGTATCTGGATAGGTTGTTGGATCGCATTAAGGATTCTAAAGGAATCACCTTCGAAGAGTTTCACGTGTTTTGTCAATTTTTAAATAATCTAGAAGACTTTACAATCGCAATGCGGATGTATACCTTGGCGGATCATCCTATATCGAAAGGTAATCTTGGTTAATTATTTTTTGCCAAACTCACGCAACTGTTTCGTTTTAGATGAATTTCACAGGGCCGTTAAGATATGCACAGGCACGAATTTAAGCATTCATTTGGTGGACACAGTATTCGCAATATTCGACGAAGATGGTGATGGACTTCTGAGTTACCGCGAATTTATCGCGATTATGAAAGATCGGCTTCATCGAGGCTTTAAGGTATTTTACAAATCAACGGTTCATAATGTATGTAATGACATTTCGCTTACTTTGAATATTTTTTTAGCAATACGCTAAAAACGAAGGGTGGCAAGCGTTTAAAAATTGCGTTAAGCAAGAGATGAAATCGACCTGATCTTATTAGCTACGAGATCTGCTCCTTCCAAGACTGCCTAGCATTTCGCGGGAATTTTTTTGATTTTTTATTTTTAGACGTATTATTTGAACTCAGGAATGTTATTTTCTTGAATAATAACTGAAACTAATGCTAGTCAGTTAGTAATTATTAGCAAATTAAGATGTTGTGAATCGCACGTGCCATATAGAATTTTAATTAAGTTGTCATCTTGTTACATTTGTTGTTGATTTATGGGATGTTTGTTGTTTTTTTAGTTAGATAATTTATTTTCTGTTCACTTGGCAGCCCCGCTGTGCAAATAAAAGCTCTAGTTTAATGTTCAATGTTTATTCATTCCAACAAATAATTTTTTTATAGTAAAAAATATCCTCTTCCAGACTATTAAGTACTTTTTTAAATAATTTACTCTAATACAAAATACTTTTTATTTGCATATACATTTCTGTCGTAAGTATCGGGAGGTTTCTATACAAACCAAATAAATTATATACTTTTGTAAACGTTATTTCCAAATTAAAATCACTTTTCAGCAGCAGGCGTTTGGATGCAGGGGCATTGTGAAGCCTTCTTTCAGTTCCACGCATTTCTGTTTTACTAAATATATAGTGAGAATTTCAGCGACTTGATGCGGCTGATCTTCGTGTACCGCGTGTCCCGTTTTTGTCAGCACTTGCAGTTGAAATTTCCCTAAAAGGTTATTAATTATATTCGTTTCGCGTTAATTTTTCGGTACAAGAAATTCACCTTGCATTTGACCCACTGTAAGTTTTGTGTCGAGTCCAAAAATATTCGCCAAAATTAACACTTTCGGTACTTTGGTTCCCAGAAATCGTTCGGACAACCCTTGGAACCAATGTTGCCAGAATGGTTCAGTCTTGCTTAAGTCTATTCTCCAAGTGTACTTCGGTCCATCGGCTATAAAAACTCGGCCCATTAGATAAATGTTGAAATTAAATAAATTAACGTCACCTTCTGCAACCGAATTGGGAAGTTTAAAATCCTTTCTCAGAATGGGAGGTTTAGCAATTATTTTGTATTCAATTTCTGCATGATCTTCTTCATCTTCTATTATAGTGAATTCAGATGCCTTTACTTCATGTGAATAACCCGGGATTAAATTGACAGCTTCCTGTTTGTTGAACGAGTCCCACTCATCACATGCCAGTTTGCCAGTTTTCATACTAAAAGGCCACTACTTAATTTGTGAAAAATAATAATACACGTACTTGCTTTATTATTTGTCCCGGCATGGACACTTTAGCTGCTTCAATATTGTGACACTGGCCGCCTTTGTAACTAAAAACAAATATTTATAGTCTCTGTAATACCACTGTTAAGGGTAATACTCACCACCACTGAATTGCGTGTGGGATACTTCTGAAATAGGAGGGTCGGCCTCTTAAAATACTTTGCATTGAGGATAAAGCGTCTAGTGCAGTGCCCTCAACAACATCAATAACACAAAGTCCAACTAAATGTTCTATTTGATAGGATGCATTAACTGCAATAGCACCTCCCATACTGTGCCCGACCAGAACTAAAGTTGAGTTTTCCCTTTCGCATAATTTATTTGCTACCTCAACCACGTCCCTGAAATTATTCTACTAGTTTTTATCACCAAAACAAGACAACTTACTTCGTGAGAGTCTCTAAAGACAAGTCGCTGTCGTTGTCAGTTTGGGTATTTCCATGTCCTCTAAAATCCAGAGCCTTTATCTGGCATTCAATGTTTTGAAATATTTCCTTCTACAATGGTTATTTTTAGACGTAAAACTATTCAAATCTTTGTACTTACCGCAAAAAGGGCCCATGTTAGTCCGTTATAACCACCACCATGGAGACAGAATATTATGGGGCCCTGATTTCCTTTGCTATAAATATGGTGTTTGCATGTTGATGTTTCAATGTATTCTTCACTATCGAAATAATCGGTCCATTTGATTGGAGCGAAATTCGATTTCGCTGCGTTCATGTTCGCTCCCAGTCTAAAAAACTCGTTTGGAAACTAAATTTAGAGCTAATAATTTACCCGGCCTCCTTACGATCTTTTGTAATGCGAATCTAAAATTGATTTTCTCATGGTAGACATGTTCCGTCGCTGAGTGATTCCACGATAAATTTGGAAAATTGAAAAAGTTTAAACGACTAAAAATTTTAAATACCGAAAATTTTGATTTTAATGTCTAAACTAAAAAATCTGACATATTTGTCAACAATCGCTTAGCAACATTATATCTGGGGTATGCTGTGTTTGACATTTTTATACTGTGAATTGATGATATTCACAGACCACAAACTCTTATATTAAGTATATTATTTGCTTGTTGGATTGAGATTATTTTTTATTTTTACTTTTGTTAAATGAATTCCCCAGCGGAATCAAATGTTGCAGTAATTCCTCAATAAATACCTATACTTGCACCATTTAATCTGTCTTAATCCTTCTAGTATAGAGAAAAAAATTATACCAAAATCCGTTTGCCTTTAGTAGAAAACCGGTTCTACGAGGGTACTCTCGAGTACCAGGTCGACTATTAGGGGCAGGTGGTGCCGAAATAAGATAAACATTAATTGCCTAAAAGTCGCTATGGAACGTTGGTCAGGTAAAGTGGCTGTAGTTACAGGTGCAAGTGCGGGAATTGGTGCTGCTATTGCAGAAGTTCTTGTTTCCCAGCACCTCCAGGTAGGATAATATTTTAGTAATTTGAGGTCATTTATGAATATTCATATAGGTAGTGGGTGTCGCTAGGCGATTAGAAAAGCTCGAAGAGCTCGCAGCTAAATGGCCCGGAAAGAATGGACAATTTATTCCACTCAAAGGTGATATTTCCGATAAAGATGACGTTTTAAGGATATTTAAATGGATCGGTGATAACGTAGGTCCAGTATCGATTTTAATTAATAACGCTGGAGTAGGGAAAAGAACTTCCATCGTAAATGGTACAAAATTTTCTACGAGGTATCCACCAAACCGTCAACAAATCTGACTTTTAAGGTAACATAGACGACTGGAAAACGGTGATGGATACAAACTTCTTCGGGTTAGCGATCGCAAGTCGAGAAGCAATTAAAAGTATGCAAGACCACCACATTGACGGTCACATTGTTAACATTAACAGTACACTGGGTAAGTTTTATTTTTCGTTGAGGGAATAGAATTTGGTCAAATTTATTTTATAGGTCACGTGGTTATCAATGCGCCCAATCAGAATTTGTATCCGGCATCGAAACATGCGGTCACGGCTTTTACAGAAACTCTCCGGAAAGATTTGGTAGCGATGAAGAGTAAAATCAAAGTTTCAGTAAATTTTGTATTTAAATTATTATATGCGCGTCGCTAATTTTTATTATATTTAATAGAGCGTCAGTCCCGGATTCGTGGATACCGACATCTGGACCGCGAACCACCTACTCGAAGATGAGCATATAAAGGAAGTATTTAAAACAGCCCCGAAGTTATCGTCAGAAGATGTCGCTAATGCCGTTTTGGCAGTTTTAGCCACTCCGCCACACGTTCAGGTATATGAAAGCAATCCAAAAGAAGGTTTTAATTAACTTTATTATTGCCAATTATTGGCATTCGCGACGCAAGAATATTTAACGATGTTTTTGTCGGAGTGCTTGTGACGCATATTTCGCACTGGTCTTTAAACTCTGTTGGCATATTCCCGTGCGGTTTGGAAACAAATCGGTTTTGATGTCATTGCCAGCTAATTTTAGGTTTCCCTTTTTTCGTACTTAATTTTTTCCATAGCATTTTGTTCTAATAATTTGCTTTTCAGATCGTCGAGCTGATCGTGAAACCTGTAGGGGAATTATTTTGATGTCATCGGCACTAACACAAAATGCAAAAAGGAAGGATTATTTTTCGATATATTCGATGATATGCCGCCCTGTTTGGTAAGGGCAAATGAAGTTAATCTGTGTAGCAAAATTATGAAATTGTTTTCTAATTTTACTTTCTCTATATCTCCATTATTTTAAAAGTAGATTTGTAAATTTGGGTTTAATTTTCGAGTTTGTATAATTTAGATTAATTCAATAAAAAATTCATATAATAAATAATTATTTGTTTAATTCATTTTCTTACCTTTATGTAAACGCAAAATAAATATGTACTGAAATTTTTACTATACTTTTTTACTTGTTATACTTAACGCCTAATAGAAAAATTCAGGTACGGGCATTCTAAGAATAAATTTCCGTGGCCTTATAATATTACGTCGGCTCGAGTTATTTCACGAATTCGTCAACAAATTTTGAAATTCAAATGGGGTGCCTTTGGGGTCAAAGGCCGGGACATTTTGATTATGTACGTATTTCAATTACATATTTCCAACCGGTCTAGACGTTCGCTTTCAAACATACACTGGGATTTTTAAGTACGTGCAATTTTCTTTACCGAACAGCATTATACGAAAATGTAACTACCTTAAAAGCATGCTTGTTAATAAATTTTGTCTAGCATCGCTCAACCTTTAGCATAGACCATAGTCCGATTTACAAGGTAAGAATCATTCAGCAGATGCGTAGCTCCTAGAATATATATTTTTTATATCCAGGCGTTCGTCGGGTCGTCTGCGTTTATATTTTATCTTACTTTTTGCGCTACATCAAAAATTGGGGAACTTTGCGCTAGCGCGTTTTCCTTTGTTATGTTTTTTTGCGTCTCTTGTAGTGCGTGACTCACAAGGCCGAAATTATAAATGGTGGCGGGTTCTAAATATAGATGAAATTTTATTAAAGTCCGATTTATAATGCAAATTCGCTTTCCGAAAACACTGCGCAAGTAAGAAACGTAAAAATATAAGCTAATTGTGCCGTTGGGAAACAAAAATACACTTGTATTTATTAACCCCTCCACAGTCGCGGCGTCTAAAAAGTTTTCATTCTTAATGCGCACTTCATCATTCTGTGTTAAATGACTCGCAGGGTTTTACAACTTGAAATACAACGATAAACTGTCAGTGGCGCGATCACGATCTGATTAGTGTTTCGATTTAATTAATAACAAGTGCATAAATTTTTTTTTACATTCAGTGGAGTTTGAAGGAACGCTTAAGGACTATAAGGACTTAACCTATAAAAGCCGGTGTTCGAACTGTCATCCTATTTAATCAGCTGATAGATTTTTTGTTTACAATGCGGATACACAGGCTGTAAATCTACCATGAGGATTTTTGTTTTGGTTTAAAAAACATGCCTTTTAGTTTATTGAAAGGCGCGCACCAATTGCGGCTAATAAATAATTTGAATTTGTAGGTTAAGTGCGTTCGTATCGCCAAACAATAATGTTGTCGTTAAAGAAAGTGTACAGTGACGAGTTGCTTCAAATCGCGTTGTTAATTACTTTATTGCGGGTGAATCAGGACCCATTATACGAAAACGACATTTACAGTAGTGTGAACGATTTGGATTTCCATAACGGTACCAGTTGGAGGAGTGTGTCGCCCGCAGTTTTACGGACCCATTACGTCCACCCCAAAAGTCTAGACTCGGTATTGCTCAACTATGAACGAGAACTGTTCGCCGATTTAAATTCGCTGGGAAGATTTAATAATGGCAACTTCAGACATCCGAATGTAACTGCTTATTTATTAAATATCGAACGGATCGGGGCCCCGGGAAATGATCAGGATTCCTTGTCAGCTTCGATTCAGAACCAGTCTCAGCTGTCGGCGTCGACTCAAAATCAAACCCAGCAAACTTCTGAAACAGATTCCCATTCCAATCAAGTAGACGATGAACTTGGGTTAACTCAGGAGGTAAGAGCATTGTTTGCTTTAATGAAATTTTGTTCTTGTAGTATATACTAAAATTTTACCAGATATTGCACCACATTGTGTAGCTTGTTAAAGCGACATTAACAACAAATACGGATATTTTTTTGTTGCCAATTAATTTTCCGATAGTAGGTATCAGCAAATGAATCATCGTTTTTATTTGCTCATTACCTATCAGCTATTAAATTGTTGCTTGTAATATCTCGATAGTATACGCCACTTTAACAACAATTTTTTAGACAGGCGATTTAAACCGCAAATCGAAAGAAACATATTGGAAAAAAAAAGCAATAAACAAATGCCAGTTATATCGGACTAGAAATGGTGAAAAAATGGAGCTTTTATTTCAAACGACCTAATCCAACCCGGCTACCGTGTAAATAATGGGTTATAAATCAAACTGACACCCAACGGATGCCGCCACGGCATGTGCCATTGGTCCGCAATTTTTTGCACTCACGTCCCATATAAAGAAAACCCATAAAAGTATTTTTTTCCTTAATAAATGTCAGCGTATTTTTACGGAACTTTAAAAAATTAATTTATCGATTATTTATTATGAGGGGATGTCAGTCCTAAAGTAATTAGATTAATAAATTTGTCAAAGATGAATTATTAGAAAGCATTTGGCATGGAAGAAGTTTTCTGAAGTTGTTTAGGCTATTGTTCACCTATTTATTTATTTAATATACTAGATGCTGGACAAAATATCATATTTAATTTGTTATAAATATGTTTATGCAACTGATCTACCATTTATTTACTTAAAAAATACCCAGCGGCAATCACCATCCCAAAGTTTATACACTTGATTTTACGCAATTTCAGGCATGAAAAATAATTTTTTGGCCATATTAAAAAATATTAAATAAAAATTATATATAAAAAATATATTTAAAACCTTTTTAAAATAAATATAAATTTTATAAGTTGCATAAAATTTCAAAAAGGAAAATAAATGTAATATTTTTGATTTATATGTTCAAAATGTATTTTCTTAATTTTTTGCCTTTTCTTCAACTTTAATTAAATAATTCATAGAAAGTAATTCTTAATTTTCTGTCGAGACATGGTAGTCACATGCTGGATTTTTGTTTTAGATTAATTTGTTTGTTATTTAAAGATAATTTAATTAATAAAAAGTGCTCAAAACTCCAAATTTTAAAAACTTTCACGATTTCACAGAGCTGGTACATCAGATTTCACGCATGACATACCAAGTAAAAAAATGCCTTTGCCATTAAAATACAAGTATAAATTGATTCTTTTTAGGTTCTAGGTCCCCATAACATATTCGCTTTTGACCTTTAAGGCCCCCGGATTGTCCGAATATTTATTTTAATTGTATGCACCGATATTGACCGACCTTGGTTTTTTCGTTTAAAATTTTCTTGGCAATCCTCCCGGATAAATAATCGAAAAAAGTCTTTGTGGCTTGGATCAATGTTTTCCGAACTTCATTTTTTATAAGATTTTCCTTTTTTTTTTCTTAGCGGTGTTCCGAAAATGGTGAGGTTGGTGTGTTAAGCGTGATTCATTGATCTCGACCATCTGGTTACCTACTTCTTGTGCGGTTCTTTGAACCCAAGCCAAATTCAGCATTTATGTCCTGCTGTATATTGGTTTCTATTTTCAGCATTGACGCTCCCGTACCCTCAAAAATGCAATTGCAATTCGCGAATGCGTAGAAGCGAACAATTTATGGGCTTGAATTTTGTTTACTAGAAAGCTTTCATTGTATTAAAAATGAAGCGACGACGGCATTTGCACTCATATTTTTCGAATTGCAATTCGTGGAATGAAAAATTTAAAACAAAAAAAAAACAAACGCACGTTCACGCCATGGCGGTTCATCAAACTAAAGTTTTTTCTCGACCTTAAAGCCCACTCTCGGCTATGTTGCCAACTTGCGAGATCCGGCGTTCATCTTCTGGGTGTACCTACCATTGCAGAATATAAGGTTTTTTTTTTTCGCTTCGTCTAGGTTTGAGAATCGAAATTTATTTTTTTTATCGCAGCACATTCTGTTATCTTTCATTATACGTCGTCGCGTTTGAAGCTTATCGGATAAAAGTAAACAAACCTTCGGCTTTTTGAGGTTACAGCAAAAGATAAAATTGGCACAATCGAAACCGGAACCCGTAGTTTTGGTAGATGAAAATTATTTTGACGAGCATGGTAACCATTGAAATCGATTTTTTTTAATCACCTTCGTGTTTCCTGTCGGGGAGAATTCACGTGCGTTTAATATTTCCGCGACGATAATTAAGGCAATTACATTTTTTACGTTTCCCGGGGAATTTTTATTTCGGCCCGTATTTGATCGCGAAAATGCTTTTGCATCGGCAACATTTTAACGTTCAAAAGTCCAAAATTCAAGAATACGACGCGCAATTATTTTACTAATCTTCTGCCAACCTGTCGGAAAATCATTCGCTTCGAACCGGTGTTTTTATTTCTAGAAACTGACATTTCGCAGAAATCCGGGAAGTGTTTGAACTTGAACCGTTGAGACGTTTTTTTTTTATTTTTATGCCTTCTAAATTTGTATCGTTGGCACAGGTCAGGGAACCAAATGTAAACCTATTCAACTGAAATCGCCGGGGCAGATGCCTAGCTGGAAGTTTCCGACGCCGCTAATAGATGGCGCAGTAATCGCTTTTGAAACGTTCAAAATAATTCGGGAAACGTACATTCTCAAGGGTAAATGAAAAATTATTTAAGCCGTTTTGTCGCCGTTAATTTCGAAGGTCATATTTGTGTGGCGCTCCACATTTTGGGGGTCATAGGTGTTTATGCGCATTGCGAGTTGTAATTAAAGGAATACTTTCATATATATAACTGGTTTTGTATTTTGCCATAATTAGTTATGTATTTTCACATGTCAGTTCGTGTAGCGTTCGTTGTAAACTTTTGTTTTGATTTGAAATTAAAGTAAGTTCTGTGGTATTCGCGGGTTTCGATCAACGGATGGTTTTTCTTTTCGTCCCACGTGTCTTCTCGTTTTCCTTGAACTCTTTTGGCGAAATTGTCCACATTTTTGAATTAATGTCGGACCATTAACGCGCATTTTCGTGTCTGGGGGCGTATAAACTCGCTGGCATTGGTTTTATATATATTTTTTGAACGTCGAATGCTTAATTAATATTAATTTTGCTTATTTCGATACGAAACGGGGCGACCGTTGTTGTTCGATGTGAATTTAAAAGTTTTATCACCTCCGCCGTTGATTGTCGATACGAGTCGAAGTGGGTTTTTGACATAGCGACATCCGCGATAATTTTGCGAACGGTTATGTTCAAAAGCCGAGTCAAGTCGATCCGTTTGATTTCACCAAAATCTGAAAATTGTAAAAGTAAACGCGATTTGTACAACCGCGGCACCGCTCGGCTACAGTAATTGTTGGTAACCACGTGTTTTCTAAATAATTAACATGTTATAAAGTCAAGGATTTATGTGTTGTCCTAAGAGCAGTAAATCGTAGGCAGCGTAACCATATACATCAAGCGTATATGTTAAAATAAGTACCGATTTTTGTTAACGTTTGTCGAAGTTTGAGTGCGACGAAAATTTGTGATTCGCCGCCGTTTTGTTATGAGCGGATTAAGAATAACGTCACAGAAATGGTAAGTGGCAATTTCAAGCTTTATGTGTTTATTGCGTCACGCTGTCAATTCGGACTTTTACTCGTTTTTTTGTATCGATGTAAATCTGGTTTTTTTTTTTCTTTCATTCTCCTTGGTTACATAATACACGTTGTAGATTTCTAGGAAGGCTTTCCGTGTATATCGGGCCTCTAAACACACGAATTATAGTAAGTAGACTTAATTCTATCAGTACGACCCCGTTGTCGTTAGTACGATTCATATTGCGTTCATAACCAGTAATTTTTATCAACAGTGTAATTGAATTAATAACACAGACAGCGTTTATGCGATACATGTTGTTAATACATGACACTATGGGGCAATCGAGAAATAAAATCTTTTATTCGCGCGTTCTGGGACTCTTATCTTGTCCGTTCCCGATATTGACCTTAAATTTCGAGCTTATTGATATAAAATTCACGCGGTAAATTATGAAGAAACTAATTTGAGCTTTAATAATAGGAGAAATATAGTTTGATTCGCTTAGTTATCCGCGTTCGCTTGGATATTGAAACGTGTTTACGCGCGTTTTAACCAATTTCTGCGTAGTCCTGGAATGTATACGACGCGTTTTGAGTGTGTTGACTGATAAGATAAATTATAACGACCATGTATTCACATACTTATTTTTACTAGTTTTTTATAATATATTGTAAACTAATGATTTGGGTTTGAGTTTTGCATTTAATTTTTTTTTTTAGTAAACTATTTCTGTATAAAGTGAACGTGTATGTATATGACAACGAAAAAAAAACACACTGTTAAAAACTTGTCCTAGATGTTAGACGTTTAAATAATTTAGCTCTGTGTGGGTGGGACTTTGTTTTAAAAGTTGAATACAAAAACTATTAGGCTTAAATGGAACATCTAATTTCAATTAAATTAAAATTAAAAATTAAATACTGCCGTCCATAAGTGTGCGTTGCATGTAGGAAAATTTTCATTGGTAAAGGATAGAGGATTTTTTATGTGCGATCGCTCCTACTTTGTCGGACAACCTCAATAAATCTAAAAAAGAGTATATTTTAGACATCAGTCACTTGTCGTGGTTGCAAATTCGAAAAATTCGACCTTGAAATGTTTATAATGAGATTTTGAAGCTATATACGAAATTTGGAACGAAAATAAAATATAGCACATAAAAAAAATCCCATCCTCTAAAAAGAATAAAATTTCCTGTATTCAGCGAACATTATAGGGACACTGTGTATAATGCCGCTTCTAATATTGACTATTACAGAGTACCGATTTTTTGGGAATATCTATTTATTTAAAAGTGTTTTGGAATTTGTTGCAATTTTAAAAATATTTAAACGAAATTATAACACATTTCTG